CTGGCTACTGAACTCAGGTCACCTGGGATAGACTAACTAGACCACTGGCTACTGACGTCACCTGGGATAGACTAACTAGACCACTGGCTACTGACGTCACCTGGGATAGACTAACTTGACCACTGGCTACTGAACTCAGGTCACCTGGGATAGACTAACTAGACCACTGGCTACTGACGTCACCTGGGATAGACTAACTTGACCACTGGCTACTGAACTCAGGTCATCTGGGATAGACTAACTAGACCACTGGCTACTGAACTCAGGTCACCTGGGATAGACTAACTAGACCACTGGCTACTGAACTCAGGTCACCTGGGATAGACTAACCTAACCACTGGCTACTGAACTCAGGTCACCTGGGATAGACTAACTAGACCACTGGCTACTCCACTCAGGTCACCTGGGATAGACTAACTAGACCACTGGCTACTGAACTCAGGTCACCTGGGATAGACTAACTAGACCACTGACTACTGAACTCAGGTCACCTGGGATAGACTAACTAGACCACTGGCTACTGACGTCACCTGGGATAGACTAACTAGACCACTGGCTACTCCACTCAGGTCACCTGGGATAGACTAACTAGACCACTGGCTACTGAACTCAGGTCATCTGGGATAGACTAACTTGACCACTGGCTACTGAACTCAGGTCATCTGGGATAGACTAACTAGACCACTGGCTACTGAACTCAGGTCACCTGGGATAGACTAACCTAACCACTGGCTACTGAACTCAGGTCACCTGGGATAGACTAACTAGACCACTGGCTACTGAACTCAGGTCACCTGGGATAGACTAACTAGACCACTGGCTACTCCACTCAGGTCACCTGGGATAGACTAACTAGACCACTGGCTACTGAACTCAGGTCACCTGGGATAGACTAACTAGACCACTGGCTACTGAACTCAGGTCACCTGGGATAGACTAACTAGACCACTGGCTACTGAACTCAGGTCACCTGGGATAGACTAACCTAACCACTGGCTACTGAACTCAGGTCACCTGGGATAGACTAACCTAACCACTGGCTACTGAACTCAGGTCACCTGGGATAGACTAACTAGACCTCTGTCAAAATAGAGTGTTTTAATCAATTCCTATTGCAATTTATTAAAACAGTTTCTAAAACGCAAAATAACGACAAAATTCCGTTTTCTAACATTGCTTTTTTATAATGCAAAAGTGTGACGTAGCACCATCTGAACACCCCCACCACCGCTCCCCCTCATCACACACCGTCACAAAATTACGGACCCCACTCCCCCGCCGAATGTGACGTCATTTATGGACGACCCCTAAGATAATTTGCATATAATATGTTACGTATTTAGTTAAATACACGGTAGAAAATGATCATAAATGAAATTTAGACACATCATGTTCTGCATATGTTTTTTGCCGTAGTCCTTTCCATGGTCGGCTGCTCCTCCGTCGGCCTTGTCCGTATGGTGTATTGTTTGCGTCAAGACAGCCTTTGTACTGTATCGGCTTTCTGTTTTGATCCTTTGCTTTGTGATGTAATGAGCATGGTAAATGAGGGCAGTAAAGGTGGTTGAACTATTGTTGCGATGAGTTTATGACAGCAAGTCACATTAACTCCGTCTTTTATGCTGTTTCACGCAAATTTAAAGTTGGTATTTTTAAAAAAACACGATGGAACTGAGAAGGTTGGAACATTCAATTAAATTATATTTAATGTTACTATTGTTACATGTATAACGGAATTAAAACCTACATACTGCATAGTAAATAATTTTACGCTGGTTATAAATATTACTATACATAATAATATACAACCTACAATTTTGTATCTTAAAATGATTACATTACATTCAATTAACCGTAAGTTGATTTGCACTTTCTGAAAACTTGATATATAAAAGTTATAATAAATTCTATGTAAATATACATTTGTGATTTTTTTTTCCACGTCACTTTTATTTCTGAGACTTTTTTTCCTATGACATTTTTCCGGTGTATACTTTTTCCTGTTACTTTTTTCCTTTAATCCTAACTGGCTACTGAACTTTCTGACCACTAACCAGAGTTTCTTCCAGGCATCTCTTCGGGGGGGGCGAAGCCCCCCCCCCCCGAAATTTTTTTTACCGCCCCCCCCCCCCCCCCCCCCCCCCCCGAACGAAATGAAATTTATATAATTTATATAGAAAATATATACTTTTAACAGTGTCCGCCCCCCCCCCCCGAAGAAAGTTTACCGCCCCCCCCCCGAAGATTTCAAGTGCCCCCCCCCCCCCCTCGGAGAAAAAAGTCTGGAAGAAACACTGCCACTAACACATTTGAGTTGATTTGACCATGGTGCTTCATGTGATAGAATAAAAGCTGTCACTGACTGGCCTAAGGGCGGGCCACAGGTTATCTCAATGTTTATTTAGTACATGTGATCTGAGGAAGATCTGCGAGCAAACCCACCAGATGTGTTTCACGGTGTTGAGCTTAATTTATTTGGACGTGTCTCCGGGTGCTTCTCTCAGCTCGACACTTCTCACTTTTCTCTCACAGCTTACCCTACGCTGGCAGCATACTGTACGCTTGGGAGAGGTAATCTCTCCACTGAGACGTATTTGGAATCACATAGGACGCATGACCTAACAAGTACAATGGCCTTTCTCTACAGTCTCTCTGTGCTAAGGGTGGATTTACTGGCTACATCAGGGTTTGTTTACATGGGTGGATTTACTGGCTACATCAAGGTTTGTTTACAAGGGTGGATTTACTGGCTACATCAGGGTTTACATGGGTTGATTTACTGGCTACATCAGGGTTTGTTTACATGGGTGGATTTACTGGCTACATCAGGGTTTACATGGGTGGATTTACTGGCTACATCAGGGTTTACATGGGTGGATTTACTGGCTACATCAGGGTTTGTTTACATGGGTGGATTTACTGGCTACATCAGGGTTTACATGGGTGGATTTACTGGCTACATCAGGGTTTGTTTACATGGGTGGATTTACTGGCTACATCAAGGTTTGTTTACAAGGGTGGATTTACTGGCTACATCAGGGTTTACATGGGTGGATTTACTGGCTACATCAGGGTTTACATGGGTGGATTTACTGGCTACATCAGGGTTTACATGGGTGGATTTACTGGCTACATCAGGGTTTGTTTACATGGGTGGATTTACTGGCTACATCAGGGTTTACATGGGTGGATTTACTGGCTACATCAGGGTTTACATGGGTGGATTTACTGGCTACATCAGGGTTTGTTTACATGGGTGGATTTACTGGCTACATCAGGGTTTACATGGGTGGATTTACTGGCTACATCAGGGTTTGTTTACATGGGTGGATTTACTGGCTACATCAGGGTTTGTTTACATGGGTGGATTTACTGGCTACATCAGGGTTTACATGGGTGGATTTACTGGCTACATCAGGGTTTACATTGGTGGATTTACTGGCTACATCAGGGTTTACATGGGTGGATTTACTGGCTACATCAGGGTTTACATGGGTGGATTTACTGGCTACATCAGGGTTTGTTTACATGGGTGGATTTACTGGCTACATCAGGGTTTACATGGGTGGATTTACTGGCTACATCAGGGTTTGTTTACATGGGTGGATTTACTGGCTACATCAGGGTTTACATGGGTGGATTTACTGGCTACATCAGGGTTTACATTGGTGGATTTACTGGCTACATCAGGGTTTGTTTACATGGGTGGATTTACTGGCTACATCAGGGTTTACATGGGTGGATTTACTGGCTACATCAGGGTTTGTTTACATGGGTGGATTTACTGGCTACATCAGGGTTTACATGAGTGGATTTACTGGCTACATCAGGGTTTGTTTACATGGGTGGATTTACTGGCTACATCAGGGTTTACATGGGTGGATTTACTGGCTACATCAGGGTTTGTTTACATGGGTGGATTTACTGGCTACATCAGGGTTTACATGGGTGGATTTACTGGCTACATCAGGGTTTGTTTACATGGGTGGATTTACTGGCTACATCAGGGTTTACATGGGTGGATTTACTGGCTACATCAGGGTTTACATTGGTGGATTTACTGGCTACATCAGGGTTTGTTTACATGGGTGGATTTACTGGCTACATCAGGGTTTACATGGGTGGATTTACTGGCTACATCAGGGTTTACATGGGTGGATTTACTGGCTACATCAGGGTTTGTTTACATGGGTGGATTTACTGGCTACATCAGGGTTTACATGGGTGGATTTACTGGCTACATCAGGGTTTACATGGGTGGATTTACTGGCTACATCAGGGTTTACATTGGTGGATTTACTGGCTACATCAGGGTTTGTTTACATGGGTGGATTTACTGGCTACATCAGGGTTTACATGGGTGGATTTACTGGCTACATCAGGGTTTACATGGGTGGATTTACTGGCTACATCAGGGTTTACATGGGTGGATTTACTGGCTACATCAGGGTTTGTTTACCTAGCGGTAATGTTTGGATGTTGACAGTGAACAAGAAAAAATGTTGAACACAGGATCTCTCTGATCAAAGTGATAGTCGCAATTTTGTATAGCTTCATTAAGTACTTGACTTTGTAACATGATACTATAAAGTACTTTAAAGACAAAAATTACTGACCATGTAACATGGTACTATAAAGTACCTAAGTATGAACGCTAGAAGTACTTGAGTAGTAAAACATCTTCGCCTGTGTGAAGACAATACCATCCAGCCCCCCCCCCCCTCATATGTCAAATATCGAGTGTCTTAATACAGGCGCTACATTCCTGGCTGATAAATTGGTCGGGAAATACGCCAAGATAGCTGGTTACATGAGGACAGTCAGTCAGCTGACTACATGAAGACAATTATAAACTTGACCAAGTGACCACCAAAAAACTTGACCAAGTGACCACCAAAAAACTTGACCAAGTGACCACCAAAAAACTTGACCAAGTGACCACCAAAAAACTTGACCGAGTGACCAAAAACTTGACCTTTTGATTTGTCCATCTGTTTCAGAGATGTCACGGGGAGTGCCGCTCCGGCCCTTAAGCCCCCACCCCCAGGCCACGCTGTCAGATGACCTGCGGCTCGCTGCCAGCAGAGGTCAGGTGGAGCTCATCAAGGAGCTGCTGTCTAGAGGCGCCGGGCTGGACCCCGATAAGGTAGGGGCACTTTCTCTCAGGGCAGAGGTTAGGGGCACATTCTCTCAGGGCAGAGGTTAGGGGCACATTCTCTCAGGGCAGAGGTTAGGGGTACATTCTCTCAGGGCAGAGGTTAGGGGCACATTCTCTCAGGGCAGAGGGTAGGGGCACATTCTCTCAGGGCACAGGTTAGGGGCACATTCTCTCAGGGCAGAGGTTAGGGGCACATTCTCTCAGGGCAGAGGGTAGGGGCACATTCTCTCAGGGCAGAGGGTAGGGGCACATTCTCTCAGGGCAGAGGGTAGGGTTACATTCTCTCAGGGCAGAGGGTAGGGTTACATTCTCTCAGGGCAGAGGTTAGGGCTACATTCTAGCTCAGGGCAGAGGTTAGGGGTACATTCTCTCAGGGCAGAGGGTAGGGTTACATTCTCTCAGGGCAGAGGGTAGGGGTACATTCTCTCAGGGCAGAGGTTAGGGTTACATTCTCTCAGTGCAGAGGTTAGGGTTACATTCTCTCAGGGCAGAGGTTAGGGGCACATTCTAACTCAGGGCAGAGGTTAGGGTTACATTCTCTCAGGACACAGGTAAGGGTTACATTCAACTGTAGTAAAGGTCTATATTTTAAAAAAACTGTAAAGTTTAGGATCAGATAACATCCAGGTTCAAAGGTTACGACGGCAACTTGATATCTTAGTTTTTGTTCACGTACACCCACACAGTGGTGGAACACGTTGCGTTATCCCCCTTTGGAGGGTCACCCCGTGCACCATTTCCCCCACCCCCACCCTCTAGTGCTACTGGCATGGATGCTGATGACTGCCCCACCCCCTTGATGAATTTTAAACAGCTGTTTGTTGACGGTTGGGGGCGTGGCACTTATGCAAGCCTTTCTCGGCCTCTCGTTGTGTTTTTGTGTTGACTACAGGAGATTTGTGGTTAGACCCTGAAGTCTGTGCTTACCTCTAAGACTTTCCGCCCATCTTATCCTTAAGACAAGACTTGCCGCCGATGTTACCCTTAAGACAAGACTTGCCGCCGATGTTACCCTTAAGACAAGACTTGCCGCCGATGTTACCCTTAAGACAAGACTTGCCGCCCATCTTACCCTTAAGACAAGACTTGCCACTCATCTTACCCTTAAGACAAGACTTGCCGCCGATGTTACCCTTAAGACAAGACTTGCCGCCCATCTTACCCTTAAGACAAGACTTGCCACCCATCTTACCCTTAAGACAAGACTTGCCGCCGATGTTACCCTTAAGACAAGACTTGCCGCCCATCTTACCCTTAAGACAAGACTTGCCACCGATGTTACCCTTTTGTACGAGTAAACATGTGTATCAATAGCCAGCGATACCCTACCTAATCCTTCGTTTGACCACAGATGGCTTTTTGACCCCGTGAACTCTTGACCTCCATACGGTCTGGTGTTGTCTTATTACTGGTGGGCCGCTAATGGATGTGTGGGCTGGGTGACTCCACTGTGGGCTGGGTGACTCCACTGTGGGCCGGGTGACTCCAGTGTGGGCTGGGTGACTCCACTGTGGGCTGGGTGACTCCAGTGTGGGCTGGGTGACTCCACTGTGGGCTGGGTGACTCCACTGTGGGCTGGGTGACTCCACTGTGGGCTGGGTGACTCCACTGTGGGCTGGGTGACTCCAGTGTGGGCTGGGTGACTCCACTGTGGGCTGGGTGACTCCACTGTGGGCTGGGTGACTCCACTTTGGGCTGGGTGACTCCACTATGGGCTGGGTGACTCCACTGTGGGCTAGGTGACTCCACTGTGGGCTGGGTGACTCCACTGTGGGCTGGGTGACTCCACTGGTAGTTAGATGACTCGTGAGTGCCGCTAATGACTCCAGTGTGAGCTGTATGACTCCACTGGTGGTTAGATGACTCCACTGTGTGTTAGATGACTCCTGAGTGCCGCTAATGACTAGATAACTCCGTGTAGTTTATGGATTTAATCTCCGAGTAAATAGTCCCTCAAGTCCTCCATGACAGACCTATCTAGTCACGTGACAGATGGTGTCAACTGGCCGATTTATGACAGACGTAGAGCAATAAATCTCTCGCTCTTTGTATGACGACCTCCCGCTGGTCGTGCCCGTAACTCTCATCTTCTACATCTAAATTGTCTGCCCCTGGGGTAACTCTGATCTTGTACCTCTAAATTGTCTGCCCCTGGTGTAACTCTGATCTTGTACATCTAAAGTACCGGATTGTCTGCCCCTGGGGTAACTCTGAACATCTGAAGTACTTGATATTCTGGGCCTGATCTATGGACGCCATGCTCAGGTCTAACAATGGGAGAACGCTAATTCTGACGTCTAGCTAGATCTATGTGTCCTGTGGGTAGATCATGAATGGGTGACTGGACACTTGGGGCTGTTAGTGGCCACCAAACTCCTGTAGGATGGACTGTCCGGCCATCATGTTTATAGCAATGTGTCTGGCCATCGTATCCGGCCATAATGTTTATAACAGTTTGTCTGGCCATCATTTTTATCACAGTTTGTCTGGCCAAAAGTTTAAACCCACCGACTAGATCCGAGATGTTGCTGCTCTGTTTACATTTACTTTTGGCCGACACCTTTAAAACATTTGGCAGGAAAAAACATGTCCAATATTTGAAGCTAAATGTGGCCAAATAAAAAATAAATTCGGCATTTTTGTGACCAAACGAACCAGCAGCCTGTGTACGCCTGTCGTGAAAGTCGCAGGCCTACGTGGGTTGGCCCGGTGCCTAGGTGCCCAGATTTACGGGCCTTGTTTTTTAATGGCCGCCCCAACAAAAGACACGGTGTGCTGGGGTTCTGTCAGGGTTATCCCTCGTGAAGTACTGCAGGGAGCTGAATATTGAAAGCACTTCAAGAGCTGTTTAGTAGGCGCTTTATCAAAGGTACGCTGACATTCCAAGAGATCTGAACTAGAAAAATCTTTCAATTTCAATGGCTTGACTCTTCTATAAATAGCGGGGATTTTGTTTGCTATTTTCAAAAGTTTATTTCCTCATGACTCTGTGGGTTACTGAGTTAACTGCACTTCTTTAAGTACATTCCGACTTTGTGACATAACCATCAACATAACATTATCCTAACCATCAACATAACATTATCATAACCATAGACATAACATTATCCTAACATATAACATAACATTATCCTAACATACAACATAACATTATCCTAACCTACAACATAACATTATCCTAACCATCAACATAACATTATCCTAACAATAGACATAACATTATCCTAACCAACAACATAACATAATCCTAACATACAACATAACATTATCCTAACATTCAACATAACATTATCATAACCTACAATATAACATTATCCCAACCTACAATATAACATTATCCCAACCTACAATATAACATTATCCCAACCTACAATATAACATCATCCCAACCTACAATATAACATCATCCCAACCTACAATATACTACAACATTAACTTAATAACCTGACCTACACACCTAGGATTAACCTAAGCCCCATATGACTTACACACATTAACCTAATCTACACACCTAGGATTAACCAAAGCCCCATATGACTTACACACATTAACCTAATCTACACACCTAGGATTAACCAATATGACCTACACACATGCTAATGTATGCATGCCCATGCCGGCAGATAAGGACCGTATCAAACGTTACCAGAAATCTTGGCTGGAGAAACTCATGTCAGGAACACTTTGAATTAAGTGACCCCCCCCCCCCCCCCACCGACTTACCACGCGGTATGCACTGGGAAGTGTCTTGGGTCTGAATACTTTATTACTACGTTTCATTGTCCGTCCGTGTGTGGGGGCGGGGGGATGGGTGGGTGGGGTTTTGGTAAAAATGTTTCAACTTTAGACCTATGTCTAATGGAGCGATTTCTTACAAACTTTACATAGCAACGCAATAGGAGTGCCATTCTTCAGTCCTATTAGATGTCGAATTAGTCTTTGAAAAAGCGGGAATGATCTCCCCTAAACTTTCTCGAATATTCTTATATAACATTACAGGAGATGGCAACTCGGGATATAGACATGATTGTTAATCAATTTTTAATTACATAAATTTAAAAAAATATAATAGAATCTCGTAAAAAAAAGAATTTCGCACCAAGTGAACGCCAAACTTTCTGTGTATAATAGTGCGGAGTATTATTAGTACTTTATAAATTCACATGCGTTTTTTTTTTTTTTTTTTTTTTTTTTTTTTTTTTTGAGAAATCGGAGATAGCGTAAATTACTACTTCCGGAAATTACTCAAAATTTGATCGAAGGCAGAGGAATAGATATTTTACTATTTTTGAAATTTCGTTTTTCTATCTGAAATAGTAGTTAAGTTATAGGCTTTTAAAAAACCAAAAGTAGAATAAGTTCCACTTCCGGTTACCGGAAATCGCTGAAAAAATGATACATAACTACAAATTTGATTTAATACTTATATATGAAATTTCAGCAACATAGCTGTAACGGTACTCAAGTGATCGTGTTTACAGACAGACATACGGACAGCATTGTAAAGCCCAGTTTTTCCGACTCGATTACGCATAGAACGCTGAAATTGTGATAAATCTGCATTTATTATTTTTGCCCGATTAAAATAAGTCCCCTATACTCCGTATATGATGATGTACTGAGGTGTAAAACAATGAAAACTGTCAAAATTTCATGTGATTTTTGTGCACGATTACAGTAGTTCCTCTATGCTTTGTATACGATAAAGTAAAAATGAATCTAAAGATGAAGGTAGATACTAGTTGAGTTACCTAGGTCTGTCTGGTAAGTTGGTGCTTACAAAACACGTTGTGTACCAACGGTTGTCTGGTTTGTTTTTTTCTCTTATTACAAAATTAGTTTTAGTGTCGTAAAAAATCATTGCTGCCAGTTCTTAGGACTGGGAGAACACACGGAATATTGGCTAGTGCTACAGCCACGGTGTGTAGCGTGTTGTACAGGGCTAGTTATACATTCTGTGTACACTTAATATTCCGTGTGCGGGTGTACACATACAATTCCCGTGTGTGGAGGTCCACTAAATATTGCCGTGTGTACACTAACTAGTGCCTGTGTCAACTGGATGTTTTCCTGTGTTGCAGGACGGACGTAACGCCCTCCACTATGCCGCCCAAGAAGGACACGCTGACGTGTGCAAGCTTCTGCTGGCGTCTGGCTGTGAGATGGACAAGCAGGATGTGGTTAGTGCCGTCTGTTTGATTCATGTCACGTGGCAATCTATCTTCTGTTGTCTATTGGCAACCATTAGCATTTGTCTGTTGTTTCTATAATTAGCTTTGTGTGACGTGTTGGTGTCAACAAACCCTGTCATGTGACTAGTTCAGTACCTGTCACTCTGGTTCTCCCTAGTCCACTGTCCACTGTCCCTGGTCCGCTGTCCTGGTCCACTGTCCCTGGTCCACTGTCCCTGGTCCACTGTCCCTGGTCCACTGCCCCTGGTCCACTGCCTTTGGTCCACTGCCCCAGGTCCACTGCCCCTGGTCCACTGCCTTTGGTCCACTGCCTTTGGTCCACTGTCCCTGGTCCACTGTCCACTGTCCCTGGTCCACTGCCCCAGGTCCACTGTCCCTGGTCCACTGCCTTTGGTCCACTGCCTTTGGTCCACTGCCTTTGGTCCACTGTCCCTGGTCCACTGCCTTTGGTCCACTGTCCCTGGTCCACTGCCTTTGGTCCACTGTCCCTGGTCCACTGTCCCTGGTCCACTGTCCACTGTCCCTGGTCCACTGCCTTTGGTCCACTGCCCCTGGTCCACTGCCCCTGGTCCACTGCCCCTGGTCCACTGCCCCTGGTCCACTGCCTTTGGTCCACTGTCCACTGTCCCTGGTCCACTGTCCCTGGTCCACTGCCCCTGGTCCACTGTCCCTGGTCCACTGCCTTTGGTCCACTGCCTTTGGTCCACTGCCTTTGGTCCACTGTCCCTGGTCCACTGTCCACTGTCCCTGGTCCACTGCCTTTGGTCCACTGCCTTTGGTCCACTGCCTTTGGTCCACTGCCTTTGGTCCACTGCCTTTGGTCCACTGTCCCTGGTCCACTGCCTTTGGTCCACTGCCTTTGGTCCACTGCCTTTGGTCCACTGCCTTTGGTCCACTGTCCCTGGTCCACTGTACTGGTCCACTGCCCCAGGTCCACTGTCCCTGGTCCACTGCCTTTGGTCCACTGCCTTTGGTCCACTGTCCCTGGTCCACTGTACTGGTCCACTGCCCCAGGTCCACTGTCCCTGGTCCACTGCCTTTGGTCCACTGCCTTTGGTCCACTGTCCCTAGTCCACTGTCCCTGGTCCACTGCCTTTGGTCCACTGCCTTTGGTCCACTGCCTTTGGTCCACTGTCCCTAGTCCACTGTCCCTGGTCCACTGCCTTTGGTCCACTGCCTTTGGTCCACTGCCTTTGGTCCACTGTCCCTGGTCCACTGCCTTTGGTCCACTGCCTTTGGTCCACTGCCTTTGGTCCACTGCCTTTGGTCCACTGTCCCTGGTCCACTGTCCCTGGTCCACTGCCTTTGGTCCACTGTCCCTGGTCCACTGCCTTTGGTCCACTGTCCCTGGTCCACTGTCCCTGGTCCACTGTCCCTGGTCCACTGTCCCTGGTCCACTGCCTTTGGTCCACTGTCCCTGGTCCACTGTCCCTGGTCCACTGTCCCTGGTCCACTGCCTTTGGTCCACTGCCTTTGGTCCACTGTCCCTGGTCCACTGTCCCTGGTCCACTGCCTTTGGTCCACTGCCTTTGGTCCACTGTCCCTGGTCCACTGCCTTTGGTCCACTGTCCACTGTCCCTGGTCCACTGTCCCTGGTCCACTGCCTTTGGTCCACTGCCTTTGGTCCACTGCCTTTGGTCCACTGTCCCTGGTCCACTGCCTTTGGTCCACTGTCCCTGGTCCACTGCCTTTGGTCCACTGTCCCTGGTCCACTGTCCACTGTCCCTGGTCCACTGTCCCTGGTCCACTGTCCCTGGTCCACTGTCCACTGTCCCTAGTCCACTGCCTTTGGTCCACTGCCTTTGGTCCACTGCCTTTGGTCCACTGCCTTTGGTCCACTGTCCCTGGTCCACTGTCCCTGGTCCACTGCCTTTGGTCCACTGTCCCTGGTCCACTGCCTTTGGTCCACTGCCTTTGGTCCACTGTCCCTAGTCCACTGTCCCTGGTCCACTGCCTTTGGTCCACTGCCTTTGGTCCACTGCCTTTGGTCCACTGTCCCTGGTCCACTGTCCCTGGTCCACTGCCCCTGGTCCACTGCCCCTGGTCCACTGTCCCTGGTCCACTGCCTTTGGTCCACTGTCCCTGGTCCACCGTCCCTGGTCCACTGCCCCTGGTCCACTGTCCCTGGTCCACTGCCTTTGGTCCACTGCCCCTGGTCCACTGTCCCTGGTCCAAAGTCCCTGGTCCACTGCCCCTGGTCCACTGTCCCTGGTCCACTGCCTTTGGTCCACTGCCTTTGGTCCACTGCCCCTGGTCCACTGCCTTTGGTCCACTGTCCCTGGTCCACTGCCTTTGGTCCACTGCCTTTGGTCCACTGTCCCTGGTCCACTGTCCCTGGTCCACTGCCTTTGGTCCACTGCCTTTGGTCCACTGTCCCTAGTCCACTGTCCCTGGTCCACTGCCTTTGGTCCACTGCCTTTGGTCCACTGCCTTTGGTCCACTGTCCCTGGTCCACTGTCCCTGGTCCACTGCCCCTGGTCCACTGCCCCTGGTCCACTGTCCCTGGTCCACTGCCTTTGGTCCACTGTCCCTGGTCCACCGTCCCTGGTCCACTGCCCCTGGTCCACTGTCCCTGGTCCAATGCCTTTGGTCCACTGCCCCTGGTCCACTGTCCCTGGTCCAAAGTCCCTGGTCCACTGCCCCTGGTCCACTGTCCCTGGTCCACTGCCTTTGGTCCACTGCCCCTGGTCCACTGTCCCTGGTCCAAAGTCCCTGGTCCACTGCCCCTGGTCCACTGTCCCTGGTCCACTGTCCCTGGGTCCACTGCCCCTGGTCCACTGCCTTTGGTCCACTGCCTTTGGTCCACTGCCTTTGGTCCACTGCCCCTGGTCCACTGCCTTTGGTCCACTGTCCCTGGTCCACTGCCTTTGGTCCACTGCCTTTGGTCCACTGTCCCTGGTCCACTGCCTTTGGTCCACTGTCCCTGGTCCACTGTCCCTGGTCCACTGCCCCTGGTCCACTGCCCCTGGTCCACTGTCCATGGTCCACTGTCCCTGGTCCACTGCCCCTGGTCCACCGTCCCTGGTCCACTGCCCCAGGTCCACTGTCCCTGGTCCACTGCCTTTGGTCCACTGCCCCTGGTCCACTGTCCCTGGTCCACTGCCTTTGGTCCACTGCCCCTGGTCCACTGTCCCTGGTCCAAAGTCCCTGGTCCACTGCCCCTGGTCCACTGTCCCTGGTCCACTGTCCCTGGGTCCACTGCCCCTGGTCCACTGCCTTTGGTCCACTGCCTTTGGTCCACTGCCCCCGGTCCACTGCCTTTGGTCCACTGTCCCTGGTCCACTGTTCGTGGTCCACTGTCCCAGGTCCACTGCCTTTGGTCCACTGTCCCTGGTCCACTGCCTTTGGTCCACTGCCTTTGGTCCACTGCCTTTGGTCCACCGTCCCTGGTCCACTGCCCCTGGTCCACTGCCCCTGGTCCACTGCCTTTGGTCCACTGCCCCTGGTCCACTGTCCCTGGTCCACTGCCTTTGGTCCACTGTCCCTGGTCCACTGCCCCTGGTCAACTGCCCCTGGTCCACTGCCCCTGGTCCACTGTCCATGGTCCACTGTCCCTGGTCCACTGCCTTTGGTCCACTGTCCCTGGTCCACTGCCTTTGGTCCACTGCCTTTGGTCCACTGCCTTTGGTCCACTGCCTTTGGTCCACTGTCTTTGGTCCACTGCCTTTGGTCCACTGTCCCTGGTCCACTGCCTTTGGTCCACTGTCTTTGGTCCACTGCCTTTGGTCCACTGCCTTTGGTCCACTGTCCCTGGTCCACTGCCTTTGGTCCACTGCCTTTGGTCTACTGCCTTTGGTCCACTGCCTTTGGTCCACTGCCTTTGGTCCACTGTCCCTGGTCCACTGTCCCTGGTCCACTGTCCCTGGTCCACTGCCCCTGGTCCACTGCCCCTGGTCCACTGTCCCTGGTCCACTGTCCCTGGTCCACTGCCCCTGGTCCACCGTCCCTGGTCCACTGCCCCAGGTCCACTGTCCCTGGTCCACTGCCTTTGGTCCACTGTCCCTGGTCCACTGCCTTTGGTCCACTGTCCCTGGTCCACTGCCTTTGGTCCACTGCCCCTGGTCCACTGTCCCTGGTCCAAAGTCCCTGGTCCACTGCCCCTGGTCCACTGTCCCTGGTCCACTGTCCCTGGGTCCACTGCCCCTGGTCCACTGCCTTTGGTCCACTGCCTTTGGTCCACTGCCCCCGGTCCACTGCCTTTGGTCCACTGTCCCTGGTCCACTGTTCGTGGTCCACTGTCCCTGGTCCACTGTCCACTGCCTTTGGTCCACTGCCTTTGGTCCACTGCCTTTGGTCCACTGCCTTTGGTCCACTGTCCCTGGTCCACTGCCCCTGGTCCACTGCCTTTGGTCCACTGCCCCTGGTCCACTGTCCCTGGTCCACTGCCTTTGGTCCACTGTCCCTGGTCCACTGCCTTTGGTCCACTGCCCCTGGTCCACTGTCCCTGGTCCACTGCCTTTGGTCCACTGTCCCTGGTCCACTGTCGCTGGTCCACTGTCCCTAGTCCACTGTCCCTGGTCCACTGCCTTTGGTCCACTGTCCCTGGTCCACTGCCTTTGGTCCACTGCCCCTGGTCCACTGTCCCTGGTCCACTGCCTTTGGTCCACTGTCCCTGGTCCACTGTCGCTGGTCCACTGTCCCTGGTCCACTGCCCCTGGTCCACTGTCCCTGGTCCACTGCCTTTGGTCCACTGTCCCTGGTCCACTGTCCTGGTCCACTGTCCCTGTTCCACTGCCTTTGGTCCACTGTCCCTAGTCCACTGTCCCTGTTCCACTGCCTTTGGTCCACTGTCCCTAGTCCACTGTCCCTGGTCCACTGTCCCTAGTCCACTGTCCCTGGTCCACTGTCCTGGTCCACTGTCCCTGGTCCACTGTCCCTGGTCCACTGTCCCTAGTCCACTGCCCCTGTTCCACTGCCTTTGGTCCACTGTCCCTAGTCCACTGTCCCTGGTCCACTGTCCCTAGTCCACTGCCCCTGTTCCACTGCCTTTGGTCCACTGCCTTTGGTCCACTGCCTTTGGTCCACTGTGGACCAGGACTGTGGACTAGAGTATGTACACAGTGCCATGTGCTGTGACATCATTTTGTACACATTGTCATTGAGTCACCAGCATGTAGCTTAAAAGCTGCTGCCTACAAATTTCATGTGGGGGAAAAGCTGAAGGTCTATTGAACAACACACCCAAACTAAAATGTAGACCTTTGTTTGCCCCCCCCCCCCAACCTACACAATGTGTGTCAACAGTTTATTGAGAGATCCAACAGGTACAAGAACCTTGCACCTGTAGAGAATATAGCCAGGTTTATTTCACACAGAGAATATGGCCTATGTATTTCTATCACATAGAGAATATGGCATATGTATTTCTATAACAGCAATAAGATTCTCGTGCCAGTGACTTCAATGTCTCCCAAATATTGAAAATAATGTCAAATGTGTCTTATTATTGTCTGACCACTGTAAGTGACCTGTCTTTTGTTTACTTGACAGATGGGCTTAACACCTGTGATTAGAGCAACCTCTCAAGGTGCACTTGATGCACTCCTGGTACTTCTGGAGGCTGGTGCACTGGTCAACAGACAAGATGAGGTGAGTTGGTGCATGGTCACAAGGTTGTCAGAAGGTATATCCATGGTCACAAGGTTGTCCCCACACATTCACACATTCATATCTTGTACCCCCACACATTCATGTCTTGTACCCCCACACATTCATGTCTTGTACCCCCACAACTTCATGTCTTGTACCCCCACACATTCATGTCTTGTACCCCAACACCTCATGTCTTGTACCCCCACACCTCGTCTTGTACCCCCACACATTCATGTCTTGTACCCCACACATTCATGTCTTGTACCCCCACACATTCATGTCTTGTACCCCCACACATTCATGTCTTGTACCCCCACACATTCATGTCTTGTACCCCCACACCTTCATGTCTTGTACCCCCACACATTCATGTCTTGTACCCCCACACATTCATGTCTTGTACCCCCACACATTCATGTCTTGTACCCCCACACATTCATGTCTTGTACCCCCACACCTCATGTCTTGTACCCCCACACCTCATGTCTTGTACCCCCACACCTCATGTCTTGTACCCCCACACCTCATGTCTTGTACCCCCACACATTCATGTCTTGTACCCCCACACATTCATATCTTGTACCCCCACACATTCATGTCTTGTACCCCCACACATTCATGTCTTGTACCCCCACACATTCATGTCTTGTACCCCCACACATTCATGTCTTGTACCCCCACACGTTCATGTCTTGTACCCCCACACATTGATGTCTTGTACCCCCACACATTCATGTCTTGTACCCCCACACATTCATGTCTTGTACCCCCACACATTCATGTCTTGTACCCCCACACATTCATGTCTTGTACCCCCACACATTCATGTCTTGTACCCCCACACATTCATGTCTTGTACCCCCACACATTCATGTCTTGTACCCCCACACATTCATGTCTTGTACCCCCACACCTCATGTCTTGTACCCCCACACCTCATGTCTTGTACCCCCACAACTCATGTCTTGTACCCCCACACCTCATGTCTTGTACCCCCACACATTCATGTCTTGTACCCCCACACATTCATGTCTTGTACCCCACACATTCATGTCTTGTACCCCCACACATTCATGTCTTGTACCCCCACACCTTCATGTCTTGTACCCCCACACATTCATGTCTTGTACCCCCACACATTCATGTCTTGTACCCCCACACATTGATGTCTTGTACCCCCACACATTCATGTCTTGTACCCCCACACATTCATGTCTTGTACCCCCACACCTCATGTCTTGTACCCCCACACATTCATGTCTTGTACCCCCACACCTCATGTCTTGTACTCCCACACATTCATGTCTTGTACCCCCACACATTCATGTCTTGTACCCCCACACCTCATGTCTTGTACCCCCACACCTTCATGTCTTGTACCCCCACACATTCATGTCTTGTACCCCCACACATTCATGTCTTGTACCCCCACACCTTCATGTCTTGTACCCCCACACATTCATGTCTTGTACCCCCACACATTCATGTCTTGTACCCCCACACATTCATGTCTTGTACCCCCACACATTCATGTCTTGTACCCCCACACATTCATGTCTTGTACCCCCACACCTTCATGTCTTGTACCCCCACACATTGATGTCTTGTACCCCCACACATTCATGTCTTGTACCCCCACACCTTCATGTCTTGTACCACCACACATTCATGTCTTGTACCCCCACACATTCATGTCTTGTACCCCCACACATTCATGTCTTGTACCCCCACAAATTCATGTCTTGTACCCCCACACATTCATGTCTTGTACCCCCACACATTGATGTCTTGTACCCCCACACATTGATGTCTTGTACCCCCACACATTGATGTCTTGTACCTCACACATTCATGTCTTGTACCCCCACACCTCATGTCTTGTACCCCCACACGTTCATATCTTGTACCCCCACACATTCATGTCTTGTACCCCCACACATTCATGTCTTGTACCCCCACACATTCATGTCTTGTACCCCCACACATTCATGTCTTGTACCCCCACACATTCATGTCTTGTACCCCCACACATTCATGTCTTGTACCCCCACACATTCATGTCTTGTACCCCCACACATTCATGTCTTGTACCCCCACACCTTCATGTCTTGTACCCCCACACATTCATGTCTTGTACCCCCACACATTCATGTCTTGTACCCCCACACATTCATGTCTTGTACCCCCACACATTTATGTCTTGTACCCCCACACATTCATGTCTTGTACCCCCACACGTTCATGTCTTGTACCCCCACACATTGATGTCTTGTACCCCCACACCTTCATGTCTTGTACCCCCACACCTTCATGTCTTGTACCCCCACACATTCATGTCTTGTACCCCCACACATTGATGTCTTGTACCCCCACACATTGATGTCTTGTACCCCCACACATTGATGTCTTGTACCCCACACATTCATGTCTTGTACCCCCACACATTCATGTCTTGTACCCCCACACATTCATGTCTTGTACTCCCACACATTCATGTCTTGTACCCCCACACATTCATATCTTGTACCCCCACACATTCATGTCTTGTACCCCCACACCTCATGTCTTGTACCCCCACACGTTCATATCTTGTACCCCCACACGTTCATATCTTGTACCCCCACACATTCATGTCTTGTACCCCCACACATTCATGTCTTGTACCCCCATACATTCATGTCTTGTACCCCCACACATTCATGTCTTGTACCCCCACACATTCATGTCTTGTACCCCCACACATTCATGTCTTGTACCCCCACACATTCATGTCTTGTACCCCCACACATTCATGTCTTGTACCCCCACACATTCATGTCTTGTACCCCCACACATTCATGTCTTGTACCCCCACACCTTCATGTCTTGTACCCCCACACATTCATGTCTTGTACCCCCACACATTCATGTCTTGTACCCCCACACATTCATGTCTTGTACCCCCACACATTCATGTCTTGTACCCCCACACGTTCATGTCTTGTACCCCCACACATTGATGTCTTGTACCCCCACACCTTCATGTCTTGTACCCCCACACCTTCATGTCTTGTACCCCCACACATTCATGTCTTGTACCCCCACACATTGATGTCTTGTACCCCACACATTGATGTCTTGTACCCCCACACATTGATGTCTTGTACCCCACACATTCATGTCTTGTACCCCCACACATTCATGTCTTGTACCCCCACACATTCATGTCTTGTACCCCCACACATTCATGTCTTGTACTCCCACACATTCATGTCTTGTACCCCCACACATTCATGTCTTGTACCCCCACACATTCATGTCTTGTACCCCCACACATTCATGTCTTGTACCCCCACACATTCATGTCTTGTACCCCCACACATTCATGTCTTGTACCCCCACACATTCATGTCTTGTACCCCCACACATTCATGTCTTGTACCCCCACACATGCATGTCTTGTACCCCCACAGATTCATGTCTTGTACCCCCACACCTCATGTCTTGTATCCCCACACCTTCATGTCTTGTACCCCCACACCTCATGTCTTGTACCCCCACACATTCATGTCTTGTACCCCCACACATTGATGTCTTGTACCCCCACACATTGATGTCTTGTACCCCCACACATTCATGTCTTGTACCCCCACACCTTCATGTCTTGTACCCCCACACATTCATGTCTTGTACCCCCACACCTCATGTCTTGTACCCCCACACATTCAAGCCTTGTACCCCCACACCTCATGTCTTGTACCCCCACACATTCATGTCTTGTACCCCCACACATTCATGTCTTGTACCCCCACACATTCATGTCTTGTACCCCCACACATTCATGTCTTGTACCCCCACACATTCATGTCTTGTACCCCCACACATTCATGTCTTGTACCCCCACACCTCATGTCTTGTACCCCCACACCTCATGTCTTGTACCGCCACACCTCATGTCTTGTACCCCCACACCTTCATGTCTTTTACCCCCACACATTCATGTCTTGTACCCCCACACATTCATGTCTTGTACCCCCACACCTCATGTCTTGTACCCCCACACCTTCATGTCTTGTACCCCCACACCTTCATGTCTTGTACCCCCACACATTCATGTCTTGTACCCCCACACATTCATGTCTTGTACCCCCACACATTCATGTCTTGTACCCCCACACCTTCATGTCTTGTACCCCCACACCTTCATGTCTTGTACCCCCACACCTTCATGTCTTGTACCCCCACACATTCATGTCTTGTACCCCCACACATTCATGTCTTGTACCCCCACACATTCATGTCTTGTACCCCCACACATTCATGTCTTGTACCCCCACACATTCATGTCTTGTACCCCACACCTCATGTCTTGTACCCCCACACCTCATGTCTTGTACCCCCACACCTTCATGTCTTGTACCCCCACACCTCATGTCTTGTACCCCCACACATTCATGTCTTGTACCCCCACACATTCATGTCTTGTACCCCCACACATTCATGTCTTGTACCCCCACACATTCATGTCTTGTACCCCCACACCTTCATGTCTTGTACCCCCACACATTCATGTCTTGTACCCCCACACATTCATGTCTTGTACCCCCACACATTCATGTCTTGTACCCCCACACATTCATGTCTTGTACCCCCACACGTTCATGTCTTGTACCCCCACACATTGATGTCTTGTACCCCCACACCTTCATGTCTTGTACCCCCACACCTTCATGTCTTGTACCCCCACACATTCATGTCTTGTACCCCCACACATTGATGTCTTGTACCCCACACATTGATGTCTTGTACCCCCACACATTGATGTCTTGTACCCCACACATTCATGTCTTGTACCCCCACACATTCATGTCTTGTACCCCCACACATTCATGTCTTGTACCCCCACACATTCATGTCTTGTACTCCCACACATTCATGTCTTGTACCCCCACACATTCATGTCTTGTACCCCCACACATTCATGTCTTGTACCCCCACACATTCATGTCTTGTACCCCCACACATTCATGTCTTGTACCCCCACACATTCATGTCTTGTACCCCCACACATTCATGTCTTGTACCCCCACACATTCATGTCTTGTACCCCCACACATGCATGTCTTGTACCCCCACAGATTCATGTCTTGTACCCCCACACCTCATGTCTTGTATCCCCACACCTTCATGTCTTGTACCCCCACACCTCATGTCTTGTACCCCCACACATTCATGTCTTGTACCCCCACACATTGATGTCTTGTACCCCCACACATTGATGTCTTGTACCCCCACACATTCATGTCTTGTACCCCCACACCTTCATGTCTTGTACCCCCACACATTCATGTCTTGTACCCCCACACCTCATGTCTTGTACCCCCACACATTCAAGCCTTGTACCCCCACACCTCATGTCTTGTACCCCCACACATTCATGTCTTGTACCCCCACACATTCATGTCTTGTACCCCCACACGTCATGTCTTGTACCCCCACACATTCATGTCTTGTACCCCCACACATTCATGTCTTGTACCCCCACACATTCATGTCTTGTACCCCCACACCTCATGTCTTGTACCCCCACACATTCAAGTCTTGTACCCCCACACCTCATGTCTTGTACCCCCACACCTTCATGTCTTGTACCCCCACACATTCATGTCTTGTACCCCCACACCTTCATGTCTTGTACCCCCACAGATTCATGTCTTGTACCCCCACACATTCATGTCTTGTACCCCCACACATTCATGTCTTGTACCCCCACACATTCATGTCTTGTACCCCCACACATTCATGTCTTGTACCCCCACAGATTCATGTCTTGTACCCCCACACATTCAAGTCTTGTACCCCCACACGTTCATGTCTTGTACACCCACACCTCATGTCTTGTACCCCCACACATTCATGTCTTGTACCCCCACACATTCATGTCTTGTACCCCCACACATTCATGTCTTGTACCCCCACACATTCATGTCTTGTACCCCCACACCTTCATGTCTTGTACCCCCACACCTTCATGTCTTGTACCCCCACACCTTCATGTCTTGTACCCCCACACATTCATGTCTTGTACCCCCACACATTCATGTCTTGTACCCCCACACATTCATGTCTTGCACCCCCCACACATTCATGTCTTGTACCCCCACACCTTCATGTCTTGTACCCCCACACATTCATGTCTTGTACCCCCACACATTCATGTCTTGTACCCCCACACATTCATGTCTTGTACCCCCACACATTCATGTCTTGTACCCCCACACATTCATGTCTTGTACCCCCACACATTCATGTCTTGTACCCCCACACATTCATGTCTTGTACCCCCACACCTCATGTCTTGTACCCCCACACCTCATGTCTTGTACCGCCACACCTCATGTCTTGTACCCCCACACCTTCATGTCTTTTACCCCCACACATTCATGTCTTGTACCCCCACACATTCATGTCTTGTACCCCCACACCTCATGTCTTGTACCCCCACACCTTCATGTCTTGTACCCCCACACCTTCATGTCTTGTACCCCCACACATTCATGTCTTGTACCCCCACACATTCATGTCTTGTACCCCCACACATTCATGTCTTGTACCCCCACACCTTCATGTCTTGTACCCCCACACCTTCATGTCTTGTACCCCCACACCTTCATGTCTTGTACCCCCACACATTCATGTCTTGTACCCCCACACATTCATGTCTTGTACCCCCACACATTCATGTCTTGTACCCCCACACATTCATGTCTTGTACCCCCACACATTCATGTCTTGTACCCCACACCTCATGTCTTGTACCCCCACACCTCATGTCTTGTACCCCCACACCTTCATGTCTTGTACCCCCACACATTCATGTCTTGTACCCCCACACATTCATGTCTTGTACCCCCACACATTCATGTCTTGTACCCCCACACATTCATGTCTTGTACCCCCACACATTCATGTCTTGTACCCCCACACGTTCATGTCTTGTACCCCCACACATTGATGTCTTGTACCCCCACACATTGATGTCTTGTACCCCCACACCTCATGTCTTGTACCCCCACACATTCATGTCTTGTACCCCCACACATTCATGTCTTGTACCCCCACACATTCATGTCTTGTACCCCCACACATTCATGTCTTGTACCCCCACACATTCATGTCTTGTACCCCCACACATTCATGTCTTGTACCCCCATACCTTCATGTCTTGTACCCCCACACGTTCATGTCCTGTACCCCCACACATTCATGTCTTGTACCCCCACACATTCATGTCTTGCCACTGATGTCCCCAGCATGGAAACGCTGCCATCCATGAGGCCTGCTGGCATGGCTTCAGTAAAGCTGCTGAGTTGCTGGTCAAACACAATTGTGATGTCTTCCTCACTAACAAGGTAACTACCTGTCTAGCCCACAGCCTAGCCCCTAGCTTAGCCCCATCCTGCCCCCAGCCTAGCCCCTATCTAAAAATGTTGTTTTGTTTTAGGCTGGCTTCACAGCGCTGCACCTAGCTGCACAAAATGGTCACAATGAAAGCTCCAGGGTTCTGCTTTATGCTGGTTGTAATGCAGATCTAAAGAATAATGTAAGCACTTTTATCTTTGTCTCTACTGCTAAATGCCAATATTAACCTGTACAATTTATTGCTATAAAACTGAACATTTGTCCCCTATTAATCTAGACAATTGTTACCCCCATTAATATGGAGATGTTCCCTCCTACAGTATGGCGACCTATTAATCTAGACAATTGTTCCCCCATTAATTGTTCCCCCATTAATATGGAGATGTTCCCTCCTACAGTATGGCGACACAGCCCTACACACAGCTGCCAGGTATGGCCATGCAGGAGTGGCCAGGATACTCATCAGTGCCAGGTGTAAACTCAGTGAACAAAACAAGGTCAGAGGTCATCATGTCACCCACACACCGCCATGTCATGTCAGCCACACACCTCCATGTCATGTCACCCACACACCTCAATGTCATGTCACCCACACACCTCCATGTCATGTCACCCACACACCTCCATGTCATCATGTCACCCACACACCGCCATGTCATCATGTCACCCACACACTGCCATGTCATGTCACCCACACACCTCCATGGCATGTCACCCACACACCTCCATGTCATGTCACCCACACACCTCCATGTCATCATGTCACCCACACACCTCCATGTCATGTCACCCACACACCTCCATGTCATGTCACCCACACACCTCCATGTCATGTCACCCACACACCTCCATGTCATGTCACCCACACACCTCCATGTCATCATGTCACCCACACACCTCCATGTCATGTCACCCACACACCTCCATGTCATGTCACCCACACACCTTCATGTCATGTCACCCACACACCTCCATGTCATGTCACCCACACACCTCCATGTCATCATGTCACCCACACACCTCCATGTCATCATGTCACCCACACACCACCATGTCATCATGTCACCCACACACCTCCATGTCATCATGTCACCCACACACCTCCATGTCATCATGTCACCCACACACCACCATGTCATCATGTCACCCACACACCTCCATGTCATGTCACCCACACACCTCCATGTCATCATGTCACCCACACACCTCCATGTCATCATGTCACCCACATACATCCATGTCATGTCACCCACACACCTCCATGTCATGTCACCCACACACCTCCATGTCATCATGTCACCCACACACCTCCATGTCATGTCACCCACACACCTTCATGTCATGTCACCCACACACCTCCATGTCATCATGTCACCACACACCTCCATGTCATCATGTCACCCACACACCTCCATGTCATGACACCCATACACCTCCATGTCATCATGTCACCCACACACCTCCATGTCATCATGTAACCCACACACCTCCATGTCATCATGTCACCCACACACCTCCATGTCATGTCACCCACACACCTCCATGTCATCATGTCACCCACACACCTCCATGTCATGTCACCCACACACCTCCATGTCATGTCACCCACACACCACCATGTCATCATGTCACCCACACACCTCCATGTCATGTCACCCACACACCTCCATGTCATCATGTCACCCACACACCTCCATGTCATCATGTCACCCACATACATCCATGTCATGTCACCCACACACCTCCATGTCATGTCACCCACACACCTCCATGTCATCATGTCACCCACACACCTCCATGTCATGTCACCCACACACCTCCATGTCATGTCACCCACACACCTCCATGTCATCATGTCACCACACACCTCCATGTCATCGTGTCACCCACACACCTCCATGTCATCATGTCACACACACACCTCCATGTCATGTCACTCATACACCTCCATGTCATCATGTCACCACACACCTCCATGTCATGTCACCCACACACATCCATGTCATGTCACCCACACACCTCCATGTCATCATGTCACCACACACCTCCATGTCATGTCACCCATACACCTCCATGTCATCATGTCACCCACACACCTCCATGTCATCATGTCACCCACACACCTCCATGTCATCATGTCACCCACACACCTCCATGTCATGTCACCCACACACCTCCATGTCATGTCACCCACACACCTCCATGTCATCATGTCACCCACACACCTCCATGTCATGTCACCCACACACATCCATGTCATGTCACCCACACACCTCCATGTCATGTCACCCACACACCTCCATGTTATGTCACCCACACACCTCCATGTCATCATGTCACCCACACACCTCCATGTCATGTCACCCACACACCTCCATGTCATCATGTCACCCACACACCTCCATGTAATCTATTGGCTGCCTATAAACCCCTGACTTATCCGACCTTCCCACAGAATGGAGACACAGCTCTCCACATTTCTGCAGCCCTCAAGCGCAGGAAAATTGCCAAAATTTTAGTGGAATCTGGAATTGACATCAGTCTTCTCAATAAGGTCAGCAGCCATTGATCTGTCCTTCATTGGATTCATGCCATCTTTAGATGTCATCATTTGTTTTTTTAGCAAAGTATTATCTAAAACAATTTTTCATTGAATCATTTTTGTAGCAAAATGAAACAGCTCTGGATGTGGCCCAGAGAAAAGAACATCCTGAGATTATACTCATCATAACAACTTGTGGCAAGGTAAGCATCTCAGTCAACTTGACATGTGTTGCCTTTCTTGTCAGTTGACTTGTCCTTCATGTCAGTCAATAAAGTTGCCCCACATATCCCAGTAGTCTGTATGATGGAGCTGTAAAATGTGTTTTCAAATTGCCAGCCTAGGACTGGCCCGCCTGCGGAGATGTTTGGTGTTTCCTTCAAGGAGGAGATAGAAGACAGCCCTGTGGTCTGTCCGGATGAGGATCTCACACTCAAACCTCAGCTTAAACAGGAGAAAGAGGGCAGGAGATTTTTCTTCTTCAAGAAAAAGAAAAAGGTAAACAAAAATGTGTGGAAATATAAAATAGTTGTGTGGGAATGGTAACAGCAGACTACAGCTGCTAGAGATGTTAATTCTTGTAACAGCAGACTACAGCTGCTAGAGATGTTAATTCATGTAACTTCAGTCTGTCTATAAATGTGTCTTCTGTCAGGACAAGCCTCCCACGCCAACACCAGGGGCTAAAAAGTCTGGGCCAGAACTTTTCCACCCCGGTCAAGTGCCAGAGCAGCAGAGAAAAACTCCAGTCCACGGATTCTTCTCTCAGTACGTCCCACGGGATGGTGTCCAGCTGTACCGTGACCTGGCGGGCAACATCAAACAGGTCAGTCTCATAGGGAACTCAGTAGTGGACATAGAGAATAGTACAGGCTAGACTTTGACAGTAGTGGACAGGTTGTGTTAGAGATAGAATAGTACAGGCTAGACTTTGACAGTAGTGGACAGGTTGTGTTAAATAGAGAATAGTACAGGCTAGACTTTGTCAGTAGTGGACAGGTTGTGTTAAATAGAGAATAGTACAGGCTAGACTTTGACAGTAGTGGACAGGCTATGTTAAATAGAGAATAGTACAGGCTAGACTTTGACAGTAGTGGACAGGTTGTGTTAGAGATAGAATAGTACAGGCTAGACTTTGACAGTAGTGGACAGGTTGTGTTAAATAGAGATAGAATAGTACAGACTAGACTTTGACAGTAGTGGACAGGTTGTGTTAGAGATAGAATAGTACAGGCTAGACTTTGACAGTAGTGGACAGGTTGTGTTAAATAGAGAATAGTACAGGCTAGACTTTGACAGTAGTGGACAGGTTGTGTTAAATAGAGAATAGTACAGGCTAGACTTTGACAGCAGTGGACAGGTTGTGTTAGAGATAGAATAGTACAGGCTAGACTTTGACAGTAGTGGACAGGTTGTGTTAGAGATAGAATAGTACAGGCTAGACTTTGACAGTAGTGGACAGGTTGTGTTAGAGATAGAATAGTACAGGCTAGACTTTGACAGTAGTGGACAGGTTGTGTTAGAGATAGAATAGTACAGGCTAGACTTTGACAGTAGTGGACAGGTTGTGTTAGAGATAGAATAGTACAGGCTAGACTTTGACAGTAGTGGACAGGTTGTGTTAAATAGAGATAGAATAGTACAGGCTAGACTTTGACAGTAGTGGACAGGTTGTGTTAGAGATAGAATAGTACAGGCTAGACTTTGACAGTAGTGGACAGGTTGTGTTAAATAGAGATAGAATAGTACAGACTAGACTTTGACAGTAGTGGACAGGTTGTGTTAGAGATAGAATAGTACAGGCTAGACTTTGACAGTAGTGGACAGGTTGTGTTAGAGATAGAATAGTACAGGCTAGACTTTGACAGTAGTGGACAGGTTGTGTTAGAGATAGAATAGTACAGGCTAGACTTTGACAGTAGTGGACAGGTTGTGTTAAATAGAGAATAGTACAGGCTAGACTTTGACAGTAGTGGACAGGTTGTGTTAGAGAATAGTACAGGCTAGACTTTGACAGTAGTGGACAGGTTGTGTTAAATAGAGAATAGTACAGGCTAGACTTTGACAGTAGTGGACAGGTTGTGTTAAATAGAGAATAGTACAGGCTAGACTTTGACAGTAGTGGACAGGTTGTGTTAGAGATAAATAGTACAGGCTAGACTTTGACAGTAGTGGACAGGTTGTGTTAGAGATAGAATAGTACAGGCTAGACTTTGACAGTAGTGGACAGGTTGTGTTAGAGATAGAATAGTACAGGCTAGACTTTGACAGTAGTGGACAGGTTGTGTTAGAGATAGAATAGTACAGGCTAGACTTTGACAGTAGTGGACAGGTTGTGTTAAATAGAGAATAGTACAGGCTAGACTTTGACAGTAGTGGACAGGTTGTGTTAGAGATAGAATAGTACAGGCTAGACTTTGACAGTAGTGGACAGGTTGTGTTAGAGATAGAATAGTACAGGCTAGACTTTGACAGTAGTGGACAGGTTGTGTTAGAGATAGAATAGTACAGGCTAGACTTTGACAGTAGTGGACAGGTTGTGTTAAATAGAGAATAGTACAGGCTAGACTTTGACAGTAGTGGACAGGTTGTGTTAGAGAATAGTACAGGCTAGACTTTGACAGTAGTGGACAGGTTGTGTTAAATAGAGAATAGTACAGGCTAGACTTTGACAGTAGTGGACAGGTTGTGTTAAATAGAGAATAGTACAGGCTAGACTTTGACAGTAGTGGACAGGTTGTGTTAGAGATAGAATAGCACAGGCTAGACTTTGACAGTAGTGGACAGGTTGTGTTAAATAGAGAATAGTACAGGCTAGACTTTGACAGTAGTGGACAGGTTGTGTTAGAGAATAGTACAGGCTAGACTTTGACAGTAGTGGACAGGTTGTGTTAAATAGATATAGAATAGTACAGGCTAGACTTTGACAGTAGTGGACAGGTTGTGTTAGAGATAGAATAGTACAGGCTAGACTTTGACAGTAGTGGACAGGTTGTGTTAGAGATAGAATAGTACAGGCTAGACTTTGACAGTAGTGGACAGGTTGTGTTAGAGATAGAATAGTACAGGCTAGACTTTGACGGTAGTGGACAGGTTGTGTTAGAGATAGAATAGTACAGGCTAGACTTTGACAGTAGTGGACAGGTTGTGTTAGAGATAGAATAGTACAGGCTAGACTTTGACAGTAGTGGACAGGTTGTGTTAAATAGATATAGAATAGTACAGGCTAGACTTTGACAGTAGTGGACAGGTTGTGTTAAATAGAGAATAGTACAGGCTAGACTTTGACAGTAGTGGACAGGTTGTGTTAAATAGAGAATAGTACAGGCTAGACTTTGACAGTAGTGGACAGGTTGTGTTAAATAGAGAATAGTACAGGCTAGACTTTGACAGTAGTGGACAGGTTGTGTTAAATAGATATAGAATAGTACAGGCTAGACTTTGACAGTAGTGGACAGGTTGTGTTAAATAGAGAATAGTACAGGCTAGACTTTGACAGTAGTGGACAGGTTGTGTTAAATAGATATAGAATAGTACAGGCTAGACTTTGACAGTAGTGGACAGGTTGTGTTAGAGAATAGTACAGGCTAGACTTTGACAGTAGTGGACAGGTTGTGTTAAATAGAGAATAGTACAGGCTAGACTTTGACAGTAGTGGACAGGTTGTGTTAGAGATAGAATAGCACAGGCTAGACTTTGACAGTAGTGGACAGGTTGTGTTAAATAGAGAATAGTACAGGCTAGACTTTGACAGTAGTGGACAGGTTGTGTTAGAGAATAGTACAGGCTAGACTTTGACAGTAGTGGACAGGTTGTGTTAAATAGATATAGAATAGTACAGGCTAGACTTTGACAGTAGTGGACAGGTTGTGTTAGAGATAGAATAGTACAGGCTAGACTTTGACAGTAGTGGACAGGTTGTGTTAGAGATAGAATAGTACAGGCTAGACTTTGACAGTAGTGGACAGGTTGTGTTAGAGATAGAATAGTACAGGCTAGACTTTGACGGTAGTGGACAGGTTGTGTTAGAGATAGAATAGTACAGGCTAGACTTTGACAGTAGTGGACAGGTTGTGTTAGAGATAGAATAGTACAGGCTAGACTTTGACAGTAGTGGACAGGTTGTGTTAAATAGATATAGAATAGTACAGGCTAGACTTTGACAGTAGTGGACAGGTTGTGTTAAATAGAGAATAGTACAGGCTAGACTTTGACAGTAGTGGACAGGTTGTGTTAAATAGAGAATAGTACAGGCTAGACTTTGACAGTAGTGGACAGGTTGTGTTAAATAGAGAATAGTACAGGCTAGACTTTGACAGTAGTGGACAGGTTGTGTTAAATAGATATAGAATAGTACAGGCTAGACTTTGACAGTAGTGGACAGGTTGTGTTAAATAGAGAATAGTACAGGCTAGACTTTGACAGTAGTGGACAGGTTGTGTTAAATAGATATAGAATAGTACAGGCTAGACTTTGACAGTAGTGGACAGGTTGTGTTAGAGAATAGTACAGGCTAGACTTTGACAGTAGTGGACAGGTTGTGTTAAATAGAGAATAGTACAGGCTAGACTTTGACAGTAGTGGACAGGTTGTGTTAAATAGAGAATAGTACAGGCTAGACTTTGACAGTAGTGGACAGGTTGTGTTAGAGAATAGTACAGGCTAGACTTTGACAGTAGTGGACAGGTTGTGTTAAATAGAGAATAGTACAGGCTAGACTTTGACAGTAGTGGACAGGTTGTGTTAAATAGAGAATAGTACAGGCTAGACTTTGACAGTAGTGGACAGGTTGTGTTAAATAGAGAATAGTACAGGCTAGACTTTGACAGTAGTGGACAGGTTGTGTTAAATAGAGAATAGTACAGGCTAGACTTTGACAGTAGTGGACAGGTTGTGTTAGAGATAGAATAGTACAGGCTAGACTTTGACAGTAGTGTACAGGTTGTGTTAAATAGAGATAGAATAGTACAGGCTAGACTTTGACAGTAGTGGACAGGTTGTGTTAAATAGAGAATAGTACAGGCTAGACTTTGACAGTAGTGGACAGGTTGTGTTAGAGATAGAATAGTACAGGCTAGACTTTGACAGTAGTGGACAGGTTGTGTTAAATAGAGAATAGTACAGGCTAGACTTTGACAGTAGTGGACAGGTTGTGTTAGATAGAGAATAGTACAGGCTAGACTTTGACAGTAGTGGACAGGTTGTGTTAAATAGAGAATAGTACAGGCTAGACTTTGACAGTAGTGGACAGGTTGTGTTAAATAGATATAGAATAGTACAGGCTAGACTTTGACAGTAGTGGACAGGTTGTGTTAAATAGAGAATAGTACAGGCTAGACTTTGACAGTAGTGGACAGGTTGTGTTAGAGAATAGTACAGGCTAGACTTTGACAGTAGTGGACAGGTTGTGTTAAATAGAGAATAGTACAGGCTAGACTTTGACATTCTAGTGGACAGGTTGTGTTAAATAGAGAATAGTACAGGCTAGACTTTGACAGTAGTGGACAGGTTGTGTTAAATAGAGAATAGTACAGGCTAGACTTTGACATTCTAGTGGACAGGTTGTGTTAAATAGAGAATAGTACAGGCTAGACTTTGTCAGTAGTGGACAGGTTGTGTTAGAGATAGAATAGTACAGGCTAGACTTTGACAGTAGTGGACAGGTTGTGTTAGAGATAGAATAGTACAGGCTAGACTTTGACATTCTAGTGGACAGGTTGTGTTAAATAGAGAATAGTACAGGCTAGACTTTGACAGTAGTGGACAGGTTGTGTTAGAGAATAGTACAGGCTAGACTTTGACAGTAGTGGACAGGTTGTGTTAAATAGAGAATAGTACAGGCTAGACTTTGATAGTAGTGGACAGGTTGTGTTAAATAGAGAATAGTACAGGCTAGACTTTGACAGTAGTGGACAGGTTGTGTTAAATAGAGAATAGTACAGGCTAGACTTTGATAGTAGTGGACAGGTTGTGTTAAATAGAGAATAGTACAGACTAGACTTTGACAGTAGTGGACAGGTTGTGTTAGAGAATAGTACAGGCTAGACTTTGACAGTAGTGGACAGGTTGTGTTAAATAGAGAATAGTACAGGCTAGACTTTGACATCCAGCAGTAACAAGTGTTTTTCCATCCCAGGGTCCCATTGGGTACGCCCCTGTGTGTCAGTGTGGGCCCTCACTGCGACGTCTGGAGAACAGCATCACAGACACGCGAGACACACTCTACAACCACATGGACGCCTCCCACCAGATCCTGTCCCAGAGGATTGAGTACCTGGACAACAGGTCACGGCTGCAGTCACAGGCCACAGAGGCCATGCTGGAGCAGAGGCTGAGACATGAGGAGCACGCCTGTCATGGCCGCATCAGTTCACGCCTCCATGAGGAGAGGGTGGAGACCCAGGCCATGCTAGAGCAGGCCAGTCACACCATGACCGACAAGCTGGAGTACTGGCTCAACGACAAACTGGCCAGCTACGGACACTGTTTAGACCATCACCATGATGACTCAGCCCTGCCTCCCAGAAACCTCTTCTCTGACTTTACAGAGCTGGGGAGGTTGGTGCGGTCCCGCTCAGATGAAACGTTGACAGCATCGGACTACAGCGGCAAGTTCAGGAAGAAAGACTTCTACGCGTCCAGGCAGGCGGCCATGCAGCAGATACGAGGCTGGGACATGCCTGTTGTTGACAGGACTAGCAGCAGAGGGCGCAGGAGGGAGACCAACAACAACTACAGCAACACCAACAACAACTACAGCAACACCAACAACAACTACAGCATCAGCAACAAGAACACCACGGCCTCACCTGGCATCAGCAACACCGTGGTCACGCAAGTCCAGGTGCATGCTAGGGACGTGGGTCATCAGGGTCAGCTCTCTAGGGACGTGGGTCATCATGCCAGGGACGTGGGTCATCAGGGTCAGCTCGCCAGGGACGTGGGTCATCAGGGTCAGCAGGCCATGTCTTCCAGTCACACCCTGAGTCCTAGCACCAAGTCCACCACTTCACCCAGCACTCACACCAGTGCCCAGTCCCTGGCCAAACTTGCCACTCCTCAACTGACTGACACGCCAAAGCTGCGCAGTCGGAGTGTGGACAGGACAGGATCGCAGCACAGAGTGACATTTTCAACTGACCAGCAGTATCCACATAGGGTTACTTCAGCTGACCAGCAGTATCCGCATAGAGTTACTTCAACTGACCCGCAGTATCCGCATAGGGTTACTTCAGCTGACCCGCAGTATCCTCATAGACTTACTTCAAATGTCCAGCAGTATCCCCATAGGGTTACTTCAGCTGACCAGCAGTATCCTCATATTGTTACTTCAACTGACCAGCAGTATCCACATAAGGTTACTTCAGCTGACCAGCAGTATCCCCACAGGGTGACTAGTCCAACCCCTCAAAGTGTTCATGCCAGCCCTGCTGATCCCATCTATTCCAGTGGACCGCGGCGCCAGTCAGCCAACCACAGACAGCAACCAGCCAACCATGTGGGCAGCCCTGTGCCAGCCCCACATAGATCGTTGTTCACACACCAAAATTTAGCCGCAGGGGGTCCTCCAAACACAGACGTAAGATCCAGTGATCAGGGGGGCCCCCGGGTGCCCCTTCTCACTGGACAGATGGCCAATGGTGACCCCAGTTATCCACAGCATGGATACAGTGCTGGCGTCCACTGGCCAAATGGTGCAGGACGAGCCAGGACATTATCCACTGACTCCGTGCTGACAGAGGACAACACAGGCTCTATGCCCAGGAGTCGCAGTGTGGAGAACACCTTAGAGAGCCCCGGTGAGCTCTACTACTCTGGTTACACAACAGACTCTGCCATCAGACCATCCTCTAGTGGGAGCAGCAGCAGGAACACGGGCAGCCAGCGCAACCAGCGGGGCTCACACTCGCACAGCCCCGCTCCCCGTACCACCACCAGATATCGTATTCCAGAAACATCAGCGGACATGTCACGTCCAGAAACCAGCCCCACTCCACCGTACACATATCAAGGGAGACCAACAGCTTTGTCAGGGCCATCCAGGGTGCAGAGTCCCGCCAGCTTACAGAGGACACAGAGTCCTACTAGCACAAGTAGGACACAGGGTCCTGCTAGCACAAGTAGGACGTTTAACAATGATCTAAGAACTAGCATGACTAAACTGTATGACAGCCAGCTGGAGAAAAACCCCAGCCACTCCCCCAGCTCTCCAGGTGAGGTGCTCAGGTACCAGCCTGCAGACCCCAGGTTGAATACCTCCATCCATTACCTGGCCCCCATGAAAGAGTGTTTACAGCATGATAGTCTTGTGTCCCCCACCACCTCCCCAGCCCCTGTCCCAGCCAACAAAGAAGACAGCACCTGCAGCAGTAACCAGGACTCTGGCTACGGTAGCCGCAATCATGGAGGGGTCAAAGGTAGCATTGACACCAGTGGGGGCACCCCCAGCTCCTCCTTCAGTATGGAGAGGAGTGGCTGTACCACCCCCAGCACTGCTGGCTCGCCATTCCCCCACCAAAATGAGGCTGGCAACCTTGACCTGAGGTCTAGCAATGGCTTCCTGCCCTCACCTGTCCAACACAGCTCCACACCTGTCCCAGGCAGGCTCAAGCAGACAGCCAGCTCTGAGAGGTCACGACCCCCAGCTTACAGTGGTCGAGCTGTGAGCAACGTTGTTACAAGCAGACCTCCCCAGTATCCCCCAGTACAGCACACAGTGGCCTATGGCTCCCCTGCCAGTCTCTCCCACCAAATCTCTGCCCAAACCACAAATCTTCAAATCTCTGCCCAAACCACAAGCCTTCATGATAGCAGTGCTCAGGACAGTGGAGATTATAAGGCCTTCAACACAAGCTTGCCACCATCCCTCTCAGCCAAACCCCAGCAACCCCCAGCCAAACCCCAGCAACCAACACCCAACACTCCAGCCAAAGACCAGCCCGCTGCAGTACAGGCCCACATCCAGGGCTGGTACCAGCGCAAACTTCTGGAAGCTGCACAGCGGCTGCGCCAGAGCCAGAGCTACAACAGGCAAGACTCTGAGCAGCCCAGCGCAGAGAACTCGTATGATACAGATGTTTACACACTGTGTCGTCCTGCTGACCAAAGGCAGGGCAGCTACCAGCCATCAACTGACCAAAGACAGGGCAGCTACCAACAGTCAACTGACCAAAGGCAGGGCAGCTACCAGCCATCAACTGACCAAAGGCAGGGCAGCTACCAACCGTCAACTGACCAAAGGCAGGGCAACTACCAGCCATCAACTGACCAAAGGCAGGGCAGCTACCAACCGTCAACTGACCAAAGGCAGGGCAACTACCAGCCATCAACTGACCAAAGGCAGGGCAGCTACCAGCCTACAGCTGACCAAAGACAGGGCAGCTACCAGCCATCAACTGACCAAAGGCAGGGCAACTACCAGCAATCAACTGACCAAAGGCAGGGCAGCTACCAGCCTACAGCTGACCAAAGGCAGGGCAGCTACCAACCGTCAACTGACCAAAGGCAGGGCAGCTACCAGCCATCAACTGACCAAAGGCAGGGAAGCTACCAGCAGTCAACCTATCAATCTACTGACCAAAGGCCAAGTAACTACCCACAACAGTCTGTGAGGGTGACCTCTCCAGTGAGCTACAGAGGTCAGCAGGTCAGTGTCCCAGCCCACTTGTCTAGTCAGACCCAACAAGGACGGAGAGTGACTGGCCCGGCCACAGGGTGGGATCAGGAGACTGTCTACTCCACCACCACATTGGGTGCTAGGGACATGTCAAACCACAGCGTGTATCCACCCACCACATTGGGTGCTAGGGACATGTCAAACCACAGCGTGTATCCACCCACCACACTGGGTGCTAGGGACATGTCAAACCACAGCGTGTATCCACCCAGTAAACTGTATGCTCCACCACATAGAACAATTCATTATGACCCAGTGCATGGCAGCGATGTCTGACCTGCCCCAACAGTCATGTGCGACCTGTTCACCTGTCATGTCTGACCTGTTCAACTGACCCAGCAGTCATGTGCGACCTGCCCACCTGACCCAGCAGTCATGTCTGACCTGTTCAACTGACCCAGCAGTCATGTGTGACATGCCCCAGCAGTCATGTGTGACCCAATGTCTTCCAATTAAGTGGGAGTAGCAAATTGATTAAGCACTGTATAATGTACAGACAAAAATTTCACTTTGTTTACTTAGAGTAGCCATCTTATAAATGGACTATTGTAGTATAGTTAGAACAATGTTTATAATTGACGTGTCCCATTTGTATGGATGAAATAAGCTTTCTACAGTGGTCAGTAGTAATTTATGTTTTCTTAGCAACCCACTAGATGGCAGCATGTGTACTTACATTTCTTTCTGTTCAATATTTTTTTCTTTTATAAAGAAAAAATAGATTTGTTCAAATGTTTATGGCCTTATATCCAACAAATGTTGGTATGCAACAAATCACTTGGCTAGCCTGCTGATTGTTTACATGAATTTTATACACAATAAATGACATTTTAATTGAATTGCATTTAATAAGCATGTTATATGGCACAATAACTAGGATCAAACATTTACAATGACATGTTATAGTAGGTGGCCTTCACACAACCACCCTACATTTTGTATTTGATCTTTCAGCCCTCACACTAAACTGAAGAAAAAACATCCCATGCTCTCACATTCACACCAGTTCAAATATTATCACATCAAGGTGAGCACTCATTGTCTGGTACTAGCTCACACAGCTAGAAAAGTTCTAGAATGCTCCACCAGCTAAGATTACATCAAACAAAATGTCAACAGATCAGAGCTTTTGTATCAAGATGGCGGATGCCCCGCCCCCTCCATTACAGATACTTGCCACACCAAACTCTCCAGCCTTCAGGTTGTGTACCAGGTGACCTGTGATGCGGGCTCCTGACATTCTGGGGATGGAGGGAACATTGTTTTATGGGGAGTGACATACAGGGGGGGGGGGGGGGGGTTAACCTGCAATTGATTTCAATGATGGGAAGAGAGACTTGAGTCAAATAGTGAACTCACCCAATGGGATGTCCAATACTGACAGCACCACCATGAACGTTGACTTTGTTGATGTCCAGCTTCAACATCTCCACATTGGCCAGCACCACAACACTGAAAGCTTCATTGATCTCCCACAGGGCCACTTCATCTTTCTTCACCCCAGAGCTCTCGAACAGCTGGGTGGTGGAGATAGAATAGTCATCATACAGATGGGCACTGCTACAGTCAAACTTTTACAGCTACACAGCTACAGTCAAACTTTTACAGCTACACAGCTACAGTCAAACTTCTACAGCTACAGTCAAACTTTTACAGCTACACAGCTACAGTCAAACTTTTACAGCTACACAGCTACAGTCAAACTTCTACAGCTACAGTCAAACTTCTACAGCTACAGTCAAACTTCTACAGCTACAGTCAAACTTCTACAGCTACACAGCTACAGTCAAACTTCCACAGCTACACACAAAAGTGTCCCAGCAAAAAACAAGTATAAATTATTAAAAACCTTTGGGATAGCATAGGCTGGTGCAGTTGGGAAATCTATGGGGTCAATGGCAGCGTCAGCAAAACCTGAAATAAAAAACTTTGATACAATATCTTATGGTGGTCTACAGCTTTGGTACAATATCTTATGGTGGTTAAAACTTTGATATAATATCTTATGGTGGTCTACAGCTTTGGTACAATATCTTATGGTGGTTAAAACTTTGATATAATATCTTATGGTGGTCTAAACTTTGATATAATATCTTATGGTGGTCTAAACTTTGATACAATATCTTATGGCTGTCTAAATTTTGATACAATGTCTTATGGTGGTCTAAACTTAGATACCAGTGGTGGTTTTACAGATGGCATTCAAAGTAATCAAAGCTAGCTTTACAGATAAAATGGTGGTACAGATAGAGTACAGGTCTTACAGCCTAAATGATTTTAGTAGCTGAAATATCCTTACTTAATGGCAGCTGACTAAAGACTTACTGACTATACTGACTAAAGACTTACTGACTATCCTGGCTAGAGGTTTGGCTCCAAATTTCTTGGCAGCTTCAGCAGTCATCAAGACAAGGGCTGCAGCTCCATCATTCAGTGTACTGGCGTTTGCTGCAGTTACGGTTCCTGGGAAAGGGAAATAACTTTTTAAGCTTTTAAAAACTAACCCTCCGTATGACTGAGTATCAGCCATTTAAAAACAAACACGTTTTTTCACAATTCATTTTTTAGGCTACCAATTAAATTTGATAATTAAAATTGGTAAATAAATATAGTTTTTAATTGTTTACGTCATCTTGAACAATATTGAAGTTTAAAATCTTATTCGACACCCTAAATTAGGTTTGTTTGAAAAGACATTTTTCATTAGATGCTACCAAAACTAGCAAGATGAATATTGAAGTTTAAAATCTTATTTGACACCCTAAATTAGGTTTGTTTGAAAAAACATTTTTCATTTGATGCTACCAAAACTAGCAAGATGAAGTTTAGATTTTAACATTACCTTTCTCTTTTTGAAACACTGGTTTCAGATTTTTAAACTTTGTGAAATCTGTTTTTTTGTATTCTTCGTCTTCAGCAACTTTGATTGGATCCCCTGGAAATTAAAAAAAAACAAAAAAATAACCAACAAAGACATCAACCAACCAATGCAGTCTAAACTTAACACCCAAACACATTCAACCCACACAGTCCAAAATACAACCACCCGAATATAAAAAGTAGAATGGCCAAACAAAATGTCTTGGATTAGGATTCAGCAGGACTCTATTTGATCTGACTTGGTCTAGCTGGCTGGGTTACAATATTTGATCTGACTTGGTCTAGCCGGCTGGGTTAGGGATTTACTGCTAGGCTGCTAGTGATACAATAAAAAATTTACTTCACCTTTTCTTTGGGGCACCTCCACTGGAACTATTTCCGGTGCAAAGACTCCAGCAGCCGCAGATTTCTGACTGAGTGTGTAGCTTCTGACAGCAAACTCGTCCTGCGCCTCCCTGCCAATGTTAAACTTCTTGGCAGTGTTCTCTGCACAGTTGCCCTGGTGGATTATGGGAACATTTATACACAAGATCTCCACGGTAACAAGAATAAGAAACATTCCAAAACATTTTTAGTCAGCTCAACTTTTTGAAAAATTCAATTTATCAAAGTTCTTGTTTTTAGGTGAAAGAGGTTGTAGGTAGACATGTTGTGGAGATAGCCTTACCATGTGACAGTGGGTGTATGAAGAAAAGTTGTGAAGATAGCCTTACCATGTGACTGGGTGTATGAAGAAAAGTTGTGGAGATAGCCTTACCATGTGACAGTGGGTGTATGAAGAAAAGTTGTGGAGATAGCCTTACCATGTGACAGTGATTGTAGGCATCTGTTAAGCCATCACACACAATGCCATCCTGGTGAAGGAAATATCAAAGTCAGAACTAGGCGAAAAACGTTGCCATCATGTCCAAAAAAAAAACAGTCTATTATCATCAATTAGCTGTGTCAGCTAATGTTGATTTAGGATTAGCTCAGGAATTAGTGTAATCTTTTTATGTTTAACCCTTTAAAGTACAGTTCTATGTGCTCCCAGCCATTTGAAATATGTACAGCATGTTTTTTTATGTGAGGTAATACCAGGGGAAGAAGAAAATATGTTTTTATTTGATTTTGTTATCTTGTTGTTCTATCTCAAATTGCTTATTTTCTACGATTTATCTAAAGTTAGCCATTTTTTTTTAAATTTTGGGCAATATAATAAGTTAAATTAAATCTAATAAAATCTGCTGTTGAATTGGGCTTTATTTATAATGTAACTATTGAAAAAGAAAGTAGCTCCAGCGACTATGTTGAATTTTATTTAGCATTTAAAATAAATTTATAGAAATAATACTAGTATTAGCCTTTTGTTTAAAGTTTTTTTGGGATTGATGCAATTTTTAAAAATTAGAATACTATTATGCTATTTTAACTCCCACATAATAAATTCAGACCAACTTTGTATATTTCATTTTTGTTACCGCTTATGTTTATTTTTATTTATTTTTTTAAAGTGCAGTGGTTGCCCAGCCGTGGGGAAGTACAAAACATGGATGCCCGGGACAGGAAATGGTTGAGGGGATAGATAGGTAGGACAGTCAAGTTATAAAAACTCAGGTACCTCCAGGTTGATGCCCCCATAGGGCAGGGCTCCTCTCTTCAGGTAGAAGGGGACGTTGGACATGCTCTCCATACCTCCTGCTACCATCACTTCCTGTACAAATATTTTGTTTTACACGCAGGATATTTTATGCTTCCAGTATACATTTATACAAACATTTTTTTACACACAGGATATTTCATGCTTCCAATATACATTTATACAAACATTTTTTTACACACAGGATATTTCATGCTTCCAATATACATTTATACAAACATTTTTTTACACGCATGATATTTCATGCTTCCAATATACATTTATAGAAACATTTTTTTTACACGCAGGATATTTCATGCTTCCAATATACATTTATAGAAACATTTTTTTACACGCAGGATATTATTTCATGCTTCCAATATACATTTATAGAAACATTTTTTTTACACAGAAAAAATTTTTGTATCAAAGACAAACTTACGGAAAAAAAAGAATTTTTAAAAGTGGACTATCACATACACATGATTTTTTAAAAATTAGGTTTATGCTAAACAAGGCGCCAGCTAACTACGTGTCCAAGCCTATTCGCTAAACCATGGGTCAGCTAACAATTTTATTGGAACGATTTTCAGCAAAAATAATGATAAATAAATGACGTTAAACACAGATAGTGACCCCTGTCATAGAGCAAGTTTTGGACTGACCTGGCACCCCTGTCATAGAGCAAGTTTTGGACTGACCTAGCACCCCTGTCATAGACCAAGTTTTGGACTGACCTAGCACCCCTGCTATAGAGCAAGTTTTGGACTGACCTGACGCCCCTGCCATAGAGCAAGTTTTGGACTGACCTGGCACCCCTGTCATAGATCAAGTTTTGGACTGACCTGGCACCCCTGTCATAGATCAAGTTTTGGACTGACCTGGCACCCCTGTCATAGATCAAGTTTTGGACTGACCTGGCACCCCTGTCATAGATCAAGTTTTGGACTGACCTGGCACCCCTGTCATAGATCAAGTTTTGGACTGACCTGGCACCCTTGCTATAGAGCAAGCTTGGACTGACCTGGCACCCCTGTCATAGATCAAGTTTTGGACTGACCTGGCACCCCTGTCATAGATCAAGTTTTGGACTGACCTGGCACCCCTGTCATAGATCAAGTTTTGGACTGACCTGGCACCCTTGCTATAGATCAAGTTTTGGACTGACCTGGCGCCCCTGCTATAGAGCAAGTTTTGGACTGACCTGGCGCCCCTGCTATAGAGCAAGTTTTGGACTGACCTGACGCCCCTGCCATAGAGCAAGCTTGGACTGACCTGGTGCCCACACATGAGAGACTGTGACCTGTCATAGAGCAAGTTTTGGACTGACCTGGCGCCCCTGCTATAGAGCAAGTTTTGGACTGACCTGGCACCCCTGCTATAGAGCAAGCTTGGACTGACCTGGTGCCCCTGTCATAGAGCAAGTTTGGACTGACCTGGTGGCCACACATGAGAGACTGTGATGCCAGCATGATGGCCTTCATGCCTGAGGCGCAGACCTTGTTGATGGTTGTGGTGGGGGTGGAGATGGGCAGACCTGGAGGGAGACAATACATTTTCATCTCCACTAGCAAAACTCACCACTAAACTATAGCTAAAGTTAGCCTAACAGTTAGAAGGTGACACCAAGATCAAATGGTGACACGAACATCAAATGGTGACACCAACACTGAAGGTGACACCAACATCTAATGGTGACACCAACATCTAATGGTGACACCAACATCTAATGGTGACACCAGCATCTAATGGTGACACCAACATATAATGGTGACACCAACAGCTGATGGTGACACCAACATCTAAAGGTGACACCAACATCTAACGGTGACACCAACATCTAATGGTGACACCAACAGCTGAAGGTGACACCAACAGCTGATGGTGGCACCAACAGCTGAATGTGACACCAACATCTAATGGTGACACCAACAGTTGAAGGTGACACCAACTTCTGATGGTGACACCAACAACAGAATGTGACACCAACATCTAATAGTGACACCAACATCTAATGTTGACACCAACATCACCAACATCTAATGGTGACACCAACAGCTGAAGGTGACACCAACAACAGAATGTGACACTAACATCTAATAGTGACACCAATATCTAATCGTGACACCAACATCTAATGGTGAACTCACCTGCTCCAAGGGTGGCTTGTCTGGCTGGTGCTTGACCTTGACGACCTTGCAGAACATTGCCCATATATACTTCATTGACATTTTCTGGAGCAATTCCTGAATCAGGCAGACAGTGACAAAGTTACAAGATACACTAGGTGATCACAGAACTAACATTGAGGCCAGAATACTGACATTTTCTAGAGGCCAGAACACTGACATTTTCTTAAGGCTATAAAACTTGCATTCCCTAGACTAAAATAGCGTCATTCCCTAGAGGCTATACATATGTATTAAGTTATATTCGCTAAACAACTGACGTTCCCTAGACTAGAACACTGACATTCCCTAGACTAGAACAGTGACATTCCCTAGACTAGAACAGTGACATTCCCTAGACTAGAACAGTGACATTCACTAGACCAGAACAGTGACATTCCCTAGACTAGAACAGTGACATTCCCTAGACTAGAACAGTGACATTCCCTAGACTAGAACAGTGACATTCCCTAGACTAGACTAGAACACTGACATTCCCCACCAACCTGCCTTCTTGACAGCAGCACTGATGGCAGCTGACCCAAGTTTTGTAGCTGGGAGTGCAGATAGGGAGCCCAGGAAAGATCCAATTGGTGTACGCACAGCGCTCACAATAACAACTTCCTGTGTGGTACAACATTAATTATGTTTAACTAGTCACACACACACAAGCGTACGAACAAGAAAATGTTAACTTTTATAACACCAGTCACACACACAAGCGTACGTACAAGAAAATGTTAACTTTTATAACACCAGTCACACAAACATAAGTACAAGAAAATGTTAACTTTTAAAACACCAGTCACACACACAAGCGTACGTACAAGAAAATTTTAACTTTTGTTACATGACAAATGTAATGTTAATAAAGCTTTGCTATTTTAGTGTAAGCTGATCAACATCAAGCTAATTTACATAATTATTGAGTAACACCTAATAACTAAAATAATTATTCAGGTGAACCCAATGCAGCAAATGTACAAATTAAAAAAAGGAAAATATTGAATATACAATCACTATCTTCAGCCTCCTTAACCACCCCCCCCCCCTACTCATTGAATGATTCAAGTAAGTGTTGCTAAGATAACCAATCGACTGGATGTAAGATCATGTGTGTGGGACAGATATCAGTGGAGGTCAATCTAAGCTTTGACATCTATACTCTTATCATCTGATAGCCTGTGTAGGGTTCATGGGATATTTCTTTAACAACTCACTTTTTTAGTTAGAGCACAACACGAGTAGGCTGAGCTAAAAGATCAAACTTAGGCCTAGCTGACCGAATTTGGCCTAGCTGACAGAATTTGGCCGAGCCAACAATAAGATCTGGCCGAGCTCAAATAAAATTAGACCTAGCGAACAAAGTTTAAAATGTGTCCTAACCCTAGCTTGAATTAAAATGTGTCCTAACCCTAGCTTGAATTAAAATGTGTCCTAACCCTAGCTTGAATTAAAATGTGTCCTAACCCTAGCTTGAATTAAAATGTGTCCTAACCCTAGCTTGAATTAAAATGTGTCCTAACCCTAGCTTGAATTAAAATGTGTCCTAACCCTAGCTTGAATTAAAATGTGTCCGTACCCTAGCTTGAATTAAACTTGGCCCAACTAACAGTACATTAACATAAATGTAAATAAAACAGCTGCTACTTGCCCCCCCCCCCCCCCCAGGTGATATTTCACCAAGGTCACAGAGGTTGGGCATTCTATGGTGTGCTACACTTAGCAGCCCTACATACTTACATTTGTGTCAGCTACATATGTGTCAGCCACAGTACAACCGGCAAGACAGATTCACCAAAAGTTAAAGATATTTCGCTCTACTGAAAGGTACCCATAACACCAATGACAAATTAGAACCTACAGACTTGCTTTTATATATCCCCCACCCCCAAACAAAAGAGCAATATATAAATATAGATGTCCTAATGGCTAATGACAAAAGGGCTCCCAGTAATTCCCACAATATTATGGCCCCTGACAAAAGAACTCCATCTAAAATCTTCCTCAAAAGGGGTTCTTGGCATCATAACAAGTGTTAACCAATAAATAAGACAAAAGTATACACCAGCAGCTGATAAAAGCTTAGTGTTTCGCGTAGGTTCATGTAAATAATGGGCGTAACTTTTTCCTAACCCCACATGTGTCCCCCTCACCTGCAGACTTCAATATTTGCAAGATCCATGTTTATATTATGGGACAGTGTGGCTTATATTATGGGACAGTGTGGCCTAGCTGTAGAGAGCTAGACTGCTAACCCGAATGTCTCAAGTTCGAAATCTGGGGTCAAGTCAGTAGAGTCCACCCAGCGCTAATGGGTACCTAACTCATGTTAGGGAAAGTAAAGGCAGCTGGACATAGTGCTGACCACACCATCTTCCATATGCCTAGGTCATGGAAACAGATGAAATCTACTTCACTAGCACCATAGACAGTCAGGTTTGAAAGAGAACTTTACTACTTAACTGTCTTATTTATTTTTAAAACTGAATGAACAAAAGCTTGAGGTAAATTAAATGAAGTAAATTTTAACTACTAATAGTGTGACTAAGCAAGCTACATACTGAAAGCTGAGCAATCCCTTATTCATACTAGATGAAATTTTAAATGCTGAAGCATGCCAAACTGTATGAGGATCCCTTTACAAATAAAAAGTTGTGAATCAAACATTCTGGAGATGTGACAAGATTTCTCACACAAACATTCTAGAGATGGGAAATGTTTTCTCACACGCACCACTAGTGTAAAAGTGTTTTGTCATAATTTGAATCTTTCAGTGGTTAGAACATTAGGAAACAAATATTTCTTGGTTAGAAATCTATGCTTGTCTCATTTCTAAGCTAAAAGTGTGTTAGATCATATAGATGATCAGTTTCAAATGTTGAAGTTTAAACTGAAACCAGGAAACAAAACAATGACTTACTTTTAAACCCGACTTAGTAGCATAGCTCCGACTTAAAGCCCTGAGTGCCTGGACAGAGAATTGAGTTAATTTTGATCATTACATCAGTTGTCATCATTATAAACAACCTAAACATTGTAATTATCAAGTCTAACTGATCTTATGACATTATCAGAATAAATACCACCTCCTAAACAAATAGCAGAAATTAATTTTTAATTATTCTGTACTGCAATGACAAGTTAAAAACTCAAAAAGTTTTAGTACATTTCAGTTTATTAATTAACAGTTCAAATAATATTTATACTAACTACTTGACTTTTTAACCAATGTAATTTAAAAAAATACATTTTGTAATAAATAATGTCAGCTCAATGTGTTATAATAATACTATTTAGGCCTATAAATCTAATCATCATCATCTTTTCCCTTCTGTGCCCATGACACATGGGGAAGTCACAGAAATTTCTTTTCACTTTAGCTAGTCTTTGGCAATTTTCTTGGCTATCCTCCTAGATAGCCCTGCCTTTGTCAGTTACTTTTCTGCTGTGCATCTACACATCTCCCTTGGTCTTCCCCTGTTTTTTTTTTGTTGTGGCGCCCAGTTAATCTGGGTTCATTCTTAAAATGTGCTTCATCTAGTGCCATCTTCATTTTCCAATTATTTAGTCAACAGCTTGCATTTCCATTTCTCCTAGTAATTGATCATTGTAGATGTTTTTGGGCCAGTATAAATCTATAGGGGCCTATACTATGGGTGTTGGTAAATTGGGAAACGCAATATGGCAAGGCAGTGAATTGTGAGAAGGGTGAGAAAACCGCCAGTCACATGGTATTTTTTGATAAATACTTATGCAAGGTGGGGTTAAAATTCAAAGATGTCTGCCAAAATTACACTGCACCAGATTTACAATTATTTTAGATGCAGATATTTTGTTTGTATTGAACTACCTGATTTTTTAGTCGCTAAATGTGCTAATGATCTATCAACATTTTGTGTGGGACTCCGAAGCCGCCCAATATATTGCCTTTGAACATCACCATGCCTCAGATCCCTGCCGCTACAAACATCTTGTTTGAGATGCAATGAAATTTTTTATTACTACCGTCTGCCTATTGTTTTTTTTATTATATAAATATCGGGAGAATGTTTACACTGGTGCCCGATAATGGAATCTTCTTTATAAAAGGGGTGTTATGTTACTGGTAGTTAACTAAATACACACATGGCTGGCTAATTTCAATGCTAACCCTGTCCCTAACCCTAACCCCAACCCTCGTCCTACCATACACCTAACCCTAATTTCTAACCATAAAATTAGTGGAGATTACAATATTACTAACAACCCAACACCCCTTTTTTAAAGAAGATTCCATTATCGGACACCGGTATCTAAAGGCCTAATTATACAAAATATCAATTTTGTCAATTTTTTAAATATTATAATTAAAATGACTTTAAAAAATTTCACTTAAAATAAAATACGCTTTCTTCAAATACAACCATACAAAGTGGAAGGCATTGGCTTTACCATAACAATGTGCTTGAATATTACTGCAGACTCTTATCAGTTATGTTTGGAAGTATTTTAACAAATGGGTAGGTAATCTATCGTTTTGGGTACGTAAAATCGCCCGCGGCTAGTAATGTACGAAAAAGTTACCTCATTGTCAAGGCTTTAATAGAAGTATATTGTGATATGTTTGTGTCAAATATTGTAGATAAATGAATAATAAACCTAAATCAATGGCTAAATATATAAATATGGGCCAGAAATTAACTTTAAACAGCAGTATTTGCGAGCAAGATTTGCAATATAAACAGCAGCCATTTGTAAAATAGAGTGGCTTCCCCCTGAATCTCGCTCGTTAAGTTTAGAAAAAAAACTTAAACAAGATGGCTGCTATAGTAAATGAGCATGGTTGCATCTGTTGGAAACATCGCAGGTGTTCATTTATTACTGAAAAGTTTTTATCCAATTATTAAAACACAGGTACATAAAGGAAACAAGGAAACATTTTTGTATTTTTCAAAAAATAAATCCTCCTCAAAATGTGTAAAAATTATTAAAATTTAAGGAGTCATCTGTTTTTCACATTACTAGTCGCGGGCGATTTTACGTACCCAAAACGATAGATTACCAATGGGTAAATTTTAACTACAAATTTTTTATTCTGAATCTAGATCTAGATCTAGATACTACGGTAACTTAACTAGAAGTAGAGAGTAGAATAATAGAATTGAATATTGAATATGAAGTAGGCCTAATAGTAATATAATATGCCCTCAGTACTCACTGAGTAGTGAGTAATGATTAATGAATGAGTATGCTATGCAGGGTGTGGGGAAATTGCGAGACGCGAAAAGCGAAATGGCGAAGTGGGAAAATGCGAGAAGGGCGCGAAAACGGTCGGTCACGTGACTTTTTTTGTCTCGCATTTTACCACAAGCAGATACATACGCTGGGTAGTGTTGAAATGCGAAGATTTCTGCGAAAAATTTACCGCACCCGATATTCAGTGGTATTTGGTCCAGACTTCAAAGACGTTCCGTTTACATTGTTAAAACTTCCTATTTTTCCGTCGCTAGACATAGTGATGATTTGTCAGCTCCCCCCATCTTTTGTGTCGACTTAGAATACCACCTTGTTCGAAACCGACGGAAATACCGCCGACGATAGATCAACTTCTGTCTTTTGTGAGGAACGCCGGGGTCGCCTGATTTACCGTCTTTGAAGATCACCGTGCCCGGATCCGCTGCCGCCGCAAACATATTTTCTATTGTTGCATAGAAATTTTGTATTATAGCCGCCGCCTACGATTTTTTTCTAGCTTTTTTTACCATATAAATCTAAGCACAAGGAAATGCCTACATCATTTGGATACAACTATTCTGGAGATAAGAACTACTTACTGTGTGTTTTCTCTTCCAATGTTCCTTTACACTAATTTATATTAGATTTTATTTCACGGTTGTGACTTTTCCGAATTTTCCCATAAATGTTATATTATTATTTATAAATTAATTGTAAATATATATATATTTATTATTTCCATAAATAAGTCAGAAAAAATAACATCAAATTAAGTATGCGATTACTGCCCTATGTGAAGGTGAGGACTAGATTAACCCTCCCTTATGTGTTGCTTATTCCTAAGCTTTTATGAACTCTCAGTGCCCCCAGTTTTTTTCTCTTGCTTACTGTTTGGGGAAAAAATAAAGTGACGTCACCGATATTATCAGTTGCTCGTGCTATATCGTAAGCTATGGGCCTACTTCAAATATTTTAAAAACCAAGTTGAACTTATCTGAATTTTTTGGTTTTGGTGGTGGTGTTATTTTGGGGTCTTCCATAAATGACTTTTTGCAAGTACAAAAATCCATAAATAGATGTTGCAAAATATCTCTCCTGCTGACAAGATTATACCAATTCACAATGACACAGCTCACGTTTGTGTAAACATGAGCGGGCTAGATTTTAAAATTAATGTCGACTGAGACGGGATTCTCCTCTCGCTAACAAGAGCGGGCGATGACAGTAGCACAGCAACGATGTTAGGATTTTTAAATAGATAGATCTAGATATAGATCTATCTATCTTCTGAGTATCTATCTATATAATAAAATTTAGATAGGCCTACAAAATAACAACATACAACACTCGTGTTAAAGGGTAGGCCTATGGCTAAATGCTTGTTTATTTTAAAACAAAAAAAATAATTTAAATAAATAATATTAAATAAAGATGGAAAAAAAAAGAAAAAAACTTTTTTCGCAAAAAGTGTCTCGCTATTTACCCTTAATTCCGCAGGTATGTCTCGCATTACCTTCTCGCATTTTCCCGCCTCGCCATTTCGCTTTTCGCGTCTCGCAATTTCCCCACACCCTGCTATGCACACCTCTGCTAAAGTAAAAAAAAACTTCAAAAATAGTGACTGAAATCTAGATCTCTAGATCTTTAAAAAAATACTACTGATCTAGACTATGAACATAATTTTATTTTACTCAATAGAAAGACTATAGTCTACCTGTGATGAAAAGCGGCAATTGAAAAGCATTCTTAGTACTTGTCAAGAATTTTAGTTGTTTCTGAATAGCGAATCAGCCCTAAAATAAGCTGAAGCCTCTGCTGTCACTGAAGTCAAGAGAACGAACTTTGGTGTGTGCTAACACCCTGCAGTGTTAAGTAAGGTCATTGCATAGCCAATCAAAAAAAAGGATTAGACACACCTCTAAATTCTTAACTCCTGAAAGCAATTTTCAAAGAGTCAACAATAATATTAAAATAAATAATAAATAATCAAAAACATTAACAAGTAGGCCTATTTCTTTTTTAAAAGAAGTTAGAACTTGGATGTAGAATCTACCACTAGATCTCGACTGTATTCAATAAATATTAAATCAATTTCATTCCTTTCAAGTTTAATTAATTTATCATATACTAGAAATATGTCTATTTCATACAGAACTTCCAATTAATTTTTATTTTAGCCCTAGATTCTAATTTTAATTCAGCTGACGGGCAGCATTTTAATTATTTAGATCTATAATTAGGTAAGGGTTCATCCATTTATGACGTCCCACCCCCCACTCCCCCCCCCTTTCGACCTGGTAAAAAATGTGCCGTTTTTTTTTTGGGGGGGGGGGGGGTTAGAAGGGTGGTATACAATTACTTGCCTGATACATTTATTCACCAAATTCAGCTGGTGTTTTGTTTAAACACGAGAATTGCCGATTTAATTCATATATTGAAAATGCAGTTTTGTTTTAAATTTTTTTCACTTTAGATGTAAGCATTTTGATGTAAAATTCAACATATGGACGTCCACCTTTACCCGAACACCCCCCCCCCCCCTCTCCCTTCAGTCCACACGCGTCCGCAATAGTCGATTTTTTCGGGATCCCCCCCCCCCCTCATAAATGGATGACATCTAAATAACATTTCACAATCTGTGTTCTAACAAGAAAATGTGATTAGGGTGTATCCAAATTTATATATATATATTTTTTTTTTTTTAAAATTGTAGTTTTGAAGCCTAGCCTATTTCTATAAGTGAAGTAGACGTAGGCCTATGATAGACATTCGTGTAGACTAAAAAATAAATAGATTCACGTCCAAATTGGCAAATTTTTTGTACCGCCGACAATCGCAACACGCATCTAAATTATTGTCTTTGATTTTGGAAGTCTCGTACTTTATTTTAATAAATGCATCCCGGGCCTTCAAACAGCATTGTAATTTTTTTTTTAAAGTTCCATGCTAAATAATTAAATATTATAATAAAACTAAAAAAAAAACTGGTAATGAATTTGGGTAGACAGCCTAATTTTCTGTTCAAAACATAAATAACTAAACTAATACTAAGTTCAGCCCTGCTTGAATTTGTTTGGCATTGCAGGAAAGTAACTAAACAAATTTTGATGACACGCCTCTGCCAAACGTGTTTTCTTTAAATTCGAAATGCTCTATTCAAAATTATCAATATTTATTATCAGCATTAAAAATGCTACTGGGCCAGTATTGGCGGTGCAAATTCCGAAGTCCACAAGTTCAAAGTACATTCATAATATAAATATATAGATCTAGGCCTATTAGTATTAGCCATCGTGCGTGATAGTGCACTTTCAGGGGCACGTCAAGCTAAGATTTTGTGTTTGTCGCAATAGTGGCACTGTCAAAAAACCGAATATCAACGCAAACATTCAGTCCTGGAGGAAAGCAAATTATTATCGATTGCGCATCTCACTCCAACGTGCGCATCGGTCCACTGTATTCGTAACGTGCGTTTGTTCGGTTTTTGGACCACTTTTTTAAAAAGGGGAGGGGCGGTGCTTTAAGACTTAGATAGGCCTACCAGCGGCCTACATATAAAATATATGTAGTGTTATGTAGGCATATATTATTTTTATCTTATTAGTCTATTTGGGAGGGGGCGTTAAAGTAACTCGGTAGTGAAAGTAGAAGGGGGGGGGGGGGGGGGGGGGGGGGGTTCAACATCTTAATCGAATCTTTCTAAATAAAGCAAATTTTTTTTAAGAAATAGGAACTCAGAAAATGAAAATATATGTTTTATAATAAATATCTGTTGTAATAGTATTAGTAAATAATAATCTAGCTTTCTAAAGAATAGGTAACAATTACAAGCCTTTTAAAAAAATAGTTTTTAAATTTTGTGTCTTTATAGACAATATTCTTGGGGATTGTATTATATATATAGACTTTGGTCTATTCCTATTAATATGTATGAGGGCCGGGCATATTTGTTTTATTAACAGTTGTCTTTTGTTAATTTAAATGAAATTTATTGTTTACTATCCCTACCAAAAACAAAGTGCGAAAACATATTCGAATTTTATTTGCCGCTGCTTCAATCACACAGCTTCGATTAATATTGGGTAAAAATCGACAGCGTCTACGTTCTGTTGATTGCCGACGTCTATCATGTTGGTTTAATATAACCCTTGGCAGTCAAAATAAAGGAATCCTTTTAGATCTGCCCCTTTGAGTATCACAACCTTTCACAGCACAGATCACCATTTTGAATGCGGACATGTACACCGCAATGGCGGATGTTTACATACTGACTGATCAGTGACGTCATCTGCAAGGACTATATATATATATATATATATATATATATATATATATATATATATATATATATATATATATATATATATATATATATATATATATATATATATCAGCTGGGTTAAATTAATATTAGAAAATAAATTTCACAAAAAATGCCAGTTTAAAAATAAAAAATAAAATGCATTATAATCCATTATAAAATATAATAAACCGGGAGTGATCTCCCCTAAACTTTCTCGAATATTCTAATATAACACTACGGGGGAAGGCAACTCGGGATATAGACTTCCAGACATGATTTTTAATCCATTTTAATTACTCAAATTTTTTAAAATAGAATATAATCTCGTAGAAAAAAGAAATGCACACCAAGTGAACGCTAAATAAAGATGTGCATAATAGTGCGAAATATTATTAGTACTTGATAAATTTACATGCATTTTTTGAGAAATCGGAAATAGCGTAAATAAGTACTTCCGGTCAAGGGAAATTACTCAAAATTTGACAGAAGGTAGAGAATTAGATCTTTTACTTACATATCAAATTTCATTTATCTATCTGAAATAGTACTCAAGTTATAGGCTTTTGAAAAATTCAAAGTAGAAAAAGTACCACTTCCGGTTATCGGAAATCGCTCAAAAGTTGATACGGATCTACGATTTTGATAAAATACTTATATATGAAATTTCATCAACCTAGCTGTAACGGTACTCAAGTTATCGTGTTTACACACGGACACACACACACACACAGACACACAGACGTACGGACAAGATTGCAAAATTATGTTTTTCCGTATCAGTGAGATGTAAAACGTCGAGATTTGCAAAAATCTCGATTTTTTTTTTTGCACGATTACAAGACTTTCTCTATAGGCCTACTTCGTATATACGAGAAAGTAAAAAGATTAGACATAGAAAATTGTAGTGATATCTTTATTTTCCTTTAATTTAGTAAAAAACAAATCAACAGTAGAGTGGGTCACGTCTCCTTCACTTGAACAAAAAAAGCTTGCACGCCCCATTTATAAACACCAACACGCCCTTGTTTACCAACACAACAGTCTGAGTGTCTGAAATTGTTCTAGTTGGTCTCTATTTAAAAAAACATCTGGCTACATTCATCTCATAAAATAATTGTCAAAATCACCCCAAGTATTTAAGATCTGGAAAAAATATTTAAAACATAAATGACAAGGCACCCCTGAGTAATGTAAAAAATGAATAAAACAATACTGAGAAGACGTCACTTTTGTCATGGCTCAGATCATCAGGTAAAAAACATACAAGCAGGTAACATACAACACATTCAAGCAGGTAACATACAACACATTCAAGCAGGTAACATACAACACATTCAAGCAGGTAACATACAACACATTCAAGCAGGTAACATACAACACATACAAGCAGGTAACATACAACACATACAAGCAGGTAACATAAAACATATTCAAGCAGGTAACATACAACACATTCAAGCAGGTAACATACAACACATACAAGCAGGTAACATACAACACATTCAAGCAGGTAACATACACATTTCTTGTCTTGATATCCAAAACATTAGACAAATGTGACAATGTCACTACAAAAAGCCTTAATTGCACATGTGGTTTCTATGGTGTACAACCCTGGTTCTGCAGGCGATGGTGTCTTACAAAAAACTAAACTGGTTCTGCAGGCTATGGTGTCTTACAAAAAACTAAACTGGTTCTGCAGGCGATGGTGTCTTACAAAAAACTAAACTGGTTCTGCAGGCGATGGTGTCTTACAAAAAACTAAACTAATACAATGAGATATCCCCAAAAAACACACATTTAAAAAATCTAATAACTTATATACAAGCCATTTGTTTTATAAAACTAAATGCCTACTTGTTTACTGTTTAAAAAAAGTCAAGATTATACCCTAAAAAACCAGCAAACTACATGAGTTATATTCTAAGGTTAATCTATCTCATTAGCAGTAGGCCTACCAGGCAGACAAGAATAAAAAAGTGATTGGTACATGATTTAGTTTGGGGTTTTTAAATGCAGTAAGCTAATAATGCTAAATATTTGGACGTTTCAACTGTTTTAATTTCAATATTTGTGTAGAAAATTTTAGAAAAAATAATTTTAAAATGTGTCTAATATCAAGGAAAGATAATCTGTCTGCAATCCCACAGACAAGAAAATAAATGCATGTTAGCACAAAGGCTGTTTAAATACATACAACAAAATAATACAACTTAATTGAATTTATCTTTTAAAAGAATTATACTTGATCTAGTTGTAAAATAATACAATTTGAATACTCTTGATGCACAATGCATTTTAAAACAATTTTAAAAATGTCTAGAAGTAAAAAAAAAGTGTAACTGAAAAATGAAATTATTTTTAAATTATGGAAAACAAAAAATATTACAGAAAGTGAAGATTTTTAATTTCCTTTGGGGCAGCAAAAATAAAAAGGGATTTTCCAAAAAAAAAGAGTAAACTTCCATTGATACAAAGAAAATAAAGATTCCCATCAAACCGATCAACTATGCTGGCTTGGAGGAACTTGAACTCTGTCTACACAATCAAACAACTAATCAACTACGCTGGCTTGGAGGAACTTGAACTGTCTACACAATCAAACAACTAATCAACTATGCTGGCTTGGAGGAACTGGAACTCTGTCTACACAATCAAACAACTAGACTTTAATAAGATGATCCCTCTTTTGCCATTGACTAGGAGAATCCACCATTTATTGAGAGGATCCATCTTTCACCATTTTAAGTGCTTTCTCTTGATTATACCGATAACTGGGTGAAAAATCATGATCAATGATTAGTTTTATACACTGTCCCTTTCTCACTACCATTAAAAATCTTTGCCAAACATTTTTACCAGATCTTGAAAAAGTAACCTCTGTAGTCCTGTCTAGGTAGGTGGTCCTGTCTAGGTTGTCCTGTCTAGGTAGGTGGTCCTGTCTAGGTAGGTGGCCCTGTCTAGGTAGGTGGTCCTGTCTAGGTAGGTGGTCCTGTCTAAGTAGATGGTACTGTCTAGGTAGGTGGTCCTGTCAAGGTAGGTGGTCCTGTCTAGGTAGGTGGTCCTGTCTAAGTAGGTGTTCCTGTCTAGGTTGTCCTGTCTAGGTAGGTGGTCCTGTCTAAGTAGGTGGTCCTGTCTAAGTAGGTGGCCCTGTCTAGGTAGGTGGTCCTGTCTAGGTAGCCCTGCCATTTGTTTTGTTGGTAAAAACGTTATAACCAAACTGTTGTCTATATTTATTTATATGCTCTTTAGTCAAGGAGATTTTTTGGTATCTTTGGTGAAGATGCTAGACTTTGAGTGAATCTAACCAACTTTTAGCAAGCCCATCCCCTTAGAAAAATCTGGCATCTTAGGGTGAATCTAACTTTAAGCAAGCCCATCCCCTTAGAAAAATCTGGCATCTTAGGGTGAATCTAACTTTAAGCAAGCCCATCCCCTTAGAAAAATCTGGCATCTTAGGGTGAATCTAACTTTAAGCAAGCCCATCCCCTTAGAAAAATCTGGCATCTTAGGGTGAATCTAACTTTAAGCAAGCCCATCCCCTTAGAAAAATCTGGCATCTTAGGGTGAATCTAACTTTTAGCAAGCCCATCCCCTTAGAAAAATCTGGCATCTTAGGGTGAATCTAACTTTAAGCAAGCCCATCCCCTTAGAAAAATCTGGCATCTTAGGGTGAATCTAACTTTTAGCAAGCCCATCCCCTTAGAAAAACATGGGAACTTAGAGTGAATCTAACTTTTAGAAAGCCCATCCCCTTAGAAAAACCTGGGATCTTACTGGATAGCTCGAGCAAGTTGCATGTAGCCAGTGATTGCAACAAAAAGATTCACAGTGAAGAGACTGAAATTCTTTGGGATAATCACAAGAGAATATCTGGACCAGATGGTTCCTGAAATAGACAATAAACTATACTTACATTTTTAATATCTACACAAAGTAACTCATTTAACTTGGTGATCAGTTCGTTTTTTGTATATCTTTAGAAAATGATGTATGTAATACGAGCCGACTAGCGGCTAGGCACGCTTACAGTAGTTACAGCATGGTGATTTCTAGGGTATCCAAGAAGAGAATTATATATATAGATATTAAGAGCATTAACTCTAGTTTGTATATTTCTGTAAGATAATTTAACTTAGTCAATGACTTGTAAACCAGAGGTTGTTGCAGAAAATGGACAATAAAATGAAAGTTTCCCACTAAAATATTGACCTACCTGTTGCTGCCAGTGCAAGAGACTGGTAAATACTGAGTTTCTCAGCTGGACGTTGTAAGTCACCAATGCCTGCAATTACTAGGGCCTGCAATAAATAAATAGCCAGCAATAAATAAATAGCCAGCAATAAATAAATAGCCAGCAATAAATAAATAGCCAGCAATAAATAAATAGCCAGCAATAAATAAATAGCCAGCAATAAATAAATAGCCAGCAATTACTAGGGCCTGCAATAAATAAATAGCCAGCAATAAATAAATAGCCAGCAATAAATAAATAGCCAGCAATAAATAAATAGCCAGCAATTACTAAGGCCTGCAATAAATAAATAGCCAGCAATAAATAAATAGCCAGCAATTACTAGGGCCTGCAATAGATAAATAGCCAGCAATTACTAGGGCCTGCAATAAATAAATAGCCAGCAATAAATAAATAGCCAGCAATTACTAGGGCCTGCAATAGATAAATAGCCAGCAATTACTAGGGCCTGCAATAAATAAATAGCCAGCAATAAATAAATAGCCAGCAATTACTAGGGCCTGCAATAGATAAATAGCCAGCAATTACTAGGGCCTGCAATAAATAAATAGCCAGCAATAAATAAATAGCCTGCAATTACTAGGGCCTGCAATAAATAAATAGCCAGCAATTACTAGGGCCTGCAATAAATAAATAGCCAGCAATTACTAGGGCCTGCAATAAATAAATAGCCAGCAATTACTAGGGCCTGCAATAGATAAATGGCCAGCAATTACTAGGGCCTGCAATAAATAAATAGCCAGCAATTACTAGGGCCTGCAATAAATAAATAGCCAGCAATTACTAGGGCCTGCAATAAATAAATAGCCAGCAATTACTAGGGCCTGCAATAAATAAATAGCCAGCAATTACTAGGGCCTGCAATAAATAAATAGCCAGCAATTACTAGGGCCTGCCATAAATAAATAGCCAGCAATTACTAGGGCCTGCAATAGATAAATGGCCAGCAATTACTAGGGCCTGCAATAGATAAATAGCCAGCAATTACTAGGGCCTGCAATAGATAAATGGCCAGCAATTACTAGGGCCTGCAATAAATAAATAGCCAGCAATTACTAGGGCCTGCAATAGATAAATGGCCAGCAATTACTAGGGCCTGCAATAAATAAATAGCCAGCAATTACTAGGGCCTGCAATAAATAAACAGCCAGCAATTACTAGGGCCTGCAATAAATAAATAGCCAGCAATTACTAGGGCCTGCAATAAATAAATAGCCAGCAATTAATAAGGCCTGCAATAAATAAATAGCCAGCAATTACTAGGGCCTGCAATAAATAAATAGCCAGCAATTACTAGGGCCTGCAATAAATAAATAGCCAGCAATAAATAAGGCCTGCAATAAATAGCCAGCAATTACTAGGGCCTGCAATAAATAAATAGCCAGCAAGTACTAGGGCCTGCAATAAATAAATAGCCAGCATTGAATAAGGCCTGCAATAAATAAATGGCCAGCAATTACTAGGGCCTGTAATAAATAAATAGCCAGCAATTACTAGGGCCTGCAATAAATAAATAGCCAGCAATAAACAAATAGCCAGCAATAAATAAATAGCCAGCAATAAATAAATAGCCAGCAATTACTAGGGCCTGCAATAAATAAATAGCCAGCAATTACTAGGGCCTGCAATAAATAAATAGCCAGCAATTAATAAGGCCTGCAATAAATAAATAGCCAGCAATTACTAGGGCCTGCAATAAATAAATAGCCAGCAATTACTAGGGCCTGCAATAAATAAATAGCCAGCAATTACTAGGGCCTGCAATAAATAAATAGCCAGCAATAAATAAGGCCTGCAATAAATAGCCAGCAATTACTAGGGCCTGCAATAAATAAATAGCCAGCAAGTACTAGGGCCTGCAATAAATAAATAGCCAGCATTGAATAAGGCCTGCAATAAATAAATGGCCAGCAATTACTAGGGCCTGTAAAAAATAAATAGCCAGCAATTACTAGGGCCTGCAATAAATAAATAGCCAGCAATAAACAAATAGCCAGCAATAAATAAATAGCCAGCAATAAATAAATAGCCAGCAATTACTAGGGCCTGCAATAAATAAATAGCCAGCAATTACTAGGGCCTGCAATAAATAAATAGCCAGCAATTACTAGGGCCTGCAATAAATAAATAGCCAGCAATTACTAGGGCCTGCAATAAATAAATAGCCAGCAATTACTAGGGCCTGCAATAAATAAATAGCCAGCAATAAATAAGGCCTGCAATAAATAGCCAGCAATTACTAGGGCCTGCAATAAATAAATAGCCAGCAATTACTAGGGCCTGCAATAAATAAATAGCCAGCAATTACTAGGGCCTGCAATAAATAAATAGCCAGCAATAAATAAGGCCTGCAATAAATAGCCAGCAATTACTAGGGCCTGCAATAAATAAATAGCCAGCAATTACTAGGGCCTGTAATAAATAAATAGCCAGCAATTACTAGGGCCTGCAATAAATAAATAGCCAGCAATAAACAAATAGCCAGCAATAAATAAATAGCCAGCAATAAATAAATAGCCAGCAATTACTAGGGCCTGCAATAAATAAATAGCCAGCAATTACTAGGGCCTGCAATAAATAAATAGCCAGCAATTAATAAGGCCTGCAATAAATAAATAGCCAGCAATTACTAGGGCCTGCAATAAATAAATAGCCAGCATTGAATAAGGCCTGCAATAAATAAATGGCCAGCAATTACTAGGGCCTGTAATAAATAAATAGCCAGCAATTACTAGGGCCTGCAATAAATAAATAGCCAGCAATAAACAAATAGCCAGCAATAAATAAATAGCCAGCAATAAATAAATAGCCAGCAATTACTAGGGCCTGCAATAAATAAATAGCCAGCAATTACTAGGGCCTGCAATAAATAAATAGCCAGCAATTACTAGGGCCTGCAATAAATAAATAGCCAGCAATTAATAAGGCCTGCAATAAATAAATAGCCAGCAATGAATAAGGCCTGCAATAAATAAATAGCCAGCAATTACTAAGGCCTGCAATAAATAAATAGCCAGCAATTACTAAGGCCTGCAATAAATAAATAGCCAGCAATTACTAAGGCCTGCAATAAATAAATAGCCAGCAATGAATAAGGCCTGCAATAAATAAATAGCCAGCAATGAATAAGGCCTTCAATAAATAAATAGCCAGCAATGAATAAGGCCTGCAATAAATAAATAGCCAGCAATTACTAAGGCCTGCAATAAATAAATAGCCAGCAATTACTAAGGCCTGCAATAAATAAATAGCCAGCAATTACTAAGGCCTGCAATAAATAAATAGCCAGCAATGAATAAGGCCTGCAATAAATAAATAGCCAGCAATTACTAAGGCCTGCAATAAATAAATAGCCAGCAATGAATAAGGCCTGCAGTGACTTAAACCAAGCAATACGCAGTGACTTAAACCAAGCAATACGCAGTGACTTAAACCAAGCAATACGCAGTGACTTAAACCAAGCAATAAGCAGTGACTTAAACCAAGCAATACGCAGTGACTTAAACCAAGCAATACGCAGTGACTTAAACCAAGCAATACGCAGTGACTTAAACCAAGCAATACGCAGTGACTTAAACCAAGCAATACGCAGTGACTTAAACCAAGCAATACGCAGTGACTTAAACGAAGCAATAAGCAGTGACTTAAACGAAGCAATACGCAGTGACTTAAACCAAGCAATACGCAGTGACTTAAACCAAGCAATACGCAGTGACTTAAACCAAGCAATAAGCAGTGACTTAAACCAAGCAATACGCAGTAACTTAAACCAAGCAATAAGCAGTGACTTAAACCAAGCAATACGCAGTGACTTAAACCAAGCAATACGCAGTGACTTAAACCAAGCAATACGCAGTGACTTAAACCAAGCAATACGCAGTGACTTAAACCAAGCAATACGCAGTGACTTAAACCAAGCAATACGCAGTGACTTAAACCAAGCAATACGCAGTGACTTGTTGGGAAACAACCAACATGACAGCAGGGAACTGGCCTCACACAATAAACCAATCAAATAATCAACTTGGCCCAACATACTGCTGACATGGCCCAACATACTGCTGACATGGCCCAACATACTGCTGACATGGCCCAACATACTGCTGACATGGCCCAACATACTGCTGACATGGCCCTACATACTGCTGACATGGCCCAACATACTGCTGACATGGCCCAACATACTGCTGACATGGCCCTACATACTGCTGACATGGCCCAACATACTGCTGACATGGCCCAACATACTGCTGACATGGCCCAACATACTGCTGACATGGCCCAACATACTGCTGACATGGCTCAACATACTGCTGACATGGCCCAACATACTGCTGACATGGCCCAACATACTGCTGACATGGCCCAACATACTGCTGACATGGCCCAACATACTGCTGACATGGCCCAACATACTGCTGACATGGCTCAACATACTGCTGACATGGCCCAACATACTGCTGACATGGCCCAACATACTGCTGACATGGCCCAACATACTGCTGACATGGCCCAACATACTGCTGACATGGCCCAACATACTGCTGACATGGCCCAACATACTGCTGACATGGCCCAACATACTGCTGACATGGCCCAACATACTGCTGACATGGCCCAACATACTGCTGACATGGCCCAACATACTGCTGAAATGGCCCAACATACTGCTGACATCAAAACTTATTAATAGCCTCACACATAAAATAATTTGCCCTGACCTCCACACTCTACAAATAAAAAAACTAATGTTGACAGATTGACAGATTTAAGGACAACACTTAGTCCATTCAGCTGACAGATTTAAGGACAACACTTAGTCCATACAGCTGACAGATTTAAGGACAACACTTAGTCCAGACAGCTGACAGATTTAAGGACAATGCTCACAACTGCACTTACCCATTTCACCCCAGGCGCCCAGAAATGTACTGTTTTAGGACCTAAGGAAGAAACATAAATCAAGTCAAACATAACAAGTGATAACAGACATAATTTATGGTACGAAGATCACTGAAGGCAGAGTGTGATTAAAGGCAGACAGATTAAACAGATCAAATGTAGATTTGGCATGAGGGTTTATTACTACAGGCAATGAGATAGTTCTGAATTCCTAGCCATATACTTCATATACAATGAAAGTACATCAAACCTAACCTTTAATTTTTATGGTTGAAGATTCACCATCACTTACACTAAAAATTGTACAATGGGTAATTGAGAAGGTCATGCTAATGGAAGTTTTTTTAGTATACATCTGTAGCATAACAGATAGGCAGTGGGCCAGTGAACATTATAAGACTGGGGGGGGGGAGGTTTAAGTGACAGATGTCAAAAGTAGAGGAAATAAGTGATACTCTCTAATACCTTTCTGTATGCATTTAGTATTTAATTACGGAATTTTTCCATACTTATACAATGTTATATAAAATCTCAGGGGTTCAGCGTGGTCGAGTCTGTAACGCTTATGGTTGCTAAACCGAAAAGTCTCAAGTTTGGACCCTCAGGCAGATGAGGCTCGTCAGCTGGGGACAGCCACTCTTCTAGGAGAGACAACTCCAAAAACAAACAACTGCTGCCTTGTATTTTGTTCTAGGTTGGACAAAGGCAATGGAAGGAAGCAAATCCAAAAAGAAAAGCAGGCTGAAATCAGGGTCAATGGCCTCAATGGCGCAAAACTAGTTGACACGTATCCTTAATTGTGTTGGAGGGGGATCCCTTCCAACACTAAAATTAAGAACGAAGAAGAAGATAAAAAATATGTTTGCTATTTATTTATTCTACAACATTTTTTGCTTCTTTTAAAACATAAATATTAACTATATTTTAAGATATAAGCTATAAATTTTAACCATGATGTAATTTTACAGATACTAAAAACAGTGAAGTAGTTACAAGACTAGCAATGGCAATTAAACTATACAGTGCTAGATATATTAATCTAGAAATCTAGCATTGAATTGTAAAACTAAAACAAAAATCTGCAAGAATGTAACAAGCTGCTGATAGTGATGTGATAAAATCTAATCTAGATCTAGAATCTAGATCTAGCTAAAAAAGGTTAGATCTAGATCTAGATCTAGGTTTTTTTTAAGCTTTCTGGTTTCAACTGTGTATCTAGATTATTATAGATCAATCAGAAACAGTGAGAAACTGGATCTAGAATCTAGATCTAGATCTAGTATTTAAATTAATATTTATTTATAGATCTAGGGCCTAGAATCTAGATCTATCTAGATCTATTCTAGATCTTGTAATAATAGACTATTTTGGCCTAGAGTCTATAATTTGTTCGTTTTTAGATTAGATTTTAGCTTATTTGGGCCATAGCTTCCACAAGACAAGAGCCTGACTAGGGCCCTGAGCTTTGAGCTGCCTTTGCTGCCTGGCCTTCGGAAAGGACAAATAAAAATATATTAATTTAACTTTATGCAGAGATTAGGCCTAAATAAAGGCATGCTCAATTAAAATATCAACTTGCCTGCTGGATGCTCCCACAAGGGTTTAAATTTGGAAGGTACGCATCTGTCGCCAATTGCAATTACTGTTCGGTAAACTGAAGATAATAAAATCATTTTTGGACAGTTGTTGATCAGGAATGCAGAATAGTGTTGATTTGTTTTCGTCTAAGGGAAACTATTCACTTTTATTTTCGGATCTAGGCAAACATTACGGGTTCTCAAACGGTATGCCTACTGAGCCTAATTCATTTTTTTATATTTTTCGCGGAGTTAAGAAGGGCAGCAGAATTTTGAATCAGTTTCAATACATTAAAATTAATATGAACTGTTAAAATTTAGATCAACATGAATTAGATTTACGTAAAATATTAAGTTACTAAATACAAAACCATTCAGCTTGTATATTAATGTATATTAATTAATAGCCGTCCCGGCCATGCCCTGCGTAAAGGACCATGACTTATGTGTTTAGATCTAGATCTAGATCTAGTAATCAGCATATACCCGGCATTGTTCGGGTTTAGGAAATATATTACTGTTCGAATTAACCCTAACCACAACCAACCAAAACAAACACACACAAAAACGCAACTATAATACAAACAAAAACGCAAACACAAACCGAACCTCAAACAGAAAGAAAACACAAACAATAAACAAACGAAAAGATATACAAACGCAAAACACAAACCCAACCACAGACGCAACAAACCCAAACCCAAAGAAAACACAAAGGCACACACAAAAGCAAACACAAATGCAAATAGAAACACAACCGCAAATCTAAACGCAAACAATAACTCACAATAATGCAAATAAAGGTAAACATAAACACAAACTTAAATGCAAATATAAGAGCATACTGCTCATAGTCCAGCCCGGGGCGCCAAATCGCACCATGCTGGGGCGCCGGTGGAACCGCCTGATTCAACTTAGTAAACGACTATAGTACCCCAACTGATGCGCTCACTAAAACGAACGTATGCGCCATAGCAAACATGGGAGCGCCAAATAGCACTCTGTTCGGGCGCCGGAGGACGCCCGCAATCGATTCAGACACAATTAGAATTGTTGTGAAAGGTGATACATTTTTAAAATTTTGTTTTGATGGACACGCCAACAATTATCACTATAAGTTTGAAAAATGAAAATTGCTTTACATCACCGTCAATATTAATTTTTTAAATCATTAATTTAGACGATGAGCACTTTAGACCTAACTCTAACCACAACCAACCAAAACCAAAACACAACCAAAAACGCAAACAGAAATGGAAACACTAAAGCAAACACAAACGCAAAAACAAACGTAAACGCAAACACAAACATAAGGCAACACAAATGCAAACACAAATGCAAACACAAACGTAACACAAACGTAACACAAAGCAAACATAAACGCAAACAGTAACGCAAATGGAAAAATAAACGTAAACATAGAGGACATTAAGGACCTACTTCTAAACTGTTATTGGTCAAAAATAATAATTTATATAGTAAATTTAAATAGTATATTCAGTGTATAAAATAAATAAAAAGTAGCACTTAAAATACCTGTGTTTTACCTAACACATTGCACTTTATCAAACCATGCTAATTAAATAATTGTGTTTTTTTCCCCAACATCAAAACAAACTTTAAAAAAATTGTTCCTGCTTTTTTTTAAAATTTTAATGTAAGTCATGTAGTGAAGTAATTGGTACAAAGGGACATAATGTATATACTATTTTTCAAACAAAATTGGTATTTTTGTAAAGGGTAATAAATTTCGTTTAAATTTGTTCTTTGCACATTACGTCAATTAAAATATTAAGTTTAAAATGAAAATTTATTTTAAAATAGATCGATATTGAGTTTAATATATAATTTAGATTATAGTACGAAAACGTACATAAATATTACATTTGAGCTTTATATGTTAGAAGATTAACATGTTTGAACTTTTCTCGACGTGTGACTTAGGGTAAAGGGTGTTAGAAAGGATGACATCATACTGTTGCATTTTAAAATATCAAAATGCAATTTTGGCAGTTAACTTGCATTATTATCGACTTGATGTCTTTTAAAAGTCATGGCCACATTTCATAAGCGTGCGAGTTTTGCACGCTGGCAGCTGGATTAAGAAACAAAATCGAATCCAATAAAATGTTTTAGGAATAACATCAAACACAGTGTTTCTTCCAGATCTTTTTTCTCCGGGGGGGGGGGGCACTTGGAATTTTCGGAGGGTGGGGTGGGGAGAAACTCTGATCAAACACTGCATCAAAACAAAAAAATAGTATTACTTGTGTGCCTATGGTGTCCATGCTGTTTCTTTTTGCTAGTTTAAAATTTAATTTTGAGATAATTACTGATGATTTAAAAAAAACTATTTGGGCCTATCGTCGGAAGCCCTTGTGCCGAAGGGGAAAGAGGATAATTAAAAATTCAACAATTCAAATGAATAAGATAGTTAGACTATAAATAGTCTAAAGACTATAATTTAGCTTTTCTTGAAATGTCTAATTTTTCATCTATAAACAACGGAAATACCATAAATCGTTCGGAAAAATATTACTGTAAGTGACGTCCCACCCCCGATCCAGTCTTTCACGCAAGAGCGAAAAAAGTTTTTAGAAGGACGGTTATTAGGCCTATAATATATCTGCATGTAGCAATCAGCAACATCATCTACATTTTTATAATAAAGAACAATATGGAGGGAAAAAAACATGTTAGAATGGTTTTTAAAAAGTAGGCTATCCAATGCAACTCGATTCATTCTATGCCTTTTTCTTCAATATCACATATCCAATTGATGTTGATGAGACAAACTATTTAAGTCACTCGACTTTGGGTTTGTCCCCAAACATACCGCGATTACACTTAGGCCTAGATGTTTAGAAAAAAAAACACTAAAATACTCGCAACAAAGTAAATGTTATCGAAAACATTTTTTTTCCAGGCAACGAATTAGACCCACAGGCCTACTTACTTTTTTCATTTTTTTTTTCTAGACATGTATGGTATACATGTCGCAACTGTAAACGCGGTGTTATAATTAGTCATTAGTCCGATTTGAGGAATAGCGAATGTTCAACACCATAATGTGTGGTGTTACGTAATACCAAATTTTTAAAAAAATGACGTCTATCTAGTTTTGATAAGTCTAACAGTACTAACAGCCTATGCTCATCTAACGGAAAATTGGCAGATGAGTATTTTGATGTCATCATTTAAAAAAAAAAAAAACAGTTACACAGTATGGTGTACCTAATGCTTATTGAGTATTGAAACCTAGACCCTCATAAACTTCAAAACATATAAACGCAACCGGGAGATACTGCAGAGAAATTATACCTAAGCTCAGTTATGTATGTAAATTGAATTTCTACACTAAAAAGCACAGCTATTGAGAATTGAAACCATGTGCGTATGGTTTGAGAATCTCTTTCAAACTTTCCGTGGTGAATGCGTTGTTGCTTGTATCTGGCATGTTTAGTGGCTGACTGTTTCCTGCATGTCCAAAACAGTTTAAATTTGCGACTTGATTTTTTAAAATTTAAAACAAAAATGGGGAGAAAAGTAATCGTTGCTGCATGCTCCCTCAATCAGTGGTCTATGGATTTCTTAGGAAATATGAAAAAAATAATAGAAAGTAAGTAAAGCAAGCGTACTTTGTAACTTTATGAATAATGAAACATTTTCTGATCTCGTGAATGCCCGATAGGTAGCCAATTGGCCTGATTGGACTAAAAATGTGTTGTAATTTTATTTTTGATTTGCGTTTTCTTACAGTTACAAATACCATTATTATAAGTTATTTCACGTTGAGGTTCATTTAAAACAATATACTACATTGAAATGTACAGTTGGCTTTTTTTAGACCGATTAATTTTATTTAAATCAAAATTAGGTGTTTTATGTTTGGGAAAACCCGATTTTACTTTTTTTATCTCCCAAGAATTTTATTCTTTAAAAAATGTACTTTTACATGATCTTTTATCCCAAAACGTTTTAATTTACATGAAACTCATTCAGCCGCTAACTATACTAATTTGTTTAAGCTTTAACAAAACTGCTAAAGATCTACTTAAGAAGAATCTAATTAACATAGATATTGCAATGATTAGAAACAGAACAGTTGTGAGAACTGAGTTGTCTAAATACCAAAAAGTGAAAAAGTGTAGCCTATAGAATCTAGATCTAGAATAAGAATTTACTGAACATCAACCGGGCCAAAATCATTTTAAAAATATGTTTAGGGCCTATTAGGCTAATAATTGAATAATTGTGACATATTCCTACTCCAGTAAATTTTAATAATAATTAATAGGCCTAATTACTAGGCCAAATTGATAGCATACATAATACCTTGCCTTAATTTAATAGTAATTTTTAAAAAAATTAGGCCTATGGCCATGGCTATAGTATATACTATATATACTATAGGTATAGACCAGGGATCTCCAAACTGCGATGTCCTCTCACCCGGCCTGTGGAGATCATTTTGTCCACGAAAAAAACGTGGAAAAATCAAATGCATGCCTGGAAGAAACTGGCCCCCGAACTGAAATTTGATAGTTAATGCGGCCTACTGTTGTTACCATTATTACTGTTGTTACCGTTATTGAATAAATTTACTATTATGGTAGTACAAAATCATTTTTACTGCCTAGGGGGTCATTCATAAATGGATTAAATCATGTCATGCTTTTTTTAAAGACTTAAACCCTCCCTCTCCATCCTCACTAAATTACCAGACCCAACCCCTATAAAAATAATGTAATACTTTAGTCTATGCCCATCCCACTTGAAATTTTAACTTTTAAAACAAAATGTTTTTTCTTAAAATATTAATCAAGCTGGGTACAAGTTAGGTATAGTGATCAGTTTTTATTACAGAGTACGACTTAATTTAAAAAACAACCTTATTTCAAATCTTAAAATAGTCAACGCTGGTCGCTAGTATGAGCAAATGGTTTAATAAGTCAGTAAGATGCCCTTTGCGTTTATGCAGACCCTTTTTTCATATTCTTTTTTAACTGCTTGTCAAACTTATGATTCATGTAAAAAAGTTTTCTCCCTTCTCCTGCAGGTATTCATGAAGCCAAGGCACAGGGTGCACGTTTCCGTGCAGGTCAGGAGCTGGAGATTAGGTAATTCATCCATTTGACAGCCAATTAAAAACAGAAATCCAGTCTTAAATGATTCAAAATTGTAATGCATATTGTTGCTGTGTTTATTCCAATACAGTGGGTACAGTTGCAGTGATCACTTCTTTGAGAGCGACACGTTCTTGCACTCATGGGAGGTGCTGGCACGGATTATTGCTCACCCTGGGTGCCAGGAGATTTTGTGCTGTGTGGGGATGTAAGTTCACTACAAGCTTTTGTGTGGGGATGTAAGTTTACTACGTTTTGTGTGGGATGTAAGTTCACTACAAGCTTTTGTGTGGGGATGTAAGTTTACTACGTTTTGTGTGGGATGTAAGTTCACTACAACCTATTGTGTGGAATGTAAGTTCACTACAACCTTATGTGTGGGGATGTAAGTTCACTACAAGCTTTTGTGTGGGGATGTAAGTTTACTACGTTTTGTGTGGGATGTAAGTTCACTACAACCTATTGTGTGGAATGTAAGTTCACTACAACCTTATGTGTGGGGATGTAAGTTCACTACAACCTTATGTGTGGGATGTAAGTTCACTACAACCTTTTGTGTGGGGATGTAAGTTCACTACAACCTTATGTGTGGGATGTAAGTTCACTACAACCTTATGTGTGGGATGTAAGTTCACTACAACCTTTTGTGTGGGGATGTAAGTTCACTACAACCTTTTGTGTGGGGATGTAAGTTCACTACAACCTTTTGTGTGGGGATGTAAGTTCACTACAACCTATTGTGTGGGGATGTAAGTTCACTACAACCTTTTGTGTGGGATGTAAGTTCACTACAACCTTATGTGTGGGATGTAAGTTCACTACAACCTTTTGTGTGGGGATGTAAGTTCACTACAACCTTTTGTGTGGGGATGTAAGTTCACTACAACCTTTTGTGTGGGGATGTAAGTTCACTACAACCTTTTGTGTGGGGATGTAAGTTCACTACAACCTTTTGTGTGGGGATGTAAGTTCACTACAACCTTTTGTGTGGGGATGTAAGTTCACTACAACCTTTTGTGTGGGGATGTAAGTTCACTACAACCTTATGTGTGGGATGTAAGTTCACTACAACCTTTTGTGTGGGGATGTAAGTTCACTACAAGCTTTTGTGTAGGGATGTAAGTTCACTACAACCTTTTGTGTGGGGATGTAAGTTCACTACAACCTTTTGTGTGGGGATGTAAGTTTACTACGTTTTGTGTGGGATGTAAGTTCACTACAACCTATTGTGTGGGATGTAAGTTCACTACAACCTTTTGTGTGGGGATGTAAGTTCACTACAAGCTTTTGTGTGGAGATGTAAGTTCACTACAAGCTTTTGTGTGGGGATGTAAGTTTACTACATTTTGTGTGGGATGTAAGTTCACTACAACCTATTGTGTGGGATGTAAGTTCACTACAACCTTATGTGTGGGGATGTAAGTTCACTGCAAGCTTTTGTGTGGGGATGTATTCTTACAGCCTTAAGCTTGGGGTTGTAATATAAATATTTTCTGTTTTTGTTTGTTTATTTCAACATTTAGAATGGAACCAAACCAATTTATGCTGTAATAAAACATGATGGAGATTTTTTTTTTGTAAACAAAGTTCAATTTCTGAAATCTTTTGCTTTATTTCAGGCCAGTCATGCATAAAAATGTCTCCTACAATTGTCAGGTGTTTTTCTTAAATAAGTAGGTACTTTTTATTTGCATGTTGAAAACATTTAATAAGTAGGTACTTTTTATTTACATGTTTAATTTTATACCTTTAATAATGAGGTACTTTTTATTTAGGTGTTGAAAACATTTGCAAAATATTAGTTCAATGGTAACAGTAGATTCTAATGTCACTATTTGCTTTATGTGTAAGCAAGTTAAATGTACTTCAGATATTAGTTCAATGGTAACAGTAGATTCTAATGTCACTATTTGCTTTATGTGTAAGCAAGTTAAACCTACTTCAGATATTAGTTCAATGGTAACAGTAGATTCTAATGTCACTATTTGCTTTATGTGTAAGCAAGCTAAACCTACTTCAGATATTTACCTGCAGGAATGTTCCCATTGATGCTTTGGTTTATTACACCTTTTATTTGTAAAGTTTTTTTACCAAAATCTTTTTCCAGGAAAATTCTTCTAATTCGACCCAAGATAATGCTGGCTAATGAGGGCAATTATAGGGAGCCTCGCTGGTTTACTGCCTGGAAAAAGTTGAAAGAAGTTGAGGATCATTACCTGCCTCGTATGATTTATGAGATAACTGGTCAGGTAAAATAACTAGTTGCTGCTTATATGTTGTTGTCTAAATGCAGTACTTAACTTTAAGGTTTTATTATTGTCCCCTACAGCAGGCCTACTTAAATCAGATGCTATTTCATGAACCTGACACAATCTTTCATTTCTTTGCAGAGAACTGTTCCTTTTGGAGATGCTATTATATCAACATATGATACTTGTATTGGGGCAGAAATTTGTGAAGAATTGTGGAATCCCAACTCCCGCCATATTGAGATGGCTTTGGATGGGGTGGAGATTATAGCCAATGGGAGCGCGTCTCACCATGAACTGAGGAAAATGTACATCCGTGTTGATCTGGTCAAGTCAGCTAGCATGAAGGTAAACATTTGCTTCATAAAGTCAATGAGGTCATGTGACAACTATCATATTAAGGTAAACATTTGCTGTATAGAATCAATAAGGTCATGTGACAACTATCATATTAAGGTAAACATTTGCTGTATAGAATCAATAAGGTCATTTGACAGTTATTCAAGATGAGTTACAAATGTGATCATAATATATTAACTCACCTTAAGTAAGGTGTTTTGTGTGTAAAGTTGTCCCTGTGTACAGTACTGTCAGTGATCCCTAATGTATGAGTGATCCTTATATTGAGCCAACTAATGAAGAATTTCCCTACTGTATGAGTGATGTGAGCCAACTAATGAAGAATTTCCCTACTGTATGAGTGATCCAACTAATGAAGAATTTCCCTACTGTATGAGTGAGCCAACTAATGAAGAATTTCCCTACTGTATGAGTGATGTGAGCCAACTAATGAAGAATTTCCCTACTGTATGAGTGATGTGATCCAACTAATGAAGAATTTCCCTACTGTATGAGTGATCCAACTAATGAAGAATTTCCCTACTGTATGAGTGATGTGAGCCAACTAATGAAGAATTTCCCTACTGTATGAGTGATGTGAGCCAACTAATGAAGAATTTCCCTACTGTATGAGTGATCCAACTAATGAAGAATTTCCCTACTGTATGAGTGATGTGAGCCAACTAATGAAGAATTTCCCTACTGTATGAGTGATGTGAGCCAACTAATGAAGAATTTCCCTACTGTATGAGTGATCCAACTAATGAAGAATTTCCCTACTGTATGAGTGATCCAACTAATGAAGAATTTCCCTACTGTTTGAGTGATGTGAGCCAACTAATGAAGAATTTCCCTACTGTATGAGTGATCCAACTAATGAAGAATTTCCCTACTGTATGAGTGATGTGAGCCAACTAATGAAGAATTTCCCTACTGTATGAGTGATCCAACTAATGAAGAATTTCCCTACTGTATGAGTGAGCCAACTAATGAAGAATTTCCCTACTGTATGAGTGATGTGAGCCAACTAATGAAGAATTTCCCTACTGTATGAGTGATCCAACTAATGAAGAATTTCCCTACTGTTTGAGTGATGTGAGCCAACTAATGAAGAATTTCCCTACTGTATGAATGAGCCAACTAATGAAGAATTTCCCTACTGTATGAGTGATGTGAGCCAACTAATGAAAAATTTCCCTACTGTATGAATGAGCCAACTAATGAAGAATTTCCCTACTGTATGAGTGATCCAACTAATGAAGAATTTCCCTACTGTTTGAGTGATGTGAGCCAACTAATGAAGAATTTCCCTACTGTATGAGTGATCCAACTAATGAAGAATTTCCCTACTGTATGAGTGATGTGAGCCAACTAATGAAGAATTTCCCTACTGTATGAGTGATCCAACTAATGAAGAATTTCCCTACTGTATGAGTGAGCCAACTAATGAAGAATTTCCCTACTGTATGAGTGATGTGAGCCAACTAATGAAGAATTTCCCTACTGTATGAGTGATCCAACTAATGAAGAATTTCCCTACTGAATGAGTGATGTGAGCCAACTAATGAAGAATTTCCCTACTGTATGAGTGATGTGAGCCAACTAATGAAGAATTTCCCTACTGTATGAGTGATCCTTATTGTGAGCTAACTAATGAAGAATTTCCCTACTGTATGAGTGATCCAACTAATGAAGAATTTCCCTACTGTTTGAGTGATGTGAGCCAACTAATGAAGAATTTCCCTACTGTATGAGTGATCCAACTAATGAAGAATTTCCCTACTGTATGAGTGATGTGATCCAACTAATGAAGAATTTCCCTACTGTATGAGTGATGTGAGCCAACTAATGAAGAATTTCCCTACTGTATGAGTGATGTGATCCAACTAATGAAGAATTTCCCTACTGTATGAGTGATCCAACTAATGAAGAATTTCCCTACTGTATGAGTGATGTGATCCAACTAATGAAGAATTTCCCTACTGTATGAGTGATGTGAGCCAACTAATGAAGAATTTCCCTACTGTATGAGTGATGTGATCCAACTAATGAAGAATTTCCCTACTGTATGAGTGATCCAACTAATGAAGAATTTCCCTACTGTATGAGTGAGCCAACTAATGAAGAATTTCCCTACTGTATGAGTGATCCAACTAATGAAGAATTTCCCTACCGTTTGAGTGATGTGAGCCAACTAATGAAGAATTTCCCTACTGTATGAGTGATCCAACTAATGAAGAATTTCCCTACTGTATGAGTGATGTGAGCCAACTAATGAAGAATTTCCCTACTGTATGAGTGAGCCAACTAATGAAGAATTTCCCTACTGTATGAGTGATGTGAGCCAACTAATGAAGAATTTCCCTACTGTATGAGTTATGTAAGCCAACTAATGAAGAATTTCCCTACTGTATGAGTGATCCTTATATTGAGCCAACTAATGAAGAATTTCCTGACAGTCTGGAGGTGTGTACATATTCTGTAATGGAGTTGGCTGTGATGGAGAGCGTGTTTACTGGGATGGAGGTTCTATGATAGCTCTCAATGGGGACATTGTTTCCAAAGGACCCCAGTTCTCCTTAGAAGAAGTGGTCAGTTTTAATTTTTCTTGTCATTTTATTATCCGTTAGATATTTAAAGAAAGTTATTTTTTATGTAATTTTATTATCCCTTAGATATTTAAAGAGTTTTTTTCTTGTAATTTTATTATCCCTTAGATATTTAAAGAGTTATTTCCCTTATTATCTAAAAAGTTCTCTCCTCCTATCCTATTATGTTGGATCAGACCGTCGTGACAGCCACTATAGACTTGGAGGATGTGAGGTCCTACAAACACAAGCTTGGCTCCAGGTCAGATCTGGTGAGTTGTGACGCTAGCCGTAGATATTTAAACCATCAGATGTGGTGAGTTGTGACGCTAGCCGTAGATATTTAAACCACACACAAGTCAATGTCATTACAATTAATTCATTTCAGCCATTTAATTCATGTCTAGGTAAACAACTTCATAGTTGTAGATCATGGATTGTATGTGTGAAAGATCATGGATTGTATGTGTGAAAGATCATGGATTGTATGTTTGAAAGATCATGGATTGTATGTGTGAAAGATGGATTGTATGTGTGAAAGATCATGGATTGTATGTGTGAAAGATCATGGACTGTATGTGTGAAAGATCATGGATTGTATGTGTGAAAGATCATGGATTGTATGTGTGAAAGATCATGGACTGTATGTGTGAAAGATCATGGATTGTATGTGTGAAAGATCATGGATTGTATGTTTCAGCATGCATTATATTATAATCAATATTTGATTGTACAGTAGCACCTGTATTGTGTTCTCCGTAGGCTGCCTCGACTAAAGCCTTTCCCCGCATCAATGTGGAGTTTGCCCTGTGTGACGGAGATGATTACAACTTGCTGACTGACTCCAAGCCAATCAATGTCAGGTTTTCTTCTGTTGAGGAGGAAATTAGGTTTGTTGCCCACTTAGGTTTTCTTCTGTTGAGGAGGAACTTAGGTTTGTTGCCCACTTAGGTTTTCTTCTGTTGAGGAGGAAATTAGGTTTGTTGCCCACTTAGGTTTTCTTCTGTTGAGGAGGAAATTAGGTTTGTTGCCCACTTAGGTTTTCTTCTGTTGAGGAGGAAATTAGGTTTGTTGCCCACTTAGGTTTTCTTCTGTTGAGGAGGAAATTAGGTTTGTTGCCCACTTAGGTTTTCTTCTGTTGAGGAGGAAATTAGGTTTGTTGCCCACTTAGGTTTTCTTCTGTTGAGGAGGAAATTAGGTTTGTTGCCCACTTAGGTTTTCTTCTGTTGAGGAGAAAATTAGGTTTGTTGCCCACTTAGGTTTTCTTCTGTTGAGGAGGAAATTAGGTTTGTTGCCCACTTAGGTTTTCTTCTGTTGAGGAGGAAATTAGGTTTGTTGCCCACTTAGGTTCTCTTCTGTTGAGGAGGAAATTAGGTTTGTTGCCCACTTAGGTTTTCTTCTGTTGAGGAGGAAATTAGGTTTGTTGCCCACTTAGGTTCTCTTCTGTTGAGGAGGAAATTAGGTTTGTTGCCCACTTAGGTTTTCTTCTGTTGAGGAGGAAATTAGGTTTGTTGCCCACTTAGGTTTGTTGCCCACTTAGGTTTTCTTCTGTTGAGGAGAAAATTAGGTTTGTTGCCCACTTAGGTTTTCTTCTGTTGAGGAGGAAATTAGGTTTGTTGCCCACTTAGGTTTTCTTCTGTTGAGGAGGAAATTAGGTTTGTTGCCCACTTAGGTTCTCTTCTGTTGAGGAGGAAATTAGGTTTGTTGCCCACTTAGGTTTTCTTCTGTTGAGGAGGAAATTAGGTTTGTTGCCCACTTAGGTTTTCTTCTGTTGAGGAGGAAATTAGGTTTGTTGCCCACTTAGGTTTTCTTCTGTTGAGGAGGAAATTAGGTTTGTTGCCCACTTAGGTTTTCTTCTGTTGAGGAGGAAATTAGGTTTGTTGCCCACTTAGGTTTTCTTCTGTTGAGGAGAAAATTAGGTTTGTTGCCCACTTAGGTTTTCTTCTGTTGAGGAGAAAATTAGGTTTGTTGCCCACTTAGGTTTTCTTCTGTTGAGGAGGAAATTAGGTTTGTTGCCCACTTAGGTTTTCTTCTGTTGAGGAGGAAATTAGGTTTGTTGCCCACTTAGGTTTTCTTCTGTTGAGGAGGAAATTAGGTTTGTTGCCCACTTAGGTTTTCTTCTGTTGAGGAGGAAATTAGGTTTGTTGCCCACTTAGGTTTTCTTCTGTTGAGGAGGAAATTAGGTTTGTTGCCCACTTAGGTTTTCTTCTGTTGAGGAGAAAATTAGGTTTGTTGCTCACTTAGGTTTTCTTCTGTTGAGGAGGAAATTAGGTTTGTTGCCCACTCAGGTTTTCTTCTGTTGAGGAGGAAATTAGGTTTGTTGCCCACTTAGGTTTTCTTCTGTTGAGGAGGAAATTAGGTTTGTTGCCCACTTAGGTTTTCTTCTGTTGAGGAGGAACTTAGGTTTGTTGCCCACTTAGGTTTTCTTCTGTTGAGGAGGAAATTAGGTTTGTTGCCCACTTAGGTTTTCTTCTGTTGAGGAGGAAATTAGGTTTGTTGCCCACTTAGGTTTTCTTCTGTTGAGGAGGAAATTAGGTTTGTTGCCCACTTAGGTTTTCTTCTGTTGAGGAGGAAATTAGGTTTGTTGCCCACTTAGGTTTTCTTCTGTTGAGGAGGAAATTAGGTTTGTTGCCCACTTAGGTTTTCTTCTGTTGAGGAGGAAATTAGGTTTGTTGCCCACTTAGGTTTTCTTCTGTTGAGGAGAAAATTAGGTTTGTTGCCCACTTAGGTTTTCTTCTGTTGAGGAGGAAATTAGGTTTGTTGCCCACTTAGGTTTTCTTCTGTTGAGGAGGAAATTAGGTTTGTTGCCCACTTAGGTTCTCTTCTGTTGAGGAGGAAATTAGGTTTGTTGCCCACTTAGGTTTTCTTCTGTTGAGGAGGAAATTAGGTTTGTTGCCCACTTAGGTTCTCTTCTGTTGAGGAGGAAATTAGGTTTGTTGCCCACTTAGGTTTTCTTCTGTTGAGGAGGAAATTAGGTTTGTTGCCCACTTAGGTTTGTTGCCCACTTAGGTTTTCTTCTGTTGAGGAGAAAATTAGGTTTGTTGCCCACTTAGGTTTTCTTCTGTTGAGGAGGAAATTAGGTTTGTTGCCCACTTAGGTTTTCTTCTGTTGAGGAGGAAATTAGGTTTGTTGCCCACTTAGGTTCTCTTCTGTTGAGGAGGAAATTAGGTTTGTTGCCCACTTAGGTTTTCTTCTGTTGAGGAGGAAATTAGGTTTGTTGCCCACTTAGGTTTTCTTCTGTTGAGGAGGAAATTAGGTTTGTTGCCCACTTAGGTTTTCTTCTGTTGAGGAGGAAATTAGGTTTGTTGCCCACTTAGGTTTTCTTCTGTTGAGGAGGAAATTAGGTTTGTTGCCCACTTAGGTTTTCTTCTGTTGAGGAGAAAATTAGGTTTGTTGCCCACTTAGGTTTTCTTCTGTTGAGGAGAAAATTAGGTTTGTTGCCCACTTAGGTTTTCTTCTGTTGAGGAGGAAATTAGGTTTGTTGCCCACTTAGGTTTTCTTCTGTTGAGGAGGAAATTAGGTTTGTTGCCCACTTAGGTTTTCTTCTGTTGAGGAGGAAATTAGGTTTGTTGCCCACTTAGGTTTTCTTCTGTTGAGGAGGAAATTAGGTTTGTTGCCCACTTAGGTTTTCTTCTGTTGAGGAGGAAATTAGGTTTGTTGCCCACTTAGGTTTGTTGCCCACTTAGGTTTTCTTCTGTTGAGGAGGAAATTAGGTTTGTTGCCCACTTAGGTTTTCTTCTGTTGAGGAGGAAATTAGGTTTGTTGCCCACTTAGGTTTTCTTCTGTTGAGGAGGAAATTAGGTTTGTTGCCCACTTAGGTTTTCTTCTGTTGAGGAGAAAATTAGGTTTGTTGCCCACTTAGGTTTTCTTCTGTTGAGGAGGAAATTAGGTTTGTTGCCCACTTAGGTTCTCTTCTGTTGAGGAGGAAATTAGGTTTGTTGCCCACTTAGGTTTTCTTCTGTTGAGGAGGAAATTAGGTTTGTTGCCCACTTAGGTTTTCTTCTGTTGAGGAGAAAATTAGGTTTGTTGCCCACTTAGGTTTTCTTCTGTTGAGGAGGAAATTAGGTTTGTTGCCCACTTAGGTTTTCTTCTGTTGAGGAGGAAATTAGGTTTGTTGCCCACTTAGGTTTTCTTCTGTTGAGGAGAAAATTAGGTTTGTTGCCCACTTAGGTTTTCTTCTGTTGAGGAGGAAATTAGGTTTGTTGCCCACTTAGGTTTTCTTCTGTTGAGGAGAAAATTAGGTTTGTTGCCCACTTAGGTTTTCTTCTGTTGAGGAGAAAATTAGGTTTGTTGCCCACTTAGGTTTTCTTCTGTTGAGGAGGAAATTAGGTTTGTTGCCCACTTAGGTTTTCTTCTGTTGAGGAGAAAATTAGGTTTGTTGCCCACTTAGGTTTTCTTCTGTTGAGGAGAAAATTAGGTTTGTTGCCCACTTAGGTTTTCTTCTGTTGAGGAGGAAATTAGGTTTGTTGCCCACTTAGGTTTTCTTCTGTTGAGGAGGAAATTAGGTTTGTTGCCCACTTAGGTTTTCTTCTGTTGAGGAGGAAATTAGGTTTGTTGCCCACTTAGGTTTTCTTCTGTTGAGGAGGAAATTAGGTTTGTTGCCCACTTAGGTTTTCTTCTGTTGAGGAGAAAATTAGGTTTGTTGCCCACTTAGGTTTTCTTCTGTTGAGGAGAAAATTAGGTTTGTTGCCCACTTAGATTTTCTTCTGTTGAGGAGAAAATTAGGTTTGTTGCCCACTTAGGTTTTCTTCTGTTGAGGAGGAAATTAGGTTTGTTGCCCACTTAGGTTTTCTTCTGTTGAGGAGGAAATTAGGTTTGTTGCCCACTTAGGTTTTCTTCTGTTGAGGAGGAAATTAGGTTTGTTGCCCACTTAGGTTTGTTGCCCACTTAGGTTTTCTTCTGTTGAGGAGGAAATTAGGTTTGTTGCCCACTTAGGTTTTCTTCTGTTGAGGAGGAAATTAGGTTTGTTGCCCACTTAGGTTCTCTTCTGTTGAGGAGGAAATTAGGTTTGTTGCCCACTTAGGTTTTCTTCTGTTGAGGAGGAAATTAGGTTTGTTGCCCACTTAGGTTTTCTTCTGTTGAGGAGGAAATTAGGTTTGTTGCCCACTTAGGTTTGTTGCCCACTTAGGTTTTCTTCTGTTGAGGAGGAAATTAGGTTTGTTGCCCACTTAGGTTTTCTTCTGTTGAGGAGGAAATTAGGTTTGTTGCCCACTTAGGTTTTCTTCTGTTGAGGAGGAAATTAGGTTTGTTGCCCACTTAGGTTCTCTTCTGTTGAGGAGGAAATTAGGTTTGTTGCCCACTTAGGTTTTCTTCTGTTGAGGAGGAAATTAGGTTTGTTGCCCACTTAGGTTTTCTTCTGTTGAGGAGGAAATTAGGTTTGTTGCCCACTTAGGTTTTCTTCTGTTGAGGAGAAAATTAGGTTTGTTGCCCACTTAGATTTTCTTCTGTTGAGGAGGAAATTAGGTTTGTTGCCCACTTAGGTTTTCTTCTGTTGAGGAGAAAATTAGGTTTGTTGCCCACTTAGATTTTCTTCTGTTGAGGAGAAAATTAGGTTTGTTGCCCACTTAGGTTTTCTTCTGTTGAGGAGGAAATTAGGTTTGTTGCCCACTTAGGTTTTCTTCTGTTGAGGAGGAAATTAGGTTTGTTGCCCACTTAGGTTTTCTTCTGTTGAGGAGAAAATTAGGTTTGTTGCCCACTTAGGTTTTCTTCTGTTGAGGAAATTAGGTTTGTTGCCCACTTAGGTTTTCTTCTGTTGAGGAGGAAATTAGGTTTGTTGCCCACTTAGGTTTTCTTCTGTTGAGGAGGAAATTAGGTTTGTTGCCCACTTAGGTTTTCTTCTGTTGAGGAGGAAATTAGGTTTGTTGCCCACTTAGGTTTTCTTCTGTCTGGTGTGTGGTGGGGACAGGGCTTGTCAGCAGATGAATGAGTGGAATTATTCTAATTCATTTCAGAAATTTTATTAATTAATAAATTTAAATTAAGTTCTAATGGTTAGTTATAAATAAAGCATGAACATTTTTCTCATGTATGATGAGCTCAAAAGGTTGTTATTTTAAGGGTTTTCTAATTACTAGAATCTTTTTAGTTTTTCTGAAATTTTAAAATTGAAAAATACTTGTAATATTTATATTTAAAATTAATTAGAATGATAAGAATAATTCCAATCATTCTTCTGCTGATCCCCCCCCCCCCCCCCCACACCACATAATTTGAATACTAGCTCATCCACAGACCACCTAGAGCAACCCACAACAAGACAAACTCACACTCTCTCCAACAGACAAACCTATCAACAGACAAACCTATCAACAGACAAACCTATCAACAGACAAACCAATCAACAGACAAACCTATCAACAGACAAACCAATCAACAGACAAACCAATCAACAGACAAACCTATCAACAGACAAACCTATCAACAAATATATCAACAGACAAACCTATCAACAGACAAACCAATCAACAGACAAACCTATCAACAGACAAACCTATCAACAAATATATCAACAGACAAACCTATCAACAGACAAACCTATCAACAGACAAACCTATCAACAAACAAACCTATCAACAGACAAACCTACTACAAAAGTGAGAGTGTGACTAAAGAAAATGTCTAATGACCAGAGCATGCTCATGTGTATTGCAGGTATGGTCCAGCTTGTTGGCTCTGGGATTATTTGAGACGCAGTGGTCAAGGGGGCTACTTTCTGCCACTGAGTGGGGGCGTGGACAGCTCCAGCACCGCCTGCATCGTGGCGTCCATGTGCCATTTGGTTTGTGAGGCTGTGGAAAGTGGAAGTAAGTCACGTTGGTCTTGTCTGTGTTAGATGTGTTAGACGTGTGCTGTCTGTGTTAGATGTGTGCTGTCTGTGTTAGATGTGTGCTGTCTGTGTTAGATGTGTGCTGTCTGTGTTAGATGTGTGCTGTCTGTGTTAGATGTGTGCTGTCTGTGTTAGATGTGTGCTGTCTGTTTTAGATGTGTGCTGTCTGTGTTAGATGTGTGCTGTCTGTGTTAGATGTGTGCTGTCTGTGTTAGATGTGTGCTGTCTGTGTACTGTCTGTGTTAGATGTGTGCTGTCTGTGTTAGATGTGTGCTGTGTTAGATGTGTGCTGTCTGTGTTAGATGTGTGCTGTCTGTGTTAGATGTGTGCTGTCTGTGTTAGATGTGTGCTGTCTGTGTTAGATGTGTGCTGTGTTAGATGTGTGCTGTGTTAGATGTGTGCTGTCTGTGTTAGATGTGTGCTGTCTGTGTTAGATGTGTGCTGTGTTAGATGTGTGCTGTGTTAGATGTGTGCTGTCTGTGTTAGATGTGTGCTGTCTGTGTTAGATGTGTGCTGTCTTTGTTAGATGTGTGCTGTCTGTGTTAGATGTGTGCTGTCTGTGTTAGATGTGTGCTGTGTTAGATGTGTGCTGTCTGTGTTAGATGTGTGCTGTCTGTGTTAGATGTGTGCTGTCTGTGTTAGATGTGTGCTGTCTGTGTTAGATGTGTGCTGTCTGTGTTAGATGTGTGCTGTCTGTGTTAGATGTGTGCTGTCTGTGTTAGATGTGTGCTGTCTGTGTTAGATGTGTGCTGTCTGTGTTAGATGTGTGCTGTCTGTGTTAGATGTGTGCTGTCTGTGTTAGATGTGTGCTGTGTTAGATGTGTGCTGTCTGTGTTAGATGTGTGCTGTCTGTGTTAGATGTGTGCTGTGTTAGATGTGTGCTGTCTGTGTACTGTCTGTGTTAGATGTGTGCTGTCTGTGTTAGATGTGTGCTGTCTGTGTTAGATGTGTGCTGTATGTGTTAGATGTGTGCTGTCTGTGTTACATGTGTGCTGTCTGTGTTAGATGTGTGCTGTCTGTGTTAGATGTGTGCTGTCTGTGTTAGATGTGTGCTGTCTGTGTTAGATGTGTGCTGTCTGTGTTAGATGTGTGCTGTCTGTGTTAGATGTGTGCTGTCTGTGTTAGATGTGTGCTGTCTGTGTTAGATGTGTGCTGTCTGTGTTAGATGTGTGCTGTCTGTGTACTGTCTGTGTTAGATGTGTGCTGTCTGTGTTAGATGTGTGCTGTCTGTGTTAGATGTGTGCTGTCTGTGTTAGATGTGTGCTGTCTGTGTTAGATGTGTGCTGTATGTGTTAGATGTGTGCTGTATGTGTTAGATGTGTGCTGTCTGTGTTAGATGTGTGCTGTCTGTGTTAGATGTGTGCTGTCTGTGTTAGATGTGTGCTGTCTGTGTTAGATGTGTGCTGTCTGTGTTAGATGTGTGCTGTCTGTGTTAGATGTGTGCTGTCTGTGTTAGATGTGTGCTGTCTGTGTTAGATGTGTGCTGTCTGTGTTAGATGTGTGCTGTCTGTGTTAGATGTGTGCTGTCTGTGTTAGATGTGTGCTGTCTGTGTACTGTCTGTGTTAGATGTGTGCTGTCTGTGTTAGATGTGTGCTGTCTTTGTTAGATGTGTGCTGTCTGTGTTAGATGTGTGCTGTCTGTGTTAGATGTGTGCTGTCTGTGTTAGATGTGTGCTGTCTGTGTTAGATGTGTGCTGTCTGTGTTAGATGTGTGCTGTCTGTGTTAGATGTGTGCTGTCTGTGTTAGATGTGTGCTGTCTGTGTTAGATGTGTGCTGTCTGTGTTAGATGTATGCTGTCTGTGTTAGATGTGTGCTGTCTGTGTTAGATGTGTGCTGTCTGTGTTAGATGTGTGCTGTATGTGTTATATGTGTGCTGTATGTGTGCTGTCTGTGTTAGATGTGTGCTGTCTGTGTTAGATGTGTGCTGTGTTAGATGTGTGCTGTGTTAGACGTGTGCTGTCTGTGTTAGATGTGTGCTGTCTGTGTTAGATGTGTGCTGTGTTAGACGTGTGCTGTCTGTGTTAGATGTGTGCTGTGTTAGATGTGTGCTGTCTGTGTTAGATGTGTGCTGTCTGTGTTAGATGTGTGCTGTCTGTGTTAGATGTGTGCTGTCTGTGTTAGATGTGTGCTGTCTGTGTTAGATGTGTGCTGTCTATGTTAGACGTGTACAATCTTATAAACTGCCTACCCCAGACAAATCAGTGGTGTGTGACATCCAAAGAATAACCGGACAGTCGGACTACATCCCATCTGACCCGCGTGAGCTGGCCCAGCGACTCTTCATGACCTGCTACATGAGCACCACCAACAGCTCAGCTGAAACCAAATCCTACGCAGCTGAGTTGGCTGAACAGATTGGAAGGTGGGATGTGTCTGGGCTCTCTCTCTGGGCTCTCTGTCTTGGCTCTGGACTCCTTCTTGGCTCTCTGTCTTGGCTCTCTGTCTTGGTTCTCTCTATGGGCTCTCTGTCTTGGCTCTGGACTCTCCTTCTCGGCTCTCCTTCTTGGCTCTCTGTCTTGGCTCTCTCTCTGGGCTCTCTCTCTGGGCTATCTGTCTTGGCTCTCTCTCTGGGCTATCTGTCTTGGCTCTCTCTCTGGGCTATCTGTCTTGGCTCTCTCTCTGGGCTATCTGTCTTGGCTCTCTCTCTGGGCTATCTGTCTTGGCTCTCTCTCTGGGCTATCTGTCTTGGCTCTCCATCTTGTTTCTCTGTCTTGGATCTCTCTCTCTGGGCTCTCTCTCTGGGCTCTCTGTCTGGGCTCTCTGTCTGGGCTCTCTGTCTTGGCTCTCTCTGTCTGGGCTCTCTGTCTTGGCTCTCTCTCTGGGCTCTCTGTCTTGGCTCTCCATCTTGTTTCTCTGTCTTGGATCTCTCTGGGCTCTCTCCAGGCTCTCTGTCTTGGCTCTCTCTCTGGGCTCTCTGTCTTGGCTCTCTCTCTCTGGGCTATCTGTCTTGGCTCTCCATCTTGTTTCTCTGTCTTGGATCTCTCTCTCTGGGCTCTCTCCAGGCTCTCTGTCTTGGCTCTCTCTCTGGGCTCTCTTTCTTGGCTCTCTCTCTCTGGGCTATCAGTCTTGGCTCTCCATCTTGTTTCTCTGTCTTGGATCTCTCTCTCTGGGCTCTCTGTCTTGGCTCTCTCTCCGGGCTCTCTGTCTTGACTCTCTGTCTTGTTTCTCTGTCTTGGCTCCATCAGTCCATCTAATATAAAGTTTCTGTTTCAGCTACCACATGGGCATCTCTGTGGACTTGGCTGTTGAATCTTTGCTCAAGATTTTCCAGCTGGCTTTTTCTGTGGTACCCAGGTTCAAGGCCCACGGAGGAAGTCTCAGAGAAAATCTGGCCATGCAAAATGTCCAGGTACACTCAGAAACACAACCCCTAACTTATTTATCAATGGCTAACTTTTCTGTCACACAATTGTCATTATTCTAATATCATAATTTACTAGCTCTTATATAACTTAGTTTTTGTAACTCAACCTCTAAACCACCACCCACCCCTGGGTCCAGCCACCACCCACCCCTGGGTCCAGCCACCACCCACCCCTGGGTCCATCCACCCTTGGGTCCAGCCACCACCCACACCTGGGTCCAGCCACCCCTGGGTCCAGCCACCACCCACCCCTGGGTCCAGCCACCACCCACCCCTGGGTCCAGCCACCCCTGGGTCCAGCCACCCCTGGGTCCAGCCACCACCCACCCCTGGGTCCAGCCACCCCTGGGTCCAGCCACCACCCACCCCTGGGTCCAGCCACCCCTGGGTCCAGCCACCACCCACCCCTGGGTCCAGCCACCCCTGGGTCCAGCCACCACCCACCCCTGGGTCCAGCCACCACCCACCCCTGGGTCCAGCCACCCCTGGGTCCAGCCACCACCCACCCCTGGGTCCAGCCACCCCTGGGTCCAGCCACCACCCACCCCTGGGTTCAGCCACCACCCTGGGTCCAGCCACCACCCACCCCTGGGTCCAGCCACCACCCACCCCTGGGTCCAGCCACCACCCACCCCTGGGTCCAACCACCACCCACCCCTGGGTCCAGCCACCACCCACCCTGGGTCCAGCCACCACCCACCCCTGAGTCCAGCCACCACCCACCCCTGGGTCCAGCCACCACCCACCCCTGGGTCCAGCCACCACCCACCCCTGGGTCCAACCACCACCCACCCCTGGGTCCAGCCACCACCCTGGGTCCAACCACCACCCACCCCTGGGTCCAGCCACCACCCACCCTGGGTCCAGCCACCACCCACCCCTGAGTCCAGCCACCACCCACCCCTGGGTCCAGCCACCACCCACCCCTGGGTCCAGCCACCACCCACCCCTGGGTCCAGCCACCACCCACCCCTGGGTCCAACCACCACCCACCCCTGGGTCCAGCCACCACCCTGGGTCCAGCCACCACCCACCCCTGGGTCCAACCACCAGCCACCCCTGGGTCCAGCCACCACCCACCCCTGGGTCCAAACACCACCCACCCCTGGGTCCACTCACCACCCACCCCTTGGTCCACTCACCACCCACCCCTTGGTCCAGCCACCCCTGGGTCCAGCTACCACCCATCCCTGAGTCCAGCTACCACCCATCCCTGAGTCCAGCCACCACCCATCCCTGAGTCCAGCCACCACCCACCCCTGGGTCCAGCCACCACCCACCCCTGGGTCCAGCCACCACCCACCCCTGGGTCCAGCCACCAGCCACCCCTCAATGTTTGACCAAACTTGTCTCCCTACAGGCGAGGGTGAGGATGGTGGTGTCCTACCTGTTTGCCCAGCTCAGCCTGTGGGCCCGAGGCAAGCCTGGGGGACTGCTGGTCCTGGGCTCATCTAATGTAGATGAGAGGTAAGGCCACAGCTACATCCATCTTAGTGACTCAAACAAGGTTTCAAGTGTTAACCTTTTAAATGCTGGTATCCTCCAGCATTAAACTTTTAACCCTATAAATGCCAGCATTTGTTCATCTGCAGCTTGCGAGGCTACATGACAAAGTACGACTGCTCCAGTGCTGACATTAACCCTATCGGGGGGATATCAAAAACTGACCTGCGTAGATTTATCCAGTACTGTGTGAAAGCCTTCAAGTTCTCTTCTCTAGAGAAGTAAGCTGAAATCTGTTAGAGTCTGCCTTTGTCTTAGCTTTAGTATAACAGTACCAGACATTAAGTAATAATTTCCTAAAAAAAATTGAGTCATCAAACAATGTTGACTGCTGTAATTAATCATCCCCATGACTATTGTTCTAGAATCAACAGTGCCCCACCTACAGCGGAGTTAGAACCCCTGGAGGATGGAAGGCTTGCTCAGACTGATGAGGTTTGTGTCTAGTGGAGTTTGTTGTTGTATGTCAGCAGATTTATTTTGTTACTGTCCATAGAATTATCTAACATTGAATATGTTAACAGGAAGACATGGGGATGACGTATGATGAGCTGTCAGTGTATGGAAAACTACGTAAACAAAACTGTTGTGGGCCATACAGTATGTTCTGCAAACTTCTCCACATTAGTAGCCAGCAGTGTCCACCTGAACAGGTAGGTCATAGTGGCCAGTGTGAACAGGTAGGTCATAGTGGCCAGTGTGAACAGGTAGGTCATAGTGGCCAGTGTGAACAGGTAGGTCATAGTGGCCAGTGTGAACAGGTAGGTCATAGTGGCCAGTGTGAACAGGTAGGTCATAGTGGCCAGTGTGAACAGGTAGGTCATAGTGGCCAGTGTGAACAGGTAGGTCATAGTGGCCAGTGTGAACAGGTAGGTCATAGTGGCCAGTGTGAACAGGTAGGTCATAGTGGCCAGTGTGAACAGGTAGGTCATAGTGGCCAGTGTGAACAGGTAGGTCATAATGGCCAGTGTGAACAGGTAGGTCATAGTGGCCAGTGTGAACAGGTAGGTCATAGTGGCCAGTGTGAACAGGTAGGTCATAGTGGCCAGTGTGAACAGGTAGGTCATAGTGGCCAGTGTGAACAGGTAGGTCATAGTGGCCAGTGTGAACAGGTAGGTCATAGTGGCCAGTGTGAACAGGTAGGTCATAGTGGCCAGTGTGAACAGGTAGGTCATAGTGGCCAGTGTGAACAGGTAGGTCATAGTGGCCAGTGTGAACAGGTAGGTCATAGTGGCCAGTGTGAACAGGTAGGTCATAGTGGCCAGTGTGAACAGGTAGGTCATAATGGCCAGTGTGAACAGGTAGGTCATAGTGGCCAGTGTGAACAGGTAGGTCATAGTGGCCAGTGTGAACAGGTAGGTCATAGTGGCCAGTGTGAACAGGTAGGTCATAGTGGCCAGTGTGAACAGGTAGGTCATAGTGGCCAGTGTGAACAGGTAGGTCATAGTGGCCAGTGTGAACAGGTAGGTCATAGTGGCCAGTGTGAACAGGTAGGTCATAGTGGCCAGTGTGAACAGGTAGGTCATAGTGGCCAGTGTGAACAGGTAGGTCATAATGGCCAGTGTGAACAGGTAGGTCATAGTGGCCAGTGTGAACAGGTAGGTCATAGTGGCCAGTGTGAACAGGTAGGTCATAGTGGCCAGTGTGAACAGGTAGGTCATAGTGGCCAGTGTGAACAGGTAGGTCATAGTGGCCAGTGTGAACAGGTAGGTCATAATGGCCAGTGTGAACAGGTAGGTCATAATGGCCAGTGTGAACAGGTAGGTCATAGTGGCCAGTGTGAACAGGTAGGTCATAGTGGCCAGTGGGAACAGGTAGGTCATAGTGGCCAATCTCCCATTGATTAGGTCATAGTGGCCAGTGTGAACAGGTAGGTCATAGTGGCCAATCTCCCATTGATTAGGTCATAGTGGCCAGTGTGAACAGGTAGGTCATAGTGGCCAGTGTGAACAGGTAGGTCATAGTGGCCAGTGTGAACAGGTAGGTCATAGTGGCCAATCTCCCATTGATTAGGTCATAGTATCCTGCTGTAGGTACTTTGTGAAAGGTGTGAATGAGTTCTTTGACCAATATTTACAATTTTTGTTACAGATAGCGGACAAAGTGAAACATTTTTTTAGGTCGTATGCAGTCAACCGGCACAAGATGACTGTCCTAACACCGTCCTACCACTGCGAGTCCTACAGTCCTGATGACAACAGGTTTGACCAGCGACAGTTCCTGTACAACGCCAAGTGGCTGTGGCAGTTTGCTCGCATTGATGCTGAGGTTGGTCTTACTTAATTAGATCTGTCAGTCAGTGATGTTCAGTGGTGTCATGATATAGTGAATCAGTGATGTCCAGTAAAGCCATTAATGACTGACTTGTCCAGGTCCAGAAAGCCAACAGCTCCATACAGAGAATAGAACAAGCCAGTGGCAAAAGAACTTCAGACATGCCGGGCTATGCTAACTCTCCGTCCCCGCAAGTCATCAACAGTCTGGGCAGCTTAACAAGGCAGGGCTTGGGGAGTCAGGGAGGTGTGCAGGTTGCTTCACCTGGCATGGACTGGACTGGTCCCAGCAGGTTTGCTAAAGTGAGCTGACTTTTTTTTTACAAATGGACTAGTCTAATATAGGTCCCCTACTTATTGGTACTAGAGAAATGAAGCATATTTTGTAATGTATGTCTCAATTCTACCTTACTGAGATGTGTACTAGTGCCACTACTGTACTGAGATGTGTACTAGTGCCACTACTGTACCGAGATGTGTACTAGCGCCACTACTGTACTGAGATGTGTACTAGTGCCACTACTGTACTGAGATGTGTACTAGTGCCACTACTGTACCGAGATGTGTACTAGTGCCACTACTGTACCGAGATGTGTACTAGTGCCACTACTGTACTGAGATGTGTACTAGTGCCACTACTGTACTGAGATGTGTTGTACTACTGCCACTACTGTACTGAGTATTTCTGTCTCAGATCAAGGAAGAGATCCCCAGCTACCAGCAGCCCTCATCAAGCCCCAGACTCCAGTACTCTGTTGTTATACGTGACCCACACAAGCGCACCACCACAGACTCTGCGTCAGGGGGCAGTCCAGTGGACACAGAGGATAAACGTCCTCGCTACCAGACTTTCCCCAGCGGAGGAAAAAATCTGAAAGTGGAATCTCAGTCAGCATCTCAGGCCTCGTGGTAGCCAGCAGCAAATAGTCAGCTCAACACTGCCAGCCCAGTCAAGTTTTGGTGGAAGACAAGTTTTGGTCTCCAGGCTAAAGCTGGTCTCAAATATATACAAGTATTTTTAGTGTAACAAGTGATCCAGAGCAACTAAAAGACAATCTATCTCATGCAAGTTTGTTGGCTGGATTAGAAATGGAACAGGTATTTCTTATTAGAATGTCAAGACAATGTTGTTGGGTAATGTACAGGCCCAGAGTCAGACTGACATTGTATAGCCACACACATACCAATATGTCAGTTGTTTGACTGCTGACCACAACTCACTCTATTAGATTAAGCCATACATCAGTTGAAAACTTTGGTTTGTCAACACAATTTGTTCTACCCAAGGCTTCATTGAATTTTGTTCAATGGAAGTTTTTTTTTATTTTCAGAATCAAAACAAAATTTTTAGTGTGGTTATATAAAAACTAGCTGCATCCCGTGCTCCGCCACGGTAAATCTTTTTAAAATATACCAACTTTGGAACAGAACAAAACAAACAAAAACACAACACAAACACAAACAAAACACAACCACATCACAACCACATTACAACCACAACACAATCACAACACAACCACAACACAACCACAAAACAACCACAACACAACCACAACACAACACAACCACAACACACGGTAAATCTTTTTTAAATGTACCAAGTTGGGAACAGAACAAAACTAAATACAACACAAACGAACGCAAAGAAAAAACACAAACGAAAAAACAAACACAACACTCAACATAAACTCAATTTAAATGTAATCATAAAGGCATATTGCTCACAGTCTATCCCGTAGCGCCAAATCACGCCCTTTCCGAGCGCCGGCGGAAAATTTCGATTTACACCCTCCCACCTCCCTCAAACTTTCGATTTCCACCCTCCCCCCCCCCCTCTTGCTACGCCTCTGTTATAAAACCCCTAGCTTTTCCGCAAATAAATTAAAGGCAGTATTTAGAATATCCGTGTTTTACCGACCATATTGCACTTTATAAATTCATTTATAAATTATATTATTCCAACAATTATTCCGTCTTGCAGATTTTGCATTCACATTTTTAGCGTGAGTTCAATTTATCTTTGAATTACCTCCATTGGCAAAATTACTAAGCAGTTTAATTAGATTTTTCTACCGTACTGTTATTATGTTATTAATATGTATCCACTCTTTCTGGGAATATTAACGAAAACGATATTTGACATTGATCCTTTTAATATGTTTTAGCAATGTGCGTGTATTTAATATTCTCTTTACGTTATGCAAAATTGTACAAACAGTGGAAATTATAAAATAGCTCTATGCCGTTATATAAACAAACCCTACTCAATAACTTATAATAAGACACTGCGGTGCACTGAAAAGCACAGCATGGTGCGTAGTTTACTTTTATAGTCCCAAAATCTATAGCGATGACGGACGGAAGGACAGACACAGCCCGCTTATATTATAGATATCTATGAATGCTTATAGGACTTTAGGTACCTAGAGGACACTAAGCTATGTTAGCTATCCCAGAGGACATATAGCTACCATGTGAGCTATCCTAGAGGACATTTAACTACTAGCCATACTAGAGGACTACCATTTGTAGCACACTTCATTTATTTATATTTAACTGTTTAAACCTCACAACATTGTATGTAATTGCCCAAAACATTAAATCAGAGTAAAACCAATGTGTAAATAAAACAAGTTAGTGGATGGAGTATGTACATGGTGACAGAATTATCTACTTCAAACTTGTAGATACTTGACTGACAAACATAATTCATTTCTTGGATTACACCTGCACTTTGTGTATTTTTTCTTGATGCCATAATTATCATTATTTTCTTGCTACTTTATAAGACAGATGACCTTTGTACCAGTCCACATACCATTAGATTGTTTTGAGAACCATTACTTTATTTGATGTTTCCCATTTTTAAAAAGTACATGTATAGTAAGTACAATTCTCTTTTAAAGAAACATTTTCAATATTGTATGCTTTTTTTTACACTCTTGCGTTATTTTAAAAAGGGCATTTTATTGGCTATAATCAGTGTACTCATCACTTGTACAATGTTGCCATTCTATCATTGCTTTATGTTTTACAATTGCGTCATCTTTTAAATCTCAACTCCCAGAGTGTCTCAGTAAAACCAAATGTGTGAAAGTTTGTAGAACCAGAGTGAAAAACATTTTTTTTTGTCAAACACAACTCATCTTCAAGGCAGGAAGTTTTTAAATTGTGGACAAATGTTTATCTCATGTGAGCACAAAATGTTTTTAAATTTTTTTTTTTAATTTTAGCACTTTTGGAATTTTTTAAGTCTTACATTTTACAAAAATGATTTTCATATAAAATTTTACTCGTTAACTTGAAAAAACTTAATCAGTTGTAACTACTTTTAAATTTACTAAAAATGGTACAGCTGATGGTGTAGTATATCCTCTATAAATATTCATGTTGTCCAAGTTTATCTGTATTAGAATTCTATTGAATGATTAAAAATTTAATCAATTAAATCTGACAAATTGTTTGAATTCTATTGGCTGATTAGTTCCCTCAGACAAGTTTGTAAGAATCCTGATCAAAGCCTACTTGTTTTTATAATAATTGTTTAAATTTGAACGATTTCTATGAAGTATAATCACACAATTTTATTTATTACTAAAAGAATAGCCAAAAACTTTGTTATGTAATTTAATGAATTTTTTTTTATTAACAATCAACACCTATAAACTAATGCTGTCAGGCATCAATGTAGTGTTGCCATTTTTTGACTATATTAAAAAAAAAGTGTTTTAAAAATGTGGTATGAACTTGTCTTTTCAAATAAAAACGTGCTAGAATTGAGGCTCTTTAATAATCCTAAGGGTTATTTTCTGATACAAAGGTTTTTTTTCAATTGGGATATTTAAAGTTTAAATGAGTAAGACAATATAATCTGAAACAAAAGAAAAATCAATATAATCTGAAACATAAGAAAAATCTATGCTGACTGTTACAGCAACCTGTTTCAAAACTTGAGAAACTTTTTGATGCGAGCCAATGAATTTTTCCTCTTTAACGAGTTACTAGAACTTTTCCTGCTGGCTTGGTTGGAAGGGGAGGAAACTTCTGTATTGGACGTGTTCCTGGTCAGGTAGGAGCTGTTGGATAGTGATGGGGAGGAGGGGTAGGTGTGGTCAGATGGGGCGTGCTGCTGCTCCTCCACACAGCTGTCCTGGCTCAAACCTGGAACTCTGAGCAATCTTTTGTTTTCATCATGGTCCCTGCAACACATGGAATGGGCTTAAGGTCCCTGCAACACATGGAATGGGCTTAAGGTCCCTGCAACACATGGAATGGGCTTAAGGTCCCTGCAACACATGGCATGGGCTTAAGGTCCCTGCAACACATGGAATGGGCTTAAGGATTGTGGTCCCTGCAACACATGGAATGGGCTTAATGTCCCTGCAACACATGGAATGGGCTTAAGGTCCCTACAACACATGGAATGGGCTTAAGGTCCCTGCAACACATGGAATGGGCTTAAGGTCCCTACAACACATGGAATGGGCTTAAGGATTGTGGTCCCTGCAACACATGGAATGGGCTTAAGGTCCTTGCAACACATGGAATGGGCTTAAGGAATGTTGTCCCTGCAACACATGGAATTGGCTTAAGGTCCCTGCAACACATGGAATGGGCTTAAGGATTGTGGTCCCTGCAACACACGGAATGGGCTTAAGGATTGTGGTCCCTGCAACACACGGAATGGGCTTAAGGATTGTGGTCCCTGCAACACATGGAATGGGCTTAAGGATTGTGGTCCCTGCAACACATGGAATGGGCTTAAGGATTGTGGTCCCTGCAACACATGGAATGGGCTTAAGGTCCCTGCAACACATGGAATGGGCTTAAGGTCCCTGCAACACATGGAATGGGCTTAAGGTCCCTGCAACACATGGAATGGGCTTAAGGTCCCTGCAACACATGGAATGGGCTTAAGGTCCCTGCAACACATGGAATGGGCTTAAGGTCCCTGCAACACATGGAATGGGCTTAAGGTCCCTGCAACACATGGAATGGGCTTAAGGTCCCTACAACATATGGAATGGGCTTAAGGTCCCTGCAACACATGGAATGGGCTTAAGGTCCCTGCAACACATGGAATGGGCTTAAGGTCCCTGCAACACATGGAATGGGCTTAAGGTCCCTGCAACACATGGAATGGGCTAAAGGTCCCTATAACACATGGAATGGGCTTAAGGTCCCTACAACACATGGAATGGGCTTAAGGTCCCTACAACACATGGAATTAGCTTAAGGTCCCTACAACACATGGAATGGGCTTAAGGTCCCTGCAACACATGGAATGGGCTTAAGGTCCCTGCAACACATGGAATGGGCTTAAGGTCCCTGCAACACATGGAATGGGCTTAAGGTCCCTATAACATATGGAATGGGCTTAAGGTCCCTGCAACACATGGAATGGGCTTAAGGTCCCTGCAACACATGGAATGGGCTAAAGGTCCCTATAACACATGGAATGGGCTTAAGGTCCCTACAACACATGGAATGGGCTTAAGGTCCCTACAACACATGGAATGGGCTTAAGGTCCCTACAACACATGGAATTAGCTTAAGGTCCCTACAACACATGGAATGGGCTTAAGGGGGCACTACACCGTACATACAAAAATTTACAAAAAAATTTTTTTTAAGAAAACAAACACATGTATTGCAGTTATAAAGATATTTTATATACTTTTAGACCAATGTGAATGTGTCTTCAGCGTTAGCCGATTAAAAAATACAGAAATAAATGATTTAGACATATCATGCTTCAATCTGTTTAACTCAATAACCATTTAATGTATTGACTTAAAACTTCTAATTTAAATAAAGGAGAGGATTCCTAACAGGAGAATAGAGAGACTTTTTGAATATATGACAAAATGTTGAAGTTACAAATTTTTTGTTTTTAGATTAAAATATTAACCATGAAATCAACTTTGAAATTCTCTAAAAACAAAACTACTCAAGATAACCTAAAAAAGTCTCTATTACTCTAACAGTAATTATGTTGTGTTTCTACTGTACAAATTTCATTGAAATCTAATAGACAGTATTTGAGATCATAAATTTTGAAGTTTTAAAACTGGTAAAAAAACAAAATTGTGAGAAAAAGGGGAAAACGTGTTTGAAAATGAAAAAAAACTGTTAAACACTCTTTATATCTTATCAAAAGCTTATCATATAGTTTAAGCAATGTATACAAGATACTATAATCAAAGTTTCAATCAAATCAAGCAATAATTAGTCTTGGTAATTAGGTTTAATGAGGTGCACCCCCTAAAAATAAATTGTAAATAAGAGTTATCAAAAATATTTTAAAAATTAATAAAAGCTTTTAAATCAAATAATATCCTAGTAAAAGCTTATTAAATAGTTTTAGTATGTACAGAAGTTACTATTATCATTTGGTTTCTGAAATTAAGGAGTAATTATTCTTGTAAATCAGGTTTTATAAATGTACCCCTGAACAAAAAACTTCAAAACAGGTCAAGTAAAATTTACAAAAAAATTGAATTAGCTTACAAAATAGCTACATAGAGGTACAGTATACAACTCTGAAAACATTTGCATATTACTAACATTACAAAAACAAAATAGTTACAGTAGGCCTAATCATTCTCTATTTAGAAAGCTGAAGAAAAATATGATGATCTGCCTTCAGCCTGAACTAGTTTCTGTTGGGCTATGGGTGAAATAACAGCCATCTTTCAGTATTACTAACTGTCATGTAATCCCATGATTGGGGCCATATGCCTAGATGCATGCAGAAAGACTTTCATTTGGGTTGAATCTATCATGTAACTGCTCAATATGGCATTTGTCGTCAGTTGCTAATAAACATTTTGGACAGCTTTGGCAACATGTTCTAAGATGAATGATGAACCTTTGTGAGATAGCGGTGTTGAATTATGTACCATGACACATTTGCCAGAAGCACCAGGAGGTTTTCCCTGTCTGTCAATCCTGGTGTGTGTCCTTTCATCTGTCAAAGGGACATGATTAGAAGGAGCTCCAACTTTCCACCTCAGTTCCCTGTACTGCCAGTCTTACTTGAAACTGCCTTCTTGAAGTAGGTCTGGAGATTTTTTCAGCTGCTGAAATGAGATTGAGACAATATACTGATCTATACATTCTAGCTATCAGAGTGATTTCAAGAATTCAAACAAGTTTGACAAATCCTAATACCTGCGTAAGACTTCCAATCTATCCACTCAGTGCATTACGGCGATTAGACTGCAGAAGCACTAAATTTTCTTTGCGATGGTTGGTGGAAGTAGTGTAGCTGCAACCGATGCATGTGCACTGAGATGCAGGTACTGTAGGTGCATCTAGTGCATCTGTGCAGTCCCAAGTGATGTGCATCAACCCTAGCAAGCTTGGCAGCACTAGCTTTGAGACTGCAGGCATTGACTGTAAAAATATTTAAAAATAATAAGGCATATTGTTATTTCTAGATCTATCTATTATTCTATTATAAACTATTGTTTGTATTTATAGACTCATATTTACCTATATAGATCTGGACTAGAATCTAAATTCTACTTCTAGATCTTGATCTAGGTTTTAGATTTAGAATCTCCAATCTAGATCTAAATCTAGTTCTAGATCTAGAATAGATCTAGATTCGAGATCTAGATCTAGAACGACTCATTATCGATAAGGAATAATAGTCCAAGTTTATTGATGAAAATACAATTAATAACTATATTTTAGAAAATAATTTCAGTAAAATAGTAATTAAATCAAATCTTACCGTAAAAAGAAGCCAACAAACAAAAAATATGCACTTATTTGATAAAAAAGAAGCACACAGGTTCGCAGATGTCGAGTAAAGGAAGTCATGCGCTGAGCAAAATAATAGCCCGTATCTCGGCAACGGCTTACATTTCGGTCATATGTCGCCTTGACATGAGCTAATTTTAGTAACTTACAACATGGCTTCGCCTGGTAACCAATGGGAATACAGCTTTTCTTATTTCCATCATGCATTCACCTCGCGATTTCTATTTTAGTATTTAAAACTAGGTCAATGTATTTAGGTTATTTAAATGAGGAATTGCAAGCCGGTCATTCTGATATACGGCTTGCTATGCTAGGTCGCTTAGTTAAGAATCGACAGGCATGTTTATGGAGGCCATTTTTCCGTAAATTTATATTTTTCCAGGCACACACACCTTCTTCAAATGCACAAATATGTATGAAAATGTCAATTTACAGTTAAAACGATAATGGCATTAGGTAAATAAGATGTTAATGTATAGAAATAAAAAATAAAAAAAAATCGAAAAAAAAAATAAAAATAAAATAAAAAATCAAGCTGAGTACGGTGTTGTAGCCCCTTAAGGTCCCTGCAACACATGGAATGGGCTTAAGGTCCCTGCAACACATGGAATGGGCTTAAGGTCCCTGCAACACATGGAATGGGCTTAAGGTCCCTATAACATATGGAATGGGCTTAAGGTCCCTGCAACACATGGAATGGGCTTAAGGTCCCTGCAACACATGGAATGGGCTTAAGGTCCCTACAACACATGGAATGGGCTTAAGGTCCCTGCAACACATGGAATGGGCTTAAGGTCCCTACAACACATGGAATGGGCTCAAGGTCCCTATAACATATGGAATGGGCTTAAGGTCCCTGCAACACATGGAATGGGCTTAAGGTCCCTACAACACATGGAATGGGCTCAAGGTCCCTATAACATATGGAATGGGCTTAAGGTCCCTGCAACACATGGAATGGGCTTAAGGTCCCTGCAACACATGGAATGGGCTTAAGGTCCCTGCAACACATGGAATGGGCTCAAGGTCCCTACAACACATGGAATGGGCTTAAGGATTGTGGTCCCTGCAACACATGGAATGGGCTTAAGGATTGTGGTCCCTGCAACACATGGAATGGGCTTAAGGATTGTGGTCCCTGCAACACATGGAATGGGCTCAAGGTCCCTGCAACACATGGAATGGGCTTAAGGTTTGAGGTCCCTGCAACACACACTATAGCAATTCTAAATGATCCAGCCATAGTAATGTTTATCATTGTAGCAGAAAACTAACTAATCCAGCCGGATAGCATGTATTCACCTGTATTCTAGTGCAATACTTTTTAGGGCCTTCTCTATCCGTTTCTCCTCCCAGTCTGTGTAGGACTGGCTTGGTGAGGGTGTTTGGGCACAGCTGCAGCCCTAAACAAAATTGGATTTTAGATTAACCTCTCAAACTGTAACCAACTAACTAGAACTAGATGATACATCAAGTATTGTAATACACATTACCTGGATGTGCCTTATATGACAAAAATGGGACATTTTCAACCCACCCAGAAGTAAATTGAAATACAAAGGCTAATTAGCTTCTGGATAATGACAACCACCTGTTAGTGTTATGACAGCCTTTAGTAAGTTAACTACACAAACAATGACTAAGCTCTAAGTCAACTGAACTAAGTAAATTCAAATTAAAACATTGTTCAATCCAGTAGTGATGGATAGTGTAAAATCTGAACATTAAGAGCATAAATAAAAAATAAGCGGGAGTGATCTACCCAAAACTTTCTTGAATATTCTTATATAACACTAAGAGAGATAACAACTGGGAATTTAGACGAGTTTTAATCAATTTTTCAATACTTAAACTTTTTAAAATAGAATAGAATCTCATACAAAAAAGAATTGCGTACCCAGCGAATGGCAAACAATATGTATAATAGTGCAGAATATTAGTACTTTATAAATTAATGCGTTTTCTGAGAAATCAGAAATATCATAAAGTACTACTTCCGGTCAACGGAAATGACTCAAAACTTCACTTTATTGGATCTTGTCAAACTCATTGTAAAAGTTGATTTCTAACATTATCATGTAGATCTAGTGACATGCTAACTACACTATAGTTTGGCATAATATTCAGTTGTTTTTTTAAAACATTGATCTAAATAGCAAATAAAGTTAATAGAAATCCTATATTTATAGACTACTATATGTTTTACATAGTATATTATAATATAGGCTACTTTAATTGCTATTGTAACATTCAGACTTAGGTCTAGCTGGAATCTAGATCTTATATCTTGACAATTATTTTGCATTGAGCATTAGCTGGTTTACTTAAAGTTTAGACTTACTTGTAGCCTGATTTTTTCCACCAGATAAGCCAAACCTTGAACTCCTATTTCATCTTTTAATCTTCTCAACATAGTGTAGTCAGCCAGGACTTTCATACCAAACTGGTGGCTGAGATACAACTCCACCTGTGTGCAGTGATGTACAACCTACACTACTGATTCTAATTTCTTACATGCTACCACTACATATTAATCTGAATATATTGTCACTATGACCAGAAGGGCTTGCTAATCTGGTTGGTAACTTCACTTAGATCTAGGCTACCTCTTTGGCTTCAACTCCTGGGGAGCCATCAACAAGGATATGCTCAGACCGTCTGCTCAAACGTTTCTCATCGTGATCCTCATCAGTGTCTTCACTTCGACCTGTTTTTTCCAAACGACGAAGCACATTCCTGAAATTGGCCTATATCATAAAAACCAGCACCGTCAAGATTTGTGTCATTTATAGATTTGTAAATAGATCTGTTATAGTTTATAGGTGTAGGCCCAAATAGTGTGAAATGTACAGTTGAATGTAATGAATTTCTCATATGTAGCTACAAACATGAGTCAAAAATGGATGTGATGTTTAGGGTTTGCCCTCTGAGTGTGAAACCTTACTTGAAATAGTTAATTTTATGCTTGATCTCTTTACTTCGAGTGGAATAAAAAAGTTTTGTCTGTAGTTCTTCATCATACCAAATCTTCTGGTTTTGAAGCTGCCAATACAAGAAATTATTACCAAAAGTCTATCATAGAATGCATTTATCATATTAAGATGACAAACAAAACTTCATGCACTTTCAAATAGGCCAGGAAGGTTTAATCATCATCTTTTCCCATTTGTGCCCAAGACAAATGGCGCAGATTTAGTAGAGTTCACCTACTTCAGAGACCTCTGCATATCAAGGGATAGTGTGGTCAGTACTATAACCAGCTGCCTATTTTCTCTATTCTGAGTTAGGTACCCATCAGAGCTGGGTGGACTCAGGGACATATTAACTTGAGACTTTTGGGTTAGCAGTCTAGCTGTTGACCACTAGGTTTAACCAAGCCATTAATGTTGTCCTGACCAAGCCATTAATGTTGTCCCAACCAAGCCATTAATGTTGTCCCGACCAAGCCATTAATGTTGTCCCGACCAAGCCATTAATGTTGTCCTGACCAAGCCATTAATGTTGTCCAGACCAAGCCATTAATGTTGTCCTGACCAAGCCATTAATGTTGTCCTGACCAAGCCATTAATGTTGTCCTGACCAAGCCATTAATGTTGTCCAGACCAAGCCATTAATGTTGTCCAGACCAAGCCATTAATGTTGTCCAGACCAAGCCATTAATGTTGTCCAGACCAAGCCATTATTGTTGTCCTGACTAAGCCATTAATGTTGTCCCGACCAAGCCATTAATGTTGTCCTGACCAAGCCATTAATGTTGTCCTGACCAAGCCATTAATGTTGTCCTGACCAAGCCATTAATGTTGTCCAGACCAAGCCATTAATGTTGTCCTGACCAAGCCATTAATGTTGTCCAGACCAAGCCATTAATGTTGTCCAGACCAAGCCATTAATGTTGTCCCGACCAAGCCATTAATGTTGTCCTGACCAGCAGATGAGGCACCAGTGGGCTGGGCAGACACGTCAGACTTCTGTGTTTGTACTAATGTGTTAGAGATGTGCTCACCACATCTTTAAAGTCACCAACTGTCTCCTCCAGGGCGTGTAGCTCGTCCATGTTGAGAAGAAATGCATTCATTTCTTTAGACACATCTGATCAGATTACATTTAATATAGTCATTTCTTTAGACACATCTGATCAGATTACATTTAATATAGTTATTTCTTTAGACATATCTTTGCCTACAATGTAGCAGTTCAAAACATTTGGCTACCCTGTAGCAGTACAAAACATTTGGCTACCCTGTAGAAGTACAAAACACTGGGCTACCCTGTAGCAGTACAAAACATTTGGCTACTCTGAGCAGTACAAAACATTTGGCTACCCTGTAGCAGTACAAAACATTTGGCTACCCTGTAGCAGTTCAAAACATTTGGCTACCCTGTAGCAGTACAAAACACTGGGCTACTCTGTAGCAGTACAAAACATTTGGCTACTCTGAGCAGTACAAAACATTTGGCTACCCTGTAGCAGTACAAAACATTTGGCTACCCTGTAGCAGTACAAAACATTTGGCTACTCTGAGCAGTACAAAACATTTGGCTACCCTGTAGCAGTACAAAACATTTGGCTACCCTGTAGCAGTACAAAACATTTGGCTACCCTGTAGCAGTTCAAAACATTTGGCTACCCTGTAGCAGTACAAAACACTGGGCTACTCTGTAGCAGTACAAAACATTTGGCTACTCTGAGCAGTACAAAACATTTGGCTACCCTGTAGCAGTACAAAACATTTGGCTACCCTGTAGCAGTACAAAACATTTGGCTACCCTGTAGCAGTACAAAACATTTGGCTACTCTGAGCAGTACAAAACATTGGGCTACTCTGTAGCAGTACAAAACATTGGGCTACCCTGTAGCAGTACAAAACATTTGGCTACTCTGAGCAGTACAAAACTGACAAAACATTTGGCTACTCTGCTAGTGGTACCAACCTAGATCAGGCGCGTCCCACTTGTGCCTCTCAGCCCTCGTCTCATCCGTCATGTCCTTGAGCAGGATCATGTCCAGGGCACAGTGGTCAGCCAGGATCTCGTGGAAGTTCTGGGGCAAACAGGAGCTTAGGTGGATGTGGTGCAAACAGGAGCTTAGGTGGATGTGGGGCCAACAGGAGCTTAGGTGGATGTGGGGCAAACAGGAGCTTAGGTGGATGAGGGGCCAACAGGAGCTTAGGTGGATGAGGGGCCAACAGGAGCTTAGGTGGATGAGGGGCCAACAGGAGCTTAGGTGGATGTGGGGCAAACAGGAGCTTAGGTGGATGAGGGGCCAACAGGAGCTTAGGTGGATGAGGGGCAAACAAGAGCTTAGGTGGATGTGGGGCAAACAGGAGCTTAGGTGGATGTGGGGCAAACAGGAGCTTAGGTGGATGTGGGGCAAACAGGAGCTTAGATGGATGTGGGGCAAACAGGTGCTTAGCTGGAAGTTCTAAGGCTTACTAGGTGGATGTTGTATTGTAGGAAAGGAAATGATGGTGCTGCTTAAGCAAGCTGGAAAGGATGATGATGATGTGTAGGTATGAAGTTGTGTTTAAATAATCTGCTGCTACCTCCAAATTTCTCATTTTCTCATTCTTTTCATCCAACAAATCTTTGAGCTTGGACAACTTCCTCTTGGCTGGAACTATCTCTTTCTCAAACAGAGCTAGAAATAATAGGGGGTAAAGGTCAAAGGGTCATGATACATTAACAATAATTGTGACATCAAACGTTGGTCTAAACATAATAGCCGGTAGCACACACAAACCTACCCCTGCAGTTCCTCTTCCCATGTGACCTGTGACCTACCTTTCTCGTCCTGCAGCTTGTGAATCCTCTGGTACTCTTTAAACTTAAGGCTCTGGGCTTCTTCCTTCTGCTTCTCCTCCTGTCCCAGATGTTTGCTTTTGGCTTCAACTGTTTGACGCGAGATATCTGCAGGTGAAAGGTCAAGGCGAGAATTAAACCCATTTCAACTAGTTTAAATCAGTTGACCTAGGCTGACAAACAAGCTGACCTACAGCTGACCAAGGCTGACAAACAAGCTGACCTACAGCTGACCTAGGCTGACAAACAAGCTGACCTACAGTTGACCTAGGCTGACAAACAAGCTGACCTACAGTTGACCTAGGCTGACAAACAAGCTGACCTACAGCTGACCTAGGCTGACAAACAAGCTGACCTACAGCTGACCAAGGCTGACAAACAAGCTGACCTACAGCTGACCTAGGCTGACAAACAAGCTGACCTACAGCTGACCTAGGCTGACAAACAAGCTGACCTACAGCTGACCTAGGCTGACAAACAAGCTGACCTACAGCTGACCAAGGCTGACAAACAAGCTGACCTACAGCTGACCAAGGCTGACAAACAAGCTGACCTACAGCTGACCTAGGCTGACAAACAAGCTGACCTACAGCTGACCTAGGCTGACAAACAAGCTGACCTACAGCTGACCTAGGCTGACAAACAAGCTGACCTACAGCTGACCTAGGCTGACAAACAAGCTGACCTACAGCTGACCTAGGCTGACAAACAAGCTGACCTACAGCTGACCTAGGCTGACAAACAAGCTGACCTACAGCTGACCTAGGCTGACAAACAAGCTGACCTACAGCTGACCTAGGCTGACAAACAAGCTGACCTACAGCTGACCTAGGCTGACAAACAAGCTGACCTAAAATGGCTTTGAGGTCAAGGACAGACTGTTTGGCCTTTTCCACTCGAATTTCTTTCTCCATGATGGCTGCCACGGCCTGCTCCAGACGATCCATCATGTCCTCCGCGCTCTTGGACATGGTCACATCACACACGCCCAACTGTGTCATTTGTGACCAGTAGGTCGACAGTTTTTTCAGCTGCTGACAGTAGTAGGTCATCACCTGGCATAGAACACAACAAGCTATCTGTGTCCCACAGGTAGTGACTAAAGTTGTCTATGTCCTACAGGTAGTGACTAAAGTTGTCTATGTCCTACAGGTAGTGACTAAAGTTGTCTATGTCCTACAGTTAGTGACTAAAGTTGTTTTTTGTCCTACAGGTAGTGACTAAAGACACTAAAGTTGTCTATGTCCTACAGTTAGTGACTAAAGTTGTCTATGTCCTACAGTTAGTGACTAAAGTTGTCTATGTCCTACAGTTAGTGACTAAAATTGTCTATGTTCTACAGGTAGTGACTAAAGTTGTCCTTGTCCCACAGATACTGACTACTAATTATTAATAAGATAGTCATCTATGATCTAGATCTCATATCTAGATCTAGGCCTAAATATAAATTCAAGACTACTCTTCTAATCTACATCTTGAGTCAATTCTTGAGTCTTCTACTTCTAGATTCTAGATCTAGATAGATCTAGATCTAGATCTAGTACTAAGTAGATCTAGACTGTGAGTCTTCTATTCTAGAGGATCTAGATCTAGCAGAAGCTTCTAGAATGAATGTTTTAGTTAGTTTAGTGATTAGTGTAGATCTAGTAAAGTTTAGTTATTTACATTTAGGCCTACTAGATCTATCTAGAATCTAGATCTAGAATCTAGATCTAGATTTCTATCTGTCATAGTTATAGTAAGTAAGTAGTAATGGCAGCTGGTGAGGCGTGCAAAGTACCTGATCCAAGTCTTTGGAAACGTTTAGATTACCAACCACAGCCATAGTGGAGTCTATGCATCAGCGTGAGGACGGTTTTTAAAATACAATGTAGATCTAGATCTACAAAAGTTTGAAAATAGACTGGTTCAGTTTGAAATCTGAGAGGAGAAACAAAATGGTGGACCACAATGACGTCACTAGTTTATGTGGACTGTTGCGCGTGGCGTCATTGTTAATGTTATGTTACATTTAGATTTAACAGATTCTAGATCTAGATTTTAGATCTGGAATCTAGATCTAGAAATCTAGATCTATATTCCTTGGATTATCTATCCAAGAAAAGCAACACACATTGTTTGAAGTTTTTTGAAATATAAGCATAATAATTTGTAGGTCTGAGGGCCTACTTATTCAAAATATAAACATGATGTGCACTGAATTGAAATAAAAACATGATAACTTGTAGGTTAAGTGAACACTGTGAACCCAGAGCTGATTAGCATGACCTCAAAATTGTGCCCGGTAAAAAAACAGGATGTGGATCTAACCCTTAGTAACACGCTTCTCAACGCTCACCCCCCACTCACAACACATTTCTGCCACTCCCGTAGCCAGTGTTTCTTCCAGACTTTTTTCTCCGGGGGGGCACTTGAAATCTTCGGGGGGGGGGGGGGGCGGTAAACTTTCTTCGGGGGGGCGGACACTGTTAAAAGTATATATTTTCTATATAAATTATATAAATTTCATTTCGTTCGGGGGGGCGGTAAAAAATTTTCGGGGGGGGGGGGGGGGGCTTCGCCCCCCCCGAAGAGATGCCTGGAAGAAACTCTGCCCGTAGCAGTGTGAGGTCTTAATTTAACCGAAGCAACATGCGAGTTGTGAGTGTTGTGTGACCCCTTTTAACTGAAGCATTGAGTGGTGTGTGACCCCTTTAACTGAAGCATTGAGTGTTGTGTGACCCCTTTAACTGAAGCATTGAGTGTTGTGTGACCCCTTTAACTGAAGCATTGAGTGTTGTGTGACCCCTTTAACTGAAGCATTGAGTGGTGTGTGATCCCTTTAACTGAAGCATTGAGTGTTGTGTGACCCCTTTAACTGAAGCATTGAGTGTTGTGTGACCCCTTTAACTGAAGCATTGAGTGTTGTGTGACCCCTTTAACTGAAGCATTGAGTGTTGTGTGACCCCTTTAACTGAAGCATTGAGTGGTGTGTGATCCCTTTAACTGAAGCATTGAGTGTTGTGTGACCCCTTTAACTGAAGCATTGAGTGTTGTGTGATCCCTTTAACTGAAGCATTGAGTGGTGTGTGACCATTTTATTTAACTGAAGCAACGTGTGAGTTTGTAACCAAAGATCAGTGAGGCTTTAAACACGGTTGTAAACGACCCCCCCCCTACACACACACACACACAATCTGTACTGAGTGAAATTATGAACGTTAGGCATATCTCCCCCACCCCCACTACATTTCCACCACCTTTAAAAAAGCGCGGAGTCATGAAACGGTGAGTTATCTCCCTGTAACTGCGGTAACCGGAACTTGCACATCAAAGCCTCAGCCTACAGGAGAAGGGGGGCACACCACGATCAACTTGTTTTTCACATTTCAGTCAGAGGTAGACTGTGTTGCACGTTGTTTTATTTTGGTTATTACAAGTAATGTTCAGGTTATTTTTGACAACAGGATAAAGTAGCGGTAGTAGGAACTGAGGGAATTCTGACAAGTTTGTATGTATCTCCAATCTTTATATTTATATATTGCCTATATATAATATATATGTATGTATATATATATATATATATATATATATATATATATATATATATATATATATATATATATATATATATGTATATATATATATATATATATATATATATATATATATATATATATATATATATATATATATATATATATATATATATATATATAAATTGGACAAACGACTTATTAATGGCTTCTCCTACAGAAAGTGTTATATAACTTTATATGGTTGTAATAGCAATAGCCCTACGGGTAATGACCTTCATATATATGTGTATATATATATATATATATATATATATATATATATATATATATATATATATATATATATATATATATATATATATATATATATATATATATATATATATATATATATATATATATATATATGTGACGAGCGAACATTTATCCTGCCGACAACGCCAATTGTAACGAGCCAACAGTTACCATGCTCGCAACGCCACATGTAATGAGACCTAATTGCCTGTAGTGCCACGTGGTAACGAGTTTAACCACTCATTCTAGACAACATTGACCACAGTATAGATACTCAAGATGCAGGTTCGCTATTGATCCTTTATTACATGAATCAAGAAATGCTTCATAATAACACAATAAATCAACAGGAATGCTTCTCAATAATAGTCTGAATCAACTGACCCCTAACAGTCCTTCACTAGGCTTCATATAACTGAATCCACATGTCTATAATCCTCCTTAACACAATACGGCTAACCCGTTCTATAACCGACTTGACATAGTCACACAGACTGACTGATCTAAGCGAGCGATGAAGATGGAAGAGAGCTCGCTGAAACGGGAAGAGAGAGAGCGAGTCCTGCCGTGCCCTCCTATTTATGCCTTGTATCCGTACTCGTCTCCGTACTTGTATTCCTCCGTAATCGATACTTGTACTCGATCTCCGACCACCAGTTGCGTAGTTCAAACGTACAGACCGTAAAATAACATCTGCGTCCTATCCATCAAAGCCGACAGGCCGTCTGAATACCGTTTCCCAAAATAGCACGCGCCGGCTTTGAGGTTGTTATCAGCCCGACCCAATAAGCCACCTGTTATCGGTTGCATCAGACCAACACTGTGTCTCGGCTCCTCGTTCGTTATCATTTGTAACTGGTAGTTAGGCCTACCCCAGTTACATCCACCCCTGCTTTTTTTGTGTGTTTTCAACCACAAACAACGCCTGGCAGGTGCACTCCTCCAAAGTCAATCGCACAGTCGTAAAAAAAATCTATTGTTCTACTCACTGTCCACGACGTTCCATTCGTATACGATTGACAGTTCTACCTATTTCACATATCAACTGTGTCTACACCATCTTTCTGAGACACAAAACAGTTCTAGAATTCACATCCACCCTTTCCATTTGGTGCCTTCACCAGTTCACTTCTATAGCTCTTTGAACAGTCTGTTTTCATACCAGCGCGACCATGAAAGAATTGATGGTTGCTGACAAAAAATTTCGTATTCCTTCTGTTCCTTAAACTTCTCCGCGGACCACTTATCTGATGGTCTACTGTCTCTCTGCTTCTGGAGGGACCGGGATCCTCATTGTTGCCGGTATCCTCCCCTTGCGTATCGCTGTTGTTCTGTTGATGGTGATATGGTTCCGGAATGGGTATGTGAATTTCCGTTATAACTTCCGGTTCCCTAATTGTCTTGGGTTTCTCTGTGTGTAACTGCTCTTCTTGCCTATTCCAATATTTCTTTAATTGAGCAATATTCGCCCACCGATCCGGTTTGGCGTGATCGATGGGTCTTATCTTAAAGGGGCCACCTGCTGCTTTAGGCATCTCCACGACTTGCCATATCTCCTGTCCCCAGAGATCGTGGATTTTGTTTCTGCCTAACGGGTGGCTACGCAGTAATACCCTGTCATTCAGTTTGAGTGGCGGGTCCTTCGTCTGTATCGGCGGTTCCCTTCGCCGAGATTCATGTTCTAGTCTTTCCTGTACTACCCTGTACATTTCTCTAATTCTTCTCCTATGTTCATTCACATATTCCAGTGCGGTGTATGAGCCAGTCATACTCTCCCTTTTTCCTAAGAACAAATCAAGAGGGAGTCGAGCCTCTCGTCCGAACAGCAACATGTATGGCGAAAAGCCGGTTGTGGCATGTGGTGTGCAGTTGTATAGATATACCAACTCTGGGAGAAAATCAGGCCAACGTTTTTTCTGTTCAGGTTCTAGCGTACGCAGCAAATCATGCATGCTGCGGTTGAACCGTTCACACTGTCCGTTTCCTTTCGGATTAAATGTGGTTGTTCTAGATTTGTTGATCCCGTAGTGGTTGCACAGTTGGTTAATTACTTCTGACTCAAAGGCCCTTCCTTGGTCAGAGTGTAATTGTCTTGGTATGCCATATTTGATGAACCAATGTTCTAATAATACCTTTGCCACTGTTTTGGCAGTCTGATCTCGTGTGGGCACCGCCACAGTCCATTTGGTGAATACATCAGTCATTACCAACACATGTTCCGTCCCATCCGATGATTGCTCCAACGACGTAAAGTCCATCGCCACAATCTCTAGTGGTTTTGTCGCTAGTAGGTGTCCTGATGGCTGTCTCATTTTGACAACTGGCATTTTCGCATGCTGACACCTCACACAAGCCTCACAATGGCGTTTGACCTCCATTTCCATATTGGGCCAGTAACACCTCCGTCGTAATATTTTGTGCGTCCTGTCCTGACCCTGGTGTCCTGCCCTGTCATGTGCCAACCTTAGCCCTTCTTCTCGTAATTGTCCCGGCACCACCACCTGGTGTATTGTGCCATCAATTTGGTCATGAATTCTCCGCATGAGAACACCATCCTTTATACTGAGACGGTTCCACTGACTCAGTATTTTCTTTGTTTCTCGACCAAATTGTTCTCTTTCCCTTCTTCCTGGGAATTTTTGTTCCTGGACGTGTTTCAATAGCGGTTGTAAGCCACTATCCGTTCTCTGGGCATCTCTTATCTTTTTGTGATTAAGGCAAATAAAATCACCACTGTCCATATGTTCGGGTTCCGTGGATATGTGCTCCACCCCGGTCTGCCCGTTTTGCATCACTTGTACCCCATGAGGGATATCTGTTGACGCTCTGACCTCACATATTCCTGTCAGTGTTTCTTCCTCATCACCCGGTCTCTCGTAAGGATTCCTTGATAAGGCGTCCGCATTGCCATTGGACCGCCCCGGGCGATACTTTATCTCTAGGTCAAAGAGTGCCAATTCTGCTGCCCATCGCTGTTCGATGGATCCCAACTTTGCTGTCTTTAGGTGACTCAAGGGGTTATTGTCAGTGTATACCACACATTTAGCACCTAATAAATAGTCCCTGAATTTTTCCGTCACAGCCCATTTTAATGTCAAAAGTTCTAGTTTCATGGCGCTGTAATTTGTCATGTTCCTCTCTGATCCCTTCAGAGCTCGACTTGCATACGCAATAACCCTGAAACCTTGCTTTTGTTGTTGTGATAGCACAGCTCCCAGACCTTTAGAGCTGGCGTCAATTTCTAACCGAAATGGTTTGTCAAAGTCCGCGTATCCCAATATCGGTGCCTCTGTCAAGGCCTTTTTCAAGAGTTTAAACGAGTTCCGGCATTCATCAGTCCATAGTTCACCTATCAGTTTTGTTTTACCTTTCTTTTTCTCCTTACTGTGTTTCTTTGTCATTTTGTTTACCAAGTCATGCAATGGTGCGGCAATTTTTGCAAAACCCGGCACAAATTTTCTATAATAGGAAGCAAAGCCCAAGAATGACCTGACCTCTACCGTAGTTGTTGGTTGTTTCCATTCTTTAACAGCTGCAATTTTATCTGGGTCAGTGGCAATGCCATCCGACGAAATCACGTAACCCAAAAAATGTACCGATTTCAAACCAAAGCAGCATTTGTCTGGGTTCAGCTTTACTCCTATCTCCCTAAGACGGAGAAACACTTGTTCTAATCTTTTTAGATGGTCCTCCCAAGTTTTTGAGTAAACTAGAATATCATCCAAATACACCAACATTATTTGAAATAGAAAGTCACTCATAGCACTCTGCATTACTCGCTGGAATGTAGCAGGTGCATTAGTTAGACCAAACGGCATACGGGTCCACTCGTACAGTCCCAGTGGAGAAATAAATGCCGTTTTATGTTGATCGTTGGGGTGCATGGCCACTTGGTGGTAGCCACTAGCCAAATCCAAGGTAGAAAAAAATCTTGCTCCCCCCAACGCATCAAGACATTCATCAATACGAGGCAAGGGGAATGCATCCCTTCTTGTGATATTGTTCAATTTCCGGTAATCACAACACAGTCTTATCTCCCCTGACTTCTTTTTTACCACTACAATCGGTGCCGCATACGGGCTTGTACTAGTTGTAATAATTCCCTTTTCTAGTAGATCATTCAGGTGTGCCTTCACCGCCGAGTAGTGACTCGGTGGTAATCTTCGATAAGGTTGCGCCACCGGCTTGTCTTGTAGTAAGGGTATCTGGTGTTTGATTACTTCCGTGTACCCCAAATCACCCTCATACGAGGCAAATATATCACTGTATTTATTCAGCAATTCATTTAGTTTTGGGTCCTCAGTTTCCGGGAATGTATATGATCGGCCATCTTCTTTCTTCACCTCGGCCGTCACATTGACCGACCTAATTGTTACTTCATTACTACTGGTATTGATCAGTTCGATGCACTGTGCCGACCTTTGTACCTCGACGTTCTGTGGTACTCCTACCAGAGTGTTAGGCGGTATAAAAATTTCTTCATCCAAAACATTAGCTACCAACCCTTGAACTAGTCCGTTTTCCGCTGATGTGTATGTCCGCAGTAACACGACGCCTGTCCTCAGTGCGGCGCCACATGGTTCTACCATCACATCACCATTCACGCTTCTATCACCAATTTGTAATGTGATTGCCTTGACCGTGTTTGCCGGGACTGCTGTCCTTCCTCTGGTCTTGGCAAACCTGGCCAACTTGGATCCCCGACCTGGTGTGGTCGATCCGACAATATTTGTAAGAAATTCTGGCAACTGGCCAAGAATATTCATGCCCAACAGGCAAGGTATATTTGACACATTTGTCTCTAGGTTGTGTTTCGTAACGAACACCCCAACCTGCTTCAACCTATGTCCTGCCACCACGACATCCGCCAGAAAATAACCACAGTATGGAATGGTTAGTCCATTAGCCGCCGTCAGGCACATGCATGTGTCAGACCTCAACCTATGGTCTTTTCCTTTCATCCATTTGGTGTAAAAATTTTCCGTGATTGTCGTCACCTGGGAGCCTGTATCCACAATTGCCTTCACCGCGATGTCCCCAATCGTAATCACCATTTCGGGACAGACTCCCATCATTTTGCTTCTTGGGCCATAACCTCGCCCCTCTGTAGCCTGGCCCTGCCTTACAGAGGACGACCGTTTCCCTGGCAGTACCGTGCCATATGTCCGGGTTGTGAACAAGACAAACAAATTGGTCGACCGTCTGCCGTCCATTGGAGTGATGGCTTGGCAGGACGCGGCCGTCCAACCCGTCCCTGTTTTGTACCGTTCTTTTCCTGATTCTCAGCTGTTGACCTGCTTTCCAACCACTTCAAGCGTTGGTCAACCTTCTCTAGGTGGGCCAACAGTTGAGCCATCATGGTCTCCATCGTGTCGGCCCCTGTGGGTGGGGATTGTCTCTGTTCAGGCACAGAGACTTTGTCCACCGAACAGTTCGATTGGTCCTCATCCTCGGACCTGCGGATCGCTGAGTTCCTGACCTGAAGGAAGGTCAACTGCTGGTCTCTGTGGACCTCCTCTTTCAACTCTCTCCTTAAGATCGGGGTTGCTAGCCCCTCGATGAAATGGTCCCTCAGTAGGCGTACATCAATGTCCGGTGATTTGCCCTTTACCAAATCAAAGGCCCTGTTCATCCTGAGTGAGTACTCCATCACACTCTCCGCCATTCTCTGCTTTAAGCCCACGAATCCCGATAGCAGTTGCACTCCCGACCGTCTCTCCCCAAAGGTCTCCATAATCAGATCCAGCACCTTATCTGGATCTGATTGGACGGTCCTATCGTGGCACTTAACCTCTGCCCTAACCGTTTCACCTATACTACCCATCAGCAGTCTTAATCTTTCCTCTGGTGACATATGTCTCGAGGCCCAGGCCGCTTTGACCTCTTCACTGAACCTGTTGGTTAAAGTTGGATCTCCGTCCCCGTAAAATTTGTTAATATGGGACTCTCTGGGTAGGACCACTATATGGGTCTGCTTCTCGTCCAGAGTAGACATTTTCTTCCTTAAGTACTAAAAAAAAAGAGTTCTTTCTTACCGTGTGTGTATGAAAAATTTTTCCTCGTTCCTCAATTTTCACAGTTCCTGAATGTCCGAATTCACACACACACTAAACACAGTTATGCACAAGGTTGACTATAGGTGCCTTAAACGGCAAGTCTAGTTGAATTCATCCTGATCGCAGCGCCAATTGTGACGAGCGAACATTTATCCTGCCGACAACGCCAATTGTAACGAGCCAACAGTTACCATGCTCGCAACGCCACATGTAATGAGACCTAATTGCCTGTAGTGCCACGTGGTAACGAGTTTAACCACTCATTCTAGACAACATTGACCACAGTATAGATACTCAAGATGCAGGTTCGCTATTGATCCTTTATTACATGAATCAAGAAATGCTTCATAATAACACAATAAATCAACAGGAATGCTTCTCAATAATAGTCTGAATCAACTGACCCCTAACAGTCCTTCACTAGGCTTCATATAACTGAATCCACATGTCTATAATCCTCCTTAACACAATACGGCTAACCCGTTCTATAACCGACTTGACATAGTCACACAGACTGACTGATCTAAGCGAGCGATGAAGATGGAAGAGAGCTCGCTGAAACGGGAAGAGAGAGAGCGAGTCCTGCCGTGCCCTCCTATTTATGCCTTGTATCCGTACTCGTCTCCGTACTTGTATTCCTCCGTAATCGATACTTGTACTCGATCTCCGACCACCAGTTGCGTAGTTCAAACGTACAGACCGTAAAATAACATCTGCGTCCTATCCATCAAAGCCGACAGGCCGTCTGAATACCGTTTCCCAAAATAGCACGCGCCGGCTTTGAGGTTGTTATCAGCCCGACCCAATAAGCCACCTGTTATCGGTTGCATCAGACCAACACTGTGTCTCGGCTCCTCGTTCGTTATCATTTGTAACTGGTAGTTAGGCCTACCCCAGTTACATATATATATATATATATATATATATATATATATATGTATATATATATAGTTAAATATACATACATATAGGTATGCATGTATACATTTAGATATAGATAGATATACATATAGGTATACATTTAGATATAGATAAATAGATAAGATTCGATTAGACCGACCGACAGACAGACCGACCGACAGACAGACAGCTAGATAGAGAGATCGCTAGATGGTACAATTAAAAGTCAACCATCTAATGGGCTGAAACATTTTTGGCAGCATTTTCCCGCCATGAGGCTAGTCATTGTCCTGATGTGTGTCCTCCACACGAGGAAGGACATAGGGTCCGCTCAGAAGGTAGGACATCAGGAGCTGGTCCACGAATGGACGTCCGTGACGTTTGACTGGCCGTCAGAGGGCGCTGAGCAGGAGGCGCGACGTGATGGCTCGTACGTCCCGGAGAGGAATCTCATAGCAGGGATAGAGGTCAGTGCTTACACACGCTTACGTAGAGGTCAGTGCTTACACACGCTTACACAGAGGTCAGTGCTTACACACGCTTACGTAGAGGTCAGTGCTTACACACGCTTACACAGAGGTCAGTGCTTACACACGCTTACACAGAGGTCACTTTTTACACACGCTTACATAGAAGTCAGTGTCTACACACGCTTACACAGAGGTCAGTGCTTACATGCGCTTACACATGTCAGTGATTGCACAAGCTTACAGAGGTTAGTTCACACACACGCTTACATATAGGTTAATACTTACACGCGATTACATAATGACCAGCACACACACATATATATGCTTACATAAAGCCTAGCTGACAAATACATGCATTCAAACACATTTGGTCCGCACTGACACACACATATACTTACATACACATGCCACACGCTGCATTCCTCTTGCCCTCCCCTAATTGTACCCACAAAACGCACCCCCCCCCCTCGACAGTCAACTACTTGTCAAGGATCTAAATTTCTTTATCTCAAAACTTGTGAGTTCTTGCCCTTGTTTGTTGGAAGTCTGGAAGGTACACACGCCACTGGTGTACACACGTGTGCTAGGTGTACAAGACACAGGTGTACAAGGTGTACAAGACACGGGTGTACAAGAGACGGCTGTACACAGTAGTTACATGACATAGAGTTTACATGACACTGAAGAAATAGGACAATGACCTTTATATGTCAAATAGGACAAAGATCTTTACAGCTGACAAAGGGCAATGATCTTTATTTTCCAGGTCTACAAGGGCGACATCTATCTGTCTATTCCAAGATGGAGGTGGACATCGGGTCAACCAGCAACCTTGGTCAAGGTCGTCAATGTTGGGGGCGTGGCCAAACTCCGGCCATACCCCGACTGGGCATCCCAGAGGCAGGGCGACTGTCGCGCGCTGCAGTTTGTCCTGGGGGTCAAGGTCGACCCCAGCACCGGGCTCCTGTATGTGTTGGACACGGGACGGGTCGGCCTGGCCGGCAACGTCAGCTCGCGGCCGTTAAATCTCTGCCAACCCAAGATCGTCGTGTTTGACCTCAACAGGGGGACCAAGGTCAAGGATTACCTGCTGCCCCAGGGTGTGGCGGACAGGACGTCGAGCTTCCTGGATGACCTTGTGCTGGACCGCGTGGACGGCAAGGTCAGGTACGCCTACATGAGCGACATCCTGCTTAACCGGATCGCCGTGTTCGACTTTCAGACAGAGACCGGCCATTACATCCAAGACCCGTCCATGGAGCCAGAAGTGGGCGGTGCCGACAAGATTCGCATCAACGGCAAGGATTATTCCTTCGCTATGGGCATAGATGGGATCGCCATCTCGCCGGACTGCCGGTTCGTCTACTACAGCCCGCTCGCCGGCTTCGGTCTCTACCAGATCCCCACCTCAACACTACGCAGTGCTCAAAAGCCGGAAAACACCGGCATCCGGCGGGTGGGGAGAAGGATTACACAGTCCGGAGGTATCGCCATGGGCTCTAAGCACCTCTACTACACGGCGCTTGGACTTAGCGGTGTGTACCGCTGGGATGCGCAGACCGACATGCGCACACAGCAGCGAGGTATCGATACTGTTCACATGAGCAAGCAGGATCGTGTGGTGAGCTCTGACGTCACGATGCAGTGGCCAGACGGGCTAGCCATAGACTCGGACGGCTGGCTCTGGTTCGTGTCCAACCGGCTCCACCTGTTCATGACTGACCAGATGGACTTCTCCGGGCAGGACGGGACCAACATGAGGGTGTGGAAGGTCTACATCAACGACACGTGGGGCCGGGCAAATGCTGCGTCGGCTCTAGCCACCCCTGGCCCCGCTTGCCTGGTGGCGTCAACATATTTTGTCCTTCAGCTGTCTCGGTTAATAAACTTGGTTGCTCACTAACACGGTTCTTTAGTCTTCAAGTTGTTTTATGCATATTGTTTACATAAGCCACGCCAAAAAGTTAACCCCCGCCACCCTAAAATAAATAAATAAAGCCGGAGTGATCTCACCTACTCTCTCGAATATTCTTATATTTTATATAACACTACGGGGATGGCAACTCGGTATACAGACATGATTTTTAATCAATTTTTTTTCAAAACTAAATTTTTAAAAAATAGAATAGAATCTCGTAGAAAAAAAGAATTGCGCACCAAATGAACAGCAAACAACTTGTGTAATAGTGTGGAACATTAGTACTTTATAAAGAAAAGCTTAACTAATTTTTAAATAGTTAATTAATTATCTAATTAAGTAGCATTTTATGTCACAATACATTGTCTTCGTGTCTTGAACTACGTGAAAAGTTAAAAATAACTCGGTCCGGTAGAAGTGTTCGAAATTTTGTTCGCAATTTTTTTTTCGACCGTGACGGACACAGAGGAATCAAGTTAAAAATAAATTCATGTACGTCTTTTATAATAAATCGGAAATAGCATAAAGTACTACTTCCGGCCAACGAAAATTATTCAAAGCGAGCCGACCCGCTGCGTATCATACGCCGCTATTTAGTTGTTTTTTTTCTACTTTTCAGTAATTTATAATTTGTGAATTCGACAGTACCAATGCTGCCATTGAAAATATTTGCTTAAAAACACTAACCCCCCCCCCCCCCCCCCCCCACGTGAAAGCAGCCTCCTCTTAGTTACCTCCTCTAAGTTTAAAATCGTTTCAAACTAAATTATCTGCCCCTAATAGCCGTCACCAAATCCGTCTCTATGATTGTAAAATGTAAACAGAGTGAACACCGCTCACCAGATCATGTGGGGGTGGGGTGGAGGTGGTAGTGATAGTGATAGAGAGAAAGAGAGGGGACTGCAAGGAGGCGCTTGCAGCTTGTTTTCTAACTGATCCCAGAAGAGAATTATATATATAGATTTTATAGAAAACAGGCAATTAGATCTTTTACTTATATGAAAAATTTCGTCTTTATAGGAAACCGTACTCAAGTTATAGATGTTATGTTATGTCTTGTTAGTGATACATTACGTCCCTTTTATTGTGTATTTTATGGTTACGTCCCTTTTATTGTGTATTTTATGGTTACGTCCCTTGCATTGTGTATATTATGGCTACGTCCCTTGTATTGTGTATTTTATGGTTACGCCCCTTGAGTGTTTACCGGGTAACTTATGTTAATTAACTGCAGACAGACCCAGAGACCCAAGTCATGTGGTCTATGCTGTCTAGTGTAATACAATATCAAGGTTAACTGAAGAAACTGTGTCTGTTGTAGTAAATGTAACAATAGGCTTTTGAAAAACCGAAAGAAGAATAAGTTTCAATTCCGGGTACCGGAAATCACTGAAAAGTTGAGAAAGAACTGCAAATTTGTTATAATATACGAAATCTCATCAACCTAGCTGTAACTTAACATGTTCACAGATAGACGGACACACACACATGCAGACATAGGGACAAAATTGCAAAACAAAGTTTTTTCCGACTCTGTGAGTAGACGTTTGTGAAAATCACTATTTCGATTTTTTGCACGATTACAAGACTTCCTCTATTCTTCGTATAAGAGAAAGTAAAGAGGATTTAAAAGTATAATTTGCATAAAAAGGTCTGTATTTTGGATTTGGTACCAACCTTATCTAGAGGCGGATACGTTTTTTTATGGCGTGCTATTAAACATTCAAAGGTCTAGAATCACATCCCAGCTACCCCACACATCCCAGCTACCATCACATCCCAGCTACCATCACATCCCAGCTACCATCACATCCCAGCTACCATCACATCCCAGCTACCATCACATTCCAGCTACCATCACATCTCAGCTACCATCACATTCCAGCTACCATCACATCTCAGCTACCCCACACATGCCAGCTACCATCCCAGCTACCATCACATCCCAGCTACCCCACACATGCCAGCTACCATCCCAGCTACCATCACATCCCAGCTACCATCACATCGCAGCAACCATCACATCCCAGCTACCCCACACATGCCAGCTACCATCCCAGCTACCATCACATCCCAGCTACCCCACACATGCCAGCTACCATCCCAGCTACCATCACATTCCAGCTACCATCACATCGCAGCAACCATCACATCCCAGCTACCCCACACATGCCAGCTACCACCCCAGCTACCATCACATCCCAGCTACCCCACACATGCCAGCTACCATCCCAGCTACCATCACATTCCAGCTACCATCACATCGCAGCTACCATCACATCCCAGCTACCATCCCAGCTACTATCACATCTCAGCAACCATCACACCCCAGCTACCATCACATCCCAACAACCATCCCAGCTACCATCACATCCCAGCTACCATCCCAGCTGCCATAACACCCCAGCAAATATCCCAGCTACCATCACATCCTAGCAACCATCACATCCCAGCTACCATCACTTACCAGCTACCATCACATCCCAGCTACCATCACATCCCAGCTACCATCACTTACCAGCTACCATCACATCCCAGCTACCATCACATCCCAGCTACCATCACATCCCAGCTACCATCACATCCCAGCAACCATCACAGCTACCATCACATCCCAGCTACCATCACATCCCAGCAACCATCCCAGCTGCCATCTGGTTGCCGAGATATGGAGCAAAAACTGCATTTGTTCGAGGTATTTTGGCTTTTCTGGGAAATCCAGGAAGGAATTCCGGGAATTTTTTTAGCCCACAATCATCCTTGGAACTTGCTTAACATATTTGCTTATGGAACTAGTCCTCGATATTGCTTCGTTGGGGAGGAGATACGACTTAAAGCTGCGGACACTCATCCATCCATCCATTCATCCATCCAGAAATGACGAGTTAATAATCGCAATTGTCCGTATGGAAATTGCGCTAAAAAGTCACAAATATACATTTGCATGGAATTTGTTAATATATGTATGTATTAAACATTCAGAGAGTGCAAATTAACTAAGGATTTATTAAATGTAATGTGTAGGCTGTATACGCATAGTAATTTTTATAATTCATTTAAAAATATTTAGTATGAAGTTTGTAGATTGTAATTATGTTAAACATAATATAATAACATTTAATAGAATACTCCAACGTCCACGGTTATCATCGTGTTTTTTTTTTAGTACCAACATTAAATTATCGTGAAATGGTAAGTTCATCTGACTTGCAGCCCTCAACTCATGGCAACAAAAGTTATGCTTAGTTCACATTTATCACGCTCATTATACAACAAAACTTAGGATCAAAACAGAAAGCCGGCAAGGTTCAAAGGCTGTCATTGACGCATAACGTCAACAAAACAAAATATGTTCGGACAATGCCTACTGAGAGAGTCCGACCAGAGAATAGCCTTCGGCAAAACATATGCAAAACACAATGATGTGCCTAAATTTCTTTTATAATCAACTTTTAAACCGCGTATTTAACTAAATACGTAACAAAAGTTGAGATTGTTGAGTAAATTATCTTAGAGTATTTTTATTTACAATTGTTATAAACCATAATGCTTTTAACGTCTATAAATAATTAACGCCATCAAAAAATACAACCCACAACAATTGACATACAAAATTTTACACTGCTTAACAAATAAATCAAAAGATTTCTAAAAAGATTTTTGTGACTTTTTTCCTGTGACTTTTTTTTCTAGCAAAAACTGACTTTTTTTGTTTTTTTGTTTATTTTTCCTGTGACTTTTTTTTCGTTCACCACCTCGGTCTGGCTTACGATTTAATTATATGAACGGGTAAACCTAGTTCCAAAAATATTTGAGTAGACTAAAAGACGATAAAGATGTATAATGTAACTGTGTATCATTGCCTCATCTGTGTGAGTCTAGTCTACTTTACTGCGAATTGTGCACGGTGCGGATTTTCCCAGAAAACAGAAGGGGGAAAACCAATGGGTTTTCCCACAGTGGCAGAGAAAAAGTTCACTACAATTACAATACATGGCAGACTTTATTTGGGATCAACTTCATGCATGATTTCTTGTTCTGGTAAGTCACACAACGCAGCAGGCTTTTAGTACGTTTTTTCTACTTTTCCTCGCTAAGTGTGTTAAAGGGTTGTTATCTTAAACAGATGGTTGTCGTCTATAGTCTACAGATGGTTGTCTAGTCACTAGTCTAACAAAACATAGACAACAGATGGTTGTCTAGTCTAACTTAGACAACCATAGATGGTTTCCACAAAATATAGAATAAAACATGAAATGTCCTATTTAAAGACATTTTTTTAATTTGATAGGAAAATCCCATGCGTGAAGATTCTAAAGCGTTTGATGCTGTAGCTGTACCAGACTACAGTCTATAGGCCCAACTTATGCTGAGTACTGATTTGTTGCTGACAAAGAATGTTTACCGAGAGACACAAGGCAGATCTAGACCGGCTGGGCTACACCGTGGTTAGTGACGTCATCCCTGAGGCAGAGTGTCGCAGGCACCAAGAAAACTTGAGGTACGTTTTAAATCACAGAAACATGCACCATCTCACTTGTTTCAACATTCAACTCCTTTACCTCACCATTCAACTCCTTTACCTCAACATTCAACTCCTTTACCTCACCATTCACTTCCCTTACCTCATAAAATCAAACAGGTTATCCTGTTATTTTCTCCCTCATTTAATGCCAGAATTTTTTCTCCGTTTCTCCCAGAGACTGGCTGCAAAGTTTTCCTCCTGGCCAATGGCCTCAGTCGAAATATTCCTTGATACAGAGATACAGGTGTGGCCATCTTAGGCCATCTTGGGAAGTCAGACTTGCGGCCAAATCTGTTTTTGAGCAGGTAGAACATTTTTATATTAGACTTCTATCTACACAAATGTCTAGCCACACTAACAAATGTCAAGCCACACGCCACAAATGTCTAGCCACATGCCACAAATGTCAAGCCACACGCCACAAATGTCAAACCACACACCACAAATGTCAAGCCACACGCCACAAA